AGAGAAGAGTGGCAGCATATGGGTCAGGGAGGTGTGGGGACTATCATGGATCAGTATGTGGCCACGGATGTTATCCCAATCTGTGGTGTGTATTCTTCATAATCTCAGCTACTGAGGTCAACTGATCTGTGGACTGAGGCAAGGGCTGGAGATAGAAGTGCAATAGGCAGACTTCTTCTACAAGATTGTTCTACAAGAAATCCAAGTCCATATTTGTCAATGCATGCCCCAGGGGCAAAGAGAGACGTTGTAAGTATGACAGAAGTGGTTTGAACACACTCTTTCTAGCCCTTTTCAGAGATTGGGGGGAGTTAATTTAACATACAAGGAAGGAGGTGGGGATATTAGGATGGCAGGTGTCTCCTTCCTATTTCTGTTCTTTACAAGATGCATAGGGAGACCCCACATACACAGTGGGGGAGGCACTGCTGGCCATTGAAGCTGGGGGAGGGGGCTGCACTTGGCCCTCCCCCAACTCCTCACAGCATCCTGACGATACAAGTGCAATGTCGGGATGTCAACGTCATGTTCCCCTCACAAGCTGGCACCTCTGACCAGATGCAAATGAGGACTGGCCTCTAGAACCTTTAAAATCTACACAGAATAAATTAGTGGTTGGGACAGGTTTTCGTACATCGATGAGAAAAACTGCATCACCTGAAATTCTCTCTTGCTCTCTAGCATCTCAACTAGTGATAATGGCCTCACAGACCTTTGGCCATGCCTGTGCCATGTTAGTGGGCCACGACTTCTTCCGCCACCATAAAAAACAGGACCCAACTTTATTTTTTTCCTGTTGATTCCGGCTAGTTTACGATTGCTAAAGATACAGCAGCTGGAGCAAGAGAAACATCCCTTTGCCAGAGTCTTGCTTGCTGAGTGCATAATAAGTTTTTCCTGCTCTGCTCCAAGCAATTTGTTTCTCAGTCACGACTGTAATAAAGACTCGTGCTCTAGTTCTGGACAAACAGGAACACAAGAACATCGGGGAGGGGTGTGGAGTTGATTTCCCTGTTTACTGTGTATATTCCAAAAGTCAAGGCATGTTTGAACCATTTTGCAGCAGAGTCTGTGCGTCACCAGCTGTTACTTAAGCCCCGTAATAAAGGGGACAGGCAGGTGGCTTCACCAAAGAAAAGGAGACAATCGAGAGAAGATTTATAGGGACAAAGGAATAGGGACAAGAAGCAGAGCCGGGAGAAAAGGAAGCTACAAAGGGAAACCAAAGTAAATGAGTCTGACGGGAAGAACTACACTATTGGGGAACAAAATGATTTCATCTTTGTCGTCAACAGAGGCCTTTTTGGGGTGAAGGGGACAGAATGCAAGGCCTTTTAAAAGTCTAAAGCAGGGCTGGCAGTCCTTTGACAGCTGTTTTTCTTTTGGGGGGTAACACCTTCCTTCTGGAAAAAAAAACTTGAGAAACATCTTGCTCTGGGGTGACTAGGTCATGATGCCACAGTTGCCATTGCAACAGCTCTAGATGCAACCTTCTATCTGATTAAATTACTGAGTAAATTACTTGCTGCCCAGGGAACAAATTGTTCCTAAGCACCCTTATCAAACAGAGAGATACCCCAATGAACTCAGAAAACCATTGCTGAGGAACTATGGCATTGCACTGCACTTGCCTCAGTGCAAAGGCACAAAGAGCTGGTTTAGTCACCCCAAGAACTGGTCACAGGAAAGCCCTTAGTCATGGCAAGGGTACCCGCAGGGAGTGTAATACTTAAGGCATGCCAGCCTTATTGCATGCTCAATTCCAGCATGCCAGGCTGACAACAGAGGGGTTCAGGGGGTACACATGTGCCAGGCCCCATGACAGCAGCTCCTCTTAGCTTTCATTGCACCCTGGAGGCTGTGACTATATTTCTCTATATGCGTGCCACATTGCTATCAGGAAGGACTCTCCTATTGCCTACATGTGGAAGAAGTAATATGTAAACCGAGCCTAATCGATAGGCACACCTGGGGACTATGTGGTTTAATGGCCACTCCAGGAAAGCACTCAATAAGACTTAAATTAAAAAGTTCTTAACTGAAAAGGCAAAGCAGAAAAACAGTTCTATCTCTGAGGATGAGCCCCCACCCTCTCCTTCAACTTCTGCCCTTCTCAGGCGTAAAAGGAAGGTGCCCATAAATCACATATCTAACTATTATGCTGACACAGAATACCCAAAACATTTTGGTTCCTATGGCTTCCTTTGTTGCTGTTTAGTCATTTAGTCGTGTCTGACTCTTTGTGACCCCATGGACCAGAGCACGCCAGGCACTCCTGTCTTCCACTGCCTTCCTTAGTACCTGCAAAACTTCAACTTCTTCTTCTTCTTCTTCTTCTTCTTCTTCTTCTTCTTCTTCTTCTTCTTCTTCTTCTTCTTCTCTCCTCCTCCTCCTCCTCCCACCCCCAGTTTTGATGGGCTATAGTGCAAGAGTCCCCCTCCAGGTGGCAATAATGCAATCACATTGGGGAAGCATCCCAGATCAACTGTTAAAGCAGAATGATGTGTGGATGGTCCAGAATAAATCTACCACTAATGCAATACTATTGTGTCAAAGGAAAGTATTTGGCACATGCTCTCAGCCTGTAATCAAACCTAATCACATGTTCCTTTCCCCTGTTGTTTCTCTTAGGTCAAATTATATGTTCCTACCTCTTCAGAGCAGGGACCCCAACCTGCATGGTGACGGCTGATGATGGTGGTGATGATTCTGCAATTAGATTGTTCAGCTTCAACTAACTTGGTTTTTACCAAGCTGGAACATCTTGATGATATGATAATACTATAAGTAGTGCGGTGTATATAAGTGCAGCAAATTACCTCTCAATCTGTCTCTGATTACTTCCAGGGCTCCAATAGGCTTCCCTTCTCCACAGGTGCTAAGGTTTCTGGGGGAGGAAGGATTGTTAGAGATTATGTAATATGCTGATATGATGGGAAATAATCCCACTTCATGGCTAAAAGATGAAAATAACTCCAAATAAGGCAAAGGATGGGGCATTTTAATGTTTTTGGTTAGTAGGAAGCACAAGACAGCAGATATAACTTGTGCATTCTTGCTCAAGGAATTGATTTTTCGGTTGTCCTAACTGTATACTTTGAATTCTGCAGAGAAAGAAATGTGGCCAATGCTTTTTGTGTGCGTGTGCATGTTTGGTTTGTCCGATGCTACATAAGTGCTCACTGCAGTCAACTACGTATTTCATCTCACCTTGAAAGCTGGTGAAGCGTAGCAGATAAGAATGGAAAGTTCCTGGTTCAAATGTTACCGCAGCCTTGAACTTCCCTTGGTCTGAAAACATGACATAGCTGTCATCCCAGAAGTGTGCCCCCTACCCCGGTGCTACACACAAGAACACTTTTGTCTCACTTATTCAGCTGGTTCAGTTTCCACTAAACAAAACAATGCATTTCACTTTTTTATTCTCGCCTCCTGATGTCCTTTTAAAACGTTCCACATGGTTTTTTTTGCCCACCGTTACCCCATTAATAGAACTTCTGAAGAAAAGAAAAAACTACTTATTCCATTTCAGGCATACTGCTAGCAGTTATTTTAATCCAGTTTAGTGTCCAAGGTCATTTTCCAGAAGAGGCCTGGATTGCTCTCCAGTTCTTTTTAGAACTGAGAGCCCAGAGAGTAGATGCCTCTCAGAAACAACAGGCCTCAGCTGTGTTGTGCTCCATGTTCCCTCAGGGACATGAGAAGCAGAAAAAGGAGATGCAAGAGTAGGACACGCTGAGCCCAGGGATCAAAATCCAGGAACTGGGGTTTGCTTGGAGCCACGTATTTTTCTCGTCATATATTTGTTTCCGGTTATTCCTGTCATCGTTAGCTTTACAAATAATCAAAGTGCATGTTTTGCTGTTGTGTTTTTTTGTGTGAATAGAACTATCATTGTGACTTTCCTTGAGGCAATAACTGGACAGAGCTTGTAACCTGACAAGTTCCAATCCAGCCATCCGTTTTTATTATTCATTTATTCATTGCATTTATACCCCACCTTTCCTCCAAGGTGGTATGCGTAGTTCTCCTTCTCTCCATTTTCTCCTCACAACAACCCTGTGAGGTAGGTTATCCTGAGAATGAGTGACTGGCCCAAGGTCATCCATTGAGTTTCCTGGCTGAGCAGGGATTTTGAACCCTGGTTTGCCAGCTCCTAGTCCAAAATTGTAGCTACTACACCATATTGGCTCTCTCAACAAATATATATATTTGTTTGTACATAAATAGGAACCTCAGAACATAGGAAGCTGCCTCATACTGAATTAGGTCAGTTGGCCTATCTAGCTCCATATTGTCCCACACGGACTGACAGAAAGTATTTCCCAGCCCTCCCTAGTGATTGAACCTGAGATATTCTGTATGCAAAGCAGGTGCTCTACCACTGAGGTACCACCTCTATATGCATTCATGGTTATTGTGGAAGCATCATAAAACAAGGGGAATGATGTGTGGGTGGTCCAGTATGAATATACCACTAATGCACTGTCATTGTGTCAGTTGCATGTTGCAGGTTGAACAGTCACCAGGGTTGCTATATTTTAAAAATGAAAAATCCAGACCAGGGGTGGTGGTGGAGGAGGTGTCATTGTCTGGCGGGGCGATCGGCAGTGGGGCTGGTGATCCAGCAATCGACAATGGGCAAGCGGTGGCGGGTGAGTGGGGGATTGGTAGCTGTGGGCTGCACTTTCGGTGTGTGGTGGGCTGGAGGTAGCGAAGGGGGTGAGCGGGCGATTGGTTGGACGGCGATTTCAGCAAAATCTACAAAAAAAGATGTTTTTCTTTAATTCCGAAGGAAAAACTTACTTCCCGAAGGGGGTTACCATATGTCTGGGTTTTCCTGGACATTTGTCTGGGCTGTGAAAATCCCCCCTGGATGCCATTTTAGGCTCCTGATTCCCGGATGTGTCCAGGGAAACCCGGATGATTGGCATCCCTATTTGTCACTGAACAGCAATGACTTTCCAGGATTTCAGACCAGGTTCTGTCCCAGCCCTACCTGGAGATGCCAAGGGTTGACCCAGGGACCTTCTGCGTGCCCAGACAGTAGAAGCTCTACCACTGAGCTACAGCCCTTCCCCGAGGTTCCTCAAAACACCCCAAAACACCTGTATGGAGGCATCCAAGGATGTGCTAATACCTTGGGATGTGTCTCCATTGGAGCTGTTAGAAGATTGCTCCTTGATACAGGACCTCTCAAGGAGGTTGTGAAGGGTCTCTGTGTGTCTGTGAAACAGAGCAAAGAAGACTGTGGATTTGAGCATGACTAAGTTCACATTACTGCTTCTTCCACATCCATTGCGCTCCACTGCCAATTTTTAAAGCCATATTTGCATAGCTATTAGCCACAATCCATATGATCCTGTAGTTTCCTAACAAATACTGCTATTTGATGAGTCTTTTTCACAAATAAACCACATTTGCTTCAGTCTTAAGAATAGCATGTACATTCAGGGCAGTTATCAAACGTGCACAGATGGCAACTTTATGAACAGGGGTTGTGGGGGGAATAAAAAAAATCACCCCTGCCCTCACCTTGGCTTTTTCTATCACACCCACCTTAGAGGAAATGAGTTCCAGCTGGAAAAAAAGCCCTGGTTATTACGTATATATATTTGAGTGAGAATGACAGACGTACATTAGCACATCCTTGCTATTTCAGTGTGTTCTTAAGTCAGCCTATCAATGAGTGCAAGCAAACGACTTTGGGTAGTTTGTTTGCAACATCCCGCGGTTAGGAATTATAATTTATTATCCCGTTCCCAATTAACGTATAAATGTTACAGGCTTCCATTTTCTGAACAACCAGTTCTTTTCATTCATGCTAATCAGCTGGAAGTTAGTTCTCTATCTGAAGTCCACACTATGCTCCAAAAAGATAAAAATGTCTCTTCCCATAATTCATCATTGGTCTTTATCAGCATGCATCATTGCCAAGGAATGAAAACGATCCAGCCATTTTGTGTTTTTTTCTGTGCTGTAAAATTGTTGCTTTCTGAGGCTGTTCTTCCCTAGAACCTCAAAGGCTTATAGGAGGTACCGTAAGTTAAGCCCAGAAAAACAGAACCTTAAGGGGGAAATGAAACCTAAAGTACTAAGGGAGTACCTATGGAGTTAAAGGGGTGTTTCTCAAACAGTGTGAGAGGTAAGTTACAGTTCCCAGGATCCATGTTTTTGAAATGTATGGTGTGTAAGGAATGGTACAGAAGAGGCTATTTTCTTTGTACCCAGCTGTCTCTTCTGTTAAAATATCCTGAAATATAAGCATTTGTGGCTAGAGATGCAATACAGTGGAACCTTGATTTTCGAGCATCTTGGAAGCTGAACATTTTGGTTTTCAAAGGCCGAAAACCCAGAATTGCTTCCATTTTCGAACGCTCCTCAGAAGTCGAATGACTTCCTCTGTGTGTTTTTCAATTTTCTCCATTGAACTTGCTGGCAGTTCTTTGCGCCTCAGTTTTTGAACGTTTTGGAAGTTGAACAGTTTTCCGGAACGGATTATGTTCGAAAACAGAGGTTCCACTGTATCTGGTTAGAAGAACTATTGACTCACTGCACTAATGCCTTCCTTGTTTTATCGTAACACACTTTGAAGATTTGGGACGTTTTGGAACTGTTTTGGGTTTTCCCCTAATTGTTTGGCTTTACTGTAATGGGGAAAAAACCCAGGCTCCTTGTAAGTTCATATCTGTTGCGAGTCTTGTGAGCAGATATGGGAAATTCCAAATCAATTTCCCCAGAAAACTCTTGACTCTTTTTTTCCATTCCTAGTTGGAAGCTCTGGAATCAAAGAGAACAACTGCAACAGCAGCACTTATAATTCCCAGTGGTTTTGCATACTAGATTTACCTCAAGTGATGACCCGTCCATAACCACTGTATGCCCCCCCGCCCCATATTCTGGTATTTAGTACAAATGCTATTTTAGGCCTCGCACAAGCCATACAAATAAATATACCCTTGGGGAGTAGCCTGGGGGAAAGGAAGGCATAGACTTGCAATATGTTTTTAACCTTTTCAGACCTTCTGAGTCTTACTGTTATCCCCTACCATGTTGCAGCCTGGGACTTGTAGTACATGGGTGAGGGTTAATACATTTTGCCATATACTAAGGCTGGCAAACCTGACAGATAAAGGCGAGCAAGCTGGGACTTGGTGAATAAGAACATAAGAGCCCTGTTGGATCAGACTAAAGACCTATTTAGTCCAGTAGTATGTTCCTAGAAGAGGCAGAGCAGATGCCTGTAGGAAGCCCACAAGCATATCCCACTCTAACCTGTGTAACAGATATTCAAAGGCATACAGGCTCTGATCCCGGAAGTAATATATGCCCATCATGACTAGTAGACATTGAGAGTCTTATTCTTCACTCATCTATCTATCCATCTATCATCTATCTATCTATCTATCTATCATCTATCTAATAAAATGTATATAATGCTTGATTGTAGGGGGGAACCACAAGGTGGTTCAGTTTGCTTGATCCTCCTTGAAACCTGTCCTAATTTGTAGCCATCACTACATCTTGGGAGTATCAAATTCCGTAGCTTAACTTTGTGTGAATAAGTACATCCTTTTGTCTGCCCTGAATCTTCTACGATTCAGCTTCATTGGACGACCCCAGTTTTTTGCTATTAAAAGAGGAACCTCCCTATCATCTTTCTCTGCATATTTTGATATACCTCTTTCATGTCCCCATGTATGTATTTGGAGTCACATGTGCACCGCCAGCACTCATGTATTCAAAAAGGCCTACAGAAGCAGGGCATGACACTTTTGCCAGAAGCCTACACGAGAAGGGGGGAGGGGGGAAAGTATACCTGTCCTTAAATTGCAGTGGTGTCCAAACTTTTTTCAAAGATTTGATGAAGTGAAGGGCCGTGAGGGCCGACCAAAGGGCCAACCAAAGTTGCTGAGCTTTTTTTAGGGTTGAAGAGCTTTTTTTTAGGAGCTGTTGGAGCTGTGAGAGCTAACTATCTTTGGCATCTAATGGCTTTTTATACATTTTGCCAAGGCATACCAGTAGAGGGGAGGAGGCTGTGAAATGAGTGATTCCTACAATTTCTATAGTTGCTTCTGGAATTTCCTGTTTAATTCTCACCTTGCCAATCTTTCGGTGAAAGACTTGTGATAGTGAGCAATTACCTGAACCTGCCATCTCTGTCTGTGTTTGTCTTTACATGACCTTACCATTGTGTGTGTGGATCCCATTGAGAGGCTGAGTATCCTATACTTGACAACTACACTTGCATGTGTTAATCTTTTAGGGCAGATGTGGGTGAACTCAGGATATATCCTAGCAGGGGGCTGGGATCTGGATGGTTCCATAGTCACCAAAGCTAATCACGGAGGGTCTCATGTCATGTTAGAGTTATGTCAATCTTATACTCATGCCATGATCTACAGAGATAAACCAAACCATATTATAAATTCAGATCCACACACCCCTCCTTACACACTGATCACCTTTAGCCTAAGTAAAAAAATATTGTTACCATTTTCACATGGAAATGGCTCCATCTGTGGATCATTTTAGTTGCCCTTTTCTGACCCCGTCAGAACAGATGGGGTGTTTGGGTTTTTGGGGGCTCCCGTGTGCATCCTTCACACTTGGCACAGTTTTGCAAAAGCAGATTTCAGAGAGAAACAACTCTTGAGTGTTTGCTTCCAGCGACCAAATGTTCAGTTAAAAGTTTCATCAACAGTTAACATGTAAACACTTCTGTTAATCATTATTTGTACACACAAGTTTACATAATACGGGTCTCCCGGAAGGGCAATTAACTGTAAAAAACAAAACAAACCACCACATTCTGCTTCTAGTTGTTGTTTTTTAAGCGGAAAGAAACACCTACAAGACAAGCGGTTTGACTCATCTTGTAGAGAGCAGTGGCGCTCTGCCAGGATATAAATATGGATCCTTTGCAGCTGTATCTTTACATCTTCTTACTACATTTAGACCCCACCTTTCCTGCAAGTAGCATACATGGTTCTCCTTCTCCCCAATTTGTCCTCACAGCAACCCTGTGAGGTAGATGAGGCTGAGAGACTGCAACCAGACTCAGGTCCCTCAGGGAACTGAGTGGAGATTTGGACTCTGGTCTCCCAGGTCCTAGTCTGGTGTTTGCAGCCTCCCCACTTCAGAAGTTCAGCCTACAACTCATAGGGAGGGATGTGTATCTAGTCCCACATCTTGCCCTCACAGCAGCCAGAGATGCCTATGGGAACCCAGAGGAGCACAAGAGCTCTCTCCCATCCTATTGCAGGACATAGGAACCCTCTTTCATCCACTTGTTTCTACCTTGCCTGTTCGTCTATCCAAACTTCATTCTTGAGTTTACAGCTGACCAGCTTAATCCCTCCATCAGATTCTGGGGCAGATTGTGAAGAATGTGATACCTCTATGCACTTAAGTGCATACATGCAACCCCATGTGCTCGCTGCCTCTCTCTCATTCCCTCCCTCTCTTTTTATTTTCTTTAATGGCAAATGGAAACCACAGAGTCTCAGAGGAAATAAATTGGCCAATTGAGTTGGTTTGTAACTACCTGACACACAGGGGGCCTTTGCTGAGTTGGTGAAAGGAACAAAAGCAGCTCCTGTGCCTCAAAGGATTCCTCTTTTGGGGCAGCAGGGAGTGTAGTACAGTATTATTTTTTCTTAGGATTTAATCCACTTTCTATTAGCACATCCCGCTGTTCATGTCACTTAGAGCTCACCTGGCAAGCCGGGTTTTGATGCATTTTTATGGAACAGAGATGCCTTGGCAGTCAGGTGCTCAGGAAGAGGAAAGTGGACATGCTCTCTTCGTGCCTGTAATACTTGAAATGCTTTGGGGTACAGAGAAAGGCACAACAGGGCATTCTAACCATTACTATCCCCATAATGGTTATTTCCAAAGCATTTCCCAAACAAGATGTCCGGCAAGCATTAAAATGCAATGCAATTGTTTTGTCAGATTTACAATCTAGCGGACAAGGACAGGAAAGAAGAAACGATGTAACAGGAAAGGAATGAAGGAGAATTTACTAAAAAGTCAGGGGAAACAAGTGTACCTTCAAATGCTGCTTTATTAAAAATGTGTTTTGAAATGTGTGTTCACATTGACAGTGTTCCCGCCGCAGGGTAAGCATCAGCTCCTACTTTTCCCCAATATGAACATGAGCAAAACATCAGTGCTTTGTGCATTAATAGTGTCATATAGGCAATTAATATTGAAAACTTGAATCACACTACAACTTTAACAGGCTCCTTCTGACTTATATGAATGATTAATATACAACACTTGTTTATAAAGTCATGCTGATCTCAGCTTCTTGCCTCTGCTATAGACACAGATATTTGAACTGGGGAGGCAAAGGCTGAAGCACTGTTACTTCAACAAGTTTAATTCAGTCTATTTAGTTTGCCCCCCCCCTTTTCTGTATAGTTTTCTTCTTCTTCAAGGCATCATAGCTCTAAATATTTGGTTTGGTTCTCTGAAAAAAGGGAAAGACAATACTTAAGCTCTAAGCAATTTACACATAAATATACTTCAAGGCTTTACCAAAAGTCCTTTATTCCATGTTTCTGAAATATGTTATTATTATTATTATTATTTAAATGCTTTTAATGGTTAACTTCGAGCTACCAGCTGACTAGGGAGAAAAATCCCCAAACACCTGGGCCTGATTTGATCCTGAAATGTCCCACTTTTCCTTAGGATGTCCCTATTTTCATTTGAGAAATGTTGGAGGATTTGGAGTTATTCAACCCCTGAGAATCTGCATGTTTAGGGTGGTATCCAACCAATGTGCCCCTTCAGTGCAAGGATTTCCACTGTTGCAACAGGAGTTTCCTCCTCTTCTTCCCCTGCACATATTGCTAGAACAATTTTAGGCAGCGGTGTAGCTAGCCGGTCCGGTGCCCAGTGCGGCAATGGCGTCCTGCAGCTGGGGGCAGGGCGAGTCGGCCATGGGGCTGCAGGGCAGCTGAGGGAGAGGTGGTGGGCAGATGCAAGCCCCATGCCGCCAGGAGAGACACGTGGCTCGGGCACGCTGCAGGCCCCGCTGGCCAGCCCCCGTGGTGTGTCGCCCAGTGCCAATCGCGTTTTGTTACGTTTGTTGACTGAACTAAAAAGTTTTGTGAACCCCATTTTTTTAAAACAACAGCAACTCATATTTTTGTCATTTTGTCACACACACACACCCCTAGTGATGACACCCGGGGGGGACCGCACCCCCACCCCCTTCCTCCATCATCACTGGTTTTAGGGGGCACAGGGAGGAAGAAGGGGAAAGTCCCATTGCACAAGTGGAAATACTTGTGGTGACAAGATGGTTACTCAGTGCTCCTTTGGATGCAACTCTTGGCCTCAAATCTCAGGCTGTGCAAGAGCTAGGGACTTTTTTAAAAAGAGAGAAAACTGGGAATCAGAGGCTTATGACTCATGCAGGGGTGATAAATATCTCCTTGCACTTATAAACAACAATGGGAGATCCATTTACAGATCCCACATGTAACATGTCATTTGACCCTTAATACTCTTACCTCCCAGGTGCTTCCAGTTCCTGACTTCATTATTGAAGTTCACAATTAAGCACTAAAATTTAAGACAACAATTTGTTGTGGTTGAGCACTTTCCCCCGCTCTCAATAACTGGTTCACTGAAGTTACTTCTGATCAAGCTCATTAAAGTACGGGAACAATTTTTCATTGCTTCTTGGCCTAAGGTAGAACTGCAGAGAGGCGTATCAAAACATACCTATGTGTTGCCTTCCCCATTGCTGTTTCTGCTTGTCAATTAAGAATGGGTTTGAAAGAACCAAAACTTAAAAGAGTTCAGGATCTGTTTTTCCAATGAAATAATTTGCTTGCATAAAGATCCGGTTGTAATAACGCTGCCCACAATATGTGAATTTGTTTGCTTGTTCCTTCTCGACGCCCACATCGTTTGCAGGCAGAAACTGTGATATCTGCATTTTCATTTTCTTCTGTGCAGAGAAAGGGTGGAATACATAATTGCTTGATTTCAGCTGTGATGGGAGACATGACGAGGGAACACTCTGGATACTTCCCTTCAGCCCTTCATCATCCAAAGCATTGGTATCATAGAAGGCACATCAGTGAGCAGAGCCTCAGCTGGGAAATGACTCAGCTTCTCTCCCGGAGACAAAAGCAAACCGGCTGGGAGGAGGAGAAAATTGAAGGTGGGAGGGAAATAAAAGGAAACAACATACACTGTGTTCTTTCATAACATGTTATGTACATTGTACGCTACACTTCACAGCATCTGAGTCATCCTTTCCATCATTGTCATGATGCCCCAGTTGGGTGTAATGTGAAAAGGTCAAGATATCCATGCACAGAAAGACAAACTCCTGATAGGACAGTTGTGGTCAGGCCATCCTGCTCCTATAGTTCGCAAAAAAGTGGTTTTTAAAATCTACCAGGTACTGAGAGAGAAAGAGGAAAGGAAAGACAGCAAGCTCATTTGGAACCTAAGTATATACACCATGCCTGTAAAGCATGTTTGAAGCACAATTCCTGCATCAAAGAATTATGAGCACTCTGTAGTTTGTCAAGGGTTGCTGGGAACTGTAACTCTGTGAGGGGTGAACTACTGTGCCCAGAATTCTTTGAGGGGGCGGAAATGTGTTTTGTATGCACTTTAAAGGTGTAGTGTGTCTGCAGCCTGAAAGAAGCAGCCATACCCCGATACTCTACAGACACACTCTGTAGCAAACATCAGAGAATGGGAGAACCCAAAATTCAAGATGGTGTTTTGGAACGAGAGAACAACCTGTTAATAGCATGGCTCGCACTAGCAGGTGCCAAAGGCAGCCATTGCAAAGATCTAGACCAATTTGGGGGCCATTGAGCCAAGAACTTGCACTGCCACATTTACCTCTGTTCCTCCATTCAGAGAGAGCTTAACCTGAGCAAAGACAGCAACACATATATTGCCTTTGACCAAATTGGCTTCACGACCCCAGAATAGTGGGGGGGGGGGGAGAGCTAAGAAGGAGCATAAAGGAGCTGACTTCCCATCCCACAAATGTCCTGCAACTTGTTTATTTATAGGTTTCTATGGATTTTTGAAGAGAAATAATGAAAAGGGGAATACAGGTAAGTAAAACATAAGAAAGCAAAGCAATATTTTCGGTGTATTTATTTGGAATGGCTGATGCAGCTGGTGGTCCAGACCAACCGAAAGTTCATTTACTTATGCAAATAGATCTGTATATGGAGTCTATGTATTGGAAAACTTCCCATTTTTCTTGTGCTTGTAGAAGGTCACCTTCTCCTAGGCTGCTAGCTGAGTCATTACTTCTGCCCACTGTATGATTTGGGGCTGGGGCTGGTAGACCTAGTACTGAAGTGCTAGATGTGTAGCCACCATGAGTGCCCTTATATTGTCCCTGTGTCAAGTTCCAAAGGACCAGGACATCATTTGATAGTACTTTGGCATCTGTAAATCTCAAGGAGGTGTCCAGGATCATGTTTAGATGGTTGCCTAACCTATGATTGAAAGGCTGCACCTTTGGAACAGGACCAAATCATATGACATGCAAGGCATTACCATGCCAACACCTGTCATTATCAGTTAAATAGCCAGGGAGAGAAGTTGTGGCTGGGGAAACCCAGCCAGATGGGTAGGGTAGAAATAAATTAATAATAATAATAATAATACCCTAAAGGTATTCTTTTGCTGTATCAGGCATATTCTAATATCTGTGGAAATCAGCATCATACTTGTTTTCTATTGCCTAATATTTATTATTCCTTTATTTATTAACTAGGCTGTGTAGTTCTAAGGGAACTTTCCCCTTGTATGGTTAGTTTAACAGCTCCCTGCTATGTACAAGACCCGACTTAAGCAAAACCAAACCTGTGTACATTTCTTCTCAAATTAGACACCTTTTGTTCAGGTTTGCTCAGTAAAGTGACTTTGCCAAGATTAACTACCTCATACAATAAATTACTGAGGGAAAATTCTAACACCCTGAACATTTCCCCCACATTCTTTTCCCTGCCCCTGCCCCCAATTCTTTCGGTTCTATTTATTTTCACACCGCCCCACAGCCTAGGGCAGAAAAAACCACCAGCTAAAATTACCTGAAAAGGATTATAACAAAGTATTTATTTTGTCCACTTCCAGCATTTTCTTCAGCTTCTCACTGTATTGCCTTCGTTAAACTTGAGCCTATGCTTCACCATCATGTTGCAATAAAGTGTGTGTTAACAAATAAAAGGGAAGTCCCAGGAAAAAGGCAGCGCTCTCCGGCAACGGCTGTGTGGCTTCGCTCCACGGAAGAAGCAGTTGACTCTCCGCACCGCGCCACTAGCCCCTCTTCGCTCCGGAGCCCGTAGCTGGGTTCCTTTACGAGTTGGGGGGGCGTGAAAGGTGCCCGCCAAGTCCCATGGTCACAGGCTTCATCCGCCTGTGATTTTTCAAAGGGTCCCCGCTTCGCCATAGCAGGAAAGACCCGTTTTCCGTGGAGCCAGTCCCTCCAGATCAGAGGGAATCCGCCATTACCGATGGCGCCACCCCGGAATGGCGCCACCCCGGCACAATTTGGCTACTAAAATAACTACCCGTGAGTAGCTTAATTTCGGACAATTGGACTTTAAATAACTACTTGTGAGTAGAAAGGAAAATTGGACTAAGAAATTTTTCTTAATTTGGCACTGAAACGGGAAGGTCTAAACAGGAAGTCAGCCTTCCGTTTCTTGTAGATAGATTAAAGCAAAGACATGGCAAACTAGAGTTCAGAAAATCGTTTGTAAAGGATTAACCTTCATCATCTAAAATTGTTGAACCCCCTTCGGAAGCAGGAGAAGAGGGGGGATTTTTTCCGGACTGTTTAAACCTGCAGAAGAGAGTGTAAGAAAAGTAATTTTCCACCGTCTTGAACCTGGGAGCGGGGTGTCAGGACTGACGTTTTTGGGAAGTTCATTGACTATAGACAAACGTCTTTGACAGACAGTTAAAAGAAGAGAAACATAGTGATTCCACTGTTCTCCTTCGCATTTTAAAGGAACAAATATTGACAAAATATCTGAAAAAGGAAACTTTGTTGTTAGATCTGCTTTTAAAAGAAAAAGAAAAAAGAAAAGAGATGGATACAAATAGAAGTTCTTCCCCTAGAGGGAGCCTGTGAAACTGTTACTAAATTTTAACCGGGGAGCTCTGCAGCTGCAACAGATTAAGATCGTGGGAACAGACTTCCGACCTTGCATAACAATGTATTCAGAAGCTCTGGTGCGTGCTTTCTGTAAAACAAGTGCCCTATTGGAACAGTTACATGAGAAGACGGACTTGATGACTGTTGCGATCAGAAATTTTGGACAGGTAGTGGGTAATTATGTAGAACCCACCCAGGAATCAACTCAGGAGTGTGCTCTGACAGATCAGATGAGGGAGGAGTATGTTGCTGGACCTTGGGTGGCAGAGATGGAGGGAGCTGTGGCCCAGCAGGAACATGAGTTGTTGGATCTGACAAATGAACTTGGAAAAAGCCAGATTTGGAGAGATAGAGTTTTGTTTGGTTTGGAAATGGGGGGTTGGATAGACCCCCCTATGCAGGGATGTTTTGACTTTTCAAGTCTGGCAATGGGCCGTGAGATGTTTGGGGTTGTGAGGGTTCTTAACTCTTGAGGGACTTTGAAACATGTTTTTAAATACCACATGGAGTTTAGTGTGGACTATGGAAAAGGGGCTGATTGGTCGAGAAGGGACAAAAATGCTGTCAAGACGGAGTTTCCACGAGTGAAAGGAGCAGGAGACAAAGTAAAGTACAGGTATAAATATGAAGAAGATCTGCGGAAGGGACATGGAAGAGACTTAAGGGCCTCGGACATAAGATTACCAGGTTAATGAGCTAAATGGATGGGATAGAAAGGACTGACAAAACCCGGGACCAGGGAAGAGACGCTGGATGAAGATTGGAAGAAAGTTTTAAAATATTTTATTAGGATTGTTTTATAAAATTGATGAATGTTAGAAAAATGTTGGAACGAAATTATTTGGCTTTAGCAGAAATGTTAAAAGAATTATGTAAGAATATGTTATGGTTATGAGAAATTGGTATAAATAAGATCTAAGTTTTAAGTTTTAGGGTCTTTTATAGTAAGATAAGGTTAAAATAGATTAAGGTAATTTAATGACAGAATACTATGAAAAATGGAAAGGATTTGCTGTGATAATTAACAACTAGAATACAAAAAAGGGAGGAGTGAGGAGGTCGATGAAATAAGGTAATGACAGTTAAGGATTTGGGAACATTGGATTTGTTTTTAAATTTTTGTGGTCTATTTTTGCTTTTTGACTGTGATCTGTTACGTGTTTTGTTGTTGTTTTTTGATTTTGATTTTTATCAATTTGTATTGTTTGATTGTGCTTTGTTTTCTTTTCTTTTTCTTTTGTTTCTTTATTTTTTCCCTTTTTTTTCTCTTTGCTTTTCCTGTAATTTTAAAATTCTTAATAAATATCATTTTTTAAAAAAAACAAATAAAAGGGAAGTCATTTCCCCCCCTTACCATTATGCATTCCTCCACACACCCATCCATTTACAATGGGGAACTCTACATCAGAAACTGAACGCCTCCTAATTTACGCCAGCACAGCTGAGAGCAGAATCGAATCGTCTGCACATGCCCAGAGCAGCTACATGGCTCTGTCATAGGGGTTGTGTGCCTTGTGCGATGCTAGATTGCCCACTGTGAAAAGGATGCCTCTCACAACTTAATTTCTTGTCCAATCTTATGACATTTTGTTTCTCAGTTTGAAGTATCATCAGCCTTGCTATGTTGTTCTGCACTGTGTGTACAAGCAGTGGTTATCGGGAATATGCTGAAGGCAGTTAATTAAAATGTGTTCTCTCTTTATCACTCTGGTGCTGTTACAGAACGTGCAAGTGATGTTTCCATAACAATCCCTTTCTTGCACATCCATTCCCATCAAGGGGCCGGCTGCTCTCCTGCCTCAGGAGTGACCTGACTGTCTTTTTTTCAAATGTTTTCAAGTTGGCCTGCAGCACAGAGCTTTGCTTAAAATATCCAGTGTGACTCAGCTAGAAGGAAATGTAATATGGGACAATAACTAGAAATGAACTGCCTGGTGTGTATGCTGCCATGTCTGTAGAAAAGAAGAAGTACAGGGTCGTCTCTGTGCATGATCAGTTTAAAAGCTATATATTTTTCTTTAGCTCAAGTGGTTAGAGAAAGATCATGTTAATTCTGTTTGTTGCACAGACCAAGAGTTCAACACCGAAAAAGTAATTCTCGTTAAATACAGTGGTATTATTCCAGTGGTTATGTGCAATGGTTATGGCCTACAGCCTTATTCTGAGATGAAAATCATGCTCACCTTTGAAATCCATAATATGCCCAGACCCAGTTCTAGTTTATACAGACTGCTGCTATTCTGAGGTGGGATTCAATCACATACCAGCAAATTCAGGACCTGCAATTATAGTTGCAGTCTTGCAAAACAAATCCACTTCTCTTTTTGAAATAAGGGAAGTAAAGGAAGCATGTACTGGGAAGTGTAAGAGAATACCTGCTCTGATGCAACATTGCATAGGTGTCACCTTCAGAAGAAGAATGGAGGGGCAGCAATGTGCAGGGCGTGGCGTCGTGCGTTTGACATCGGGACATCAGAGAAGAAAAAGAGAAGAGTTTGGATTTGATATCCCACTTTATCACTACCCTAAGGAGTCTCAAAGCGGCTAACAATCTCCTTTCCCTTCCTCCCCCACAACAAACACTCTGTGAGCTGAATGGGGCTGAGAGACTTCAAAGAAGTGTGACTAGCCCAAGGTCACCCAGCAGCTGCATGTGGAGGAGCGGAGGCTCGAACCCGGTTCACCAGATTACGAGAGTACCTCTCTTAACCACTACACCACACTGGCAGAGGAGCCAGGAGTGGAGCCGAGAGCGGTGGCTTGGCCCTTGAAGCCATGCTGCTGCTGCTGCTGCTGCTGCCACCACTGGCCTAGGGTTAATTCCTGCCACCTTTGGACTTGGGGGACCCCCGACCCCCTCCCCAGAATATTGGGGGACCCAAAGGGAGATGGCGCCCCTACTACATTGTCTAACCTCCCTACAGAGAAATACGAGTGAATACTCAATAAATAGCTGGCATTGTGTATTCTCCCTAGAACCAAATCAGGATGAATGGTCAGTAAGCAAGTTGCCTGGAAGCACCCATAGTCAGTAGAATCAAGTAGCAAGTCTCCTGGGGAAAGTCCTCATGAAATTGGTGGTATGGAGAATTTGAACCTCTGGAAAAAAATAGTGAGTTTGGTGAAAGCTAGGCTAGGAAATGTCAGTCCTCAGTTTAGAATTTGTCACATTTCCTGCTCTTAAGTTCCAGGTATAGGAACTTGTTTGGCTATTTTGCTGTATTTGTTCATCGAACAGTTGTGAATCAGAGCAGGAAATAAATCTGAATGCCCCGCCTCCCATATTGATCCCACGATGTACTGTACTTTTGTACTTTTCTGTTCAATGTTGCAAAAAATAGGAACACTCTGTGAAAATAATTTTCACAGTAGAATGGGTGACTTGTACTTTGTGGGTAATGCTCATAAATTAATTTCTCCTTGAAGTCTTAAGAAACATCTGTGCTCTTGCATGCTTAAGTGAACATCATAAGCTGCAGTATACAAAAGCAGACTATTTATCTCTCCAGCCCAGTATTGCCCATTTTGACTGGCCACATATTTATTGCAAGTGAACCTTTTTTTTGAGGGGGGTGGGGACAAGGACGTATTGTCAGACTCCATGTCTAACGGTGGTGAAAAGATATATGTTAGGCAGTGTAATCTGTACATCATGAGTGATATTGGATGTCTCATGAAAAGAGAATCTGTGCATACTGAAGAAAATGAATACAAAAAAATCTATTGCAAACCATGCCCCCTTGAAAGGTAGTTCATGAGATCTGCTAAGAGGCTCCAGGAGATGGCAGAATAGATCTTCTGGAGTATCTTTTAAGATGGTGGCACATAGTGTTCCAACAGGGTAGCAGGAGTGTGCAAAATCCTATGGTATCTTCTGTATAGGATTATGCCTTAAAACTACTTCACATACACACGCATAGAGACAACCTGCACACAAACATGAATCAATAAACTACTAAAACATTGAAGAGATACAAGTGCTGCCAACAAGAGAGCAGTTGAGTGAAAACTCTTCACACTGGCAGGTGAAAAGCTTGCTGGGAAGGAAATGCCTTAAATAACAAAAAGTCTGGGGAGAGGGCAAATTGACCTCCCCTGGCAAGGAGTTCCATAGATCCAGACCAATGAAGAGAACTGACAAGATTCCAACATGTGTGCCATGTGTGTTGTCAGGGATGTGGCTCAACCGAGCTCAAGGGGAGAGTCAGACTCAGAAATAGAGCCAAGTGAGAGAGAGGCCAGCTCTGCAGACGAAAGCTTCGATCCCCCTTCATGTAGAAGTCACAGACACAGATAGCTCTCAAGCAGAGGGAGAGTTAGGAGGCAGTCAGAGTGTTGCTAGGGAAACAGCAGAGAGGCAGAGGATAGAGAGTGTGTCTAGTGGAAGTGGGGAGGGGGAAGTCCAACCTCTCAGTCCCCGTTCTCGGAGTCTGGACAAGGTCAGAGTGCAATGGAAGGGCAAGAGAGGAAGGGCAGGAATTGGACGTCCTTCCTGCTGTGAGAGGGGCAGAGATTCAGACTGACCAACTCCTTCAATGAGAGCAGGCTAGAAGCTGCACTCTGGATGTGTTTTTGTAAATAAAAGTACCATAAAACTGTTGGAGAGTCATTAATTCTTATTGAGGCTTGCTTGCCTGTCTGAGATCATTACATGTGCGATGTATAATGTTATACACTGGCACCAACTATAGGGGACCTTGGGGGCCCGAGCACCCACAAAAAATTGTTGTGGGTGCTTTGCAGCCACACCACAGGGCATCTGATGTGACTTCTGATGGCATCGGAAGTCACGCCAGAGGGCTTGTGAGGCCTCGGAAACCACCTCTGAGGCCTTGCGAGGCCTCCAATGCAACTTCCAGTGCCTTGTGAAGCACTCAAGGTTGGAGGTGGCATCCGAGGCCTCACAAGCCCTCTGACGTGACTTCCGATGCCACCAGAAGTCACGTCAGATGCCCTGTGAGGTGTCTGAGGTCTCATGGGGGCTCAGATGTAACGTCTGGGGTTCCCAGGCACCACTGTGATGTCATGCTGTCACATTCCGTCATGCGCCGCTGGGCACCCACAATCTGGCCCAAGTCGGGCCCCCTGATGCTATAGGTGGATGTTGTTTCATAATGTGGATGTATGTGGATGCCTTTGCAATGGAGTGCACTTTTAGCATAGACTTTTGGCACCAGCCTTTTGTCCTTTTGTGCTCAATTACACCTGCAGGTGATAACAGTGCCTTTAGCCAGACCAGAATGAAGTGTTTGGCCACCAAGTTGTTCAGTGATTAGAGAAGGTAGATAGAAAAAATCAGTTTTGCTCATCTGCAGGCGCTCTCATAGTTAAATGAAAAATTCCCCTCTTATTCGGCTTTTTTTCCTCTGTGCTTGCCAGAAGCATTTTCTGAGCTGCTTTTTCATAGGCAGAAAACATATTGGTGTGTGCTTTTCAAGTCAGCTGAGTAAATCTTCCCATGACCCTGCATATTTGGGAAATATATTTTAAAAACAAACTCCAAAACACAACACCACAAAGATTGGCCTTGTAGCAAAGGCCTTTTCAATAACTGTGTTGCAAGCATTTGCGTCAAGCAACTGGATTTCCAGGCAGAAGCTTTTTCTACCAATTGCTTCATTAAGAGCACTTGTGTGAGGTGATTTGCGAAGTTCTGGGGCCTAATACAAAAGATCTTTGATGCTGTGTCTCTATGTTCCGTACTTTGCCTTTCCTGATATTTATAGAATCTTTCCTACTGACAATATATCACCTCTTCCCTTTCCCTCCATGTTCCCTTGCCATTAAGAGTCTTGGGTCACTATGTCTCTGTCTGGTTTCCAGGGAGCTTGCACATTATTTTTCTGTATATTTGTTTTATTTTTCCCCTGCTTATTCCAGTAACCCTTGCACAGATTCCAGGCAAAGTTTATTGGATCAACAAGCTGAGCAGAATGATAATAATCAGAGCACGCCTCAGAAAACAGAAAGCTGCAGAAAGCACAAGATTCCTCTTTGTCTTTTATTTGTATTTTGTCTTCTTTTGAGGGAACTGATAGCAACTGAGTCTGGTATGAACATTTTGTTTCATGCAATCCTCTTCTCTGAGCAGCAAGAAGTCCCCAAGGATGCAGGCTTTGTTCAGAAGATTGATTGATTGGACATTGATGATGCTCTGTGTAATATTTGACTTTATTTCTAAATATACAGCTTGCATACATGCAGAGGCACAGCTTAGACACTCGAACAAGCAGGCAGATCTACTATTCTACATTATATCTCCAGAACCCCTGATGTTCTTAACCCACAGAGCCTCCAAAACAAAGGCCTCACTCTCGCTGTCTCACAGGTCTTAAGGTCTTTTAAAGAACTTGCACAAAGGATGTCTATCAACTAGTCTTCCCAAAAATGGTACTGTTGTTTTCCACTTGTGGCTAGCTTGCTAGAGAGTGGAATAAGGCTGAGCCATCTTCTCCAACCTTCATGTAACTTGACTACCCAGTGTTAAGGCCTAGTCAAGGCCTAAAGCCAACGTGTATTGATATTAAGTGCCTATAAACAACAATCTGGGTCACAGATTAAATTGCAATACATCACCTTAATTGGAACAACTCCCGGGGAATAATCTCACATATGAATTGCTCACTTGTTTGTAAATACAGTTCCTCCTTGTGTATTTTTGATGGACTCTCTCACCTTGAAGACAGTTTTGGTTCCATTTTGAGCAATGGCCTCAATACGGAGATGAGACAAGGCTTGGTTAGTACCCTGGACAGCTCCATGCAGGACTCAAATTAGAATTTACATAAAAGCAGAGCTCAAATGTTGTTTCAGCAACAGGGATTCTCAGACTGAACCTTAAGTAGCAGCTGCAGCGCTGAGACACCAGCTCCGTCTTCCATAAATACAACATCTTCATTTAAAGGGGCCTTGCTTACTTTAGGCCTTGTGGACTCTGACTGAGGATGGGGGAGACTGTGGTTCCAGTAGGGCTTCTGAGATGGATCCTTTGAAGTCAGAGGAAGGTAGCACAACCTCCTCAACCTGCAGAGGTTCTGGAACAGTGGGCTCCTGTTGCCCACATGCTTCCCATTTAGTACTCCTGGAGCTGGCTCCGGGAGCAATTGCTTCTCCAACTCCAAATCCCAGTCTCATCCAGTGAATATGGGGGCTCCAACCCAAGTATCGTGACCCTGTTCCAAGTGAAGCTGAACTTTCAGCCCAGACATTGGAACAACAACTTCAAAGGGGCAAAAAGGAAACTGGATTTTTAAAGAACAAGCAAAAACCAAAACTCTCTGTTATTCTATAGTACAAGAATTCCTGCGGGTCTGAGCAAGAGAATATTCACCTGAATACCGCTTGAACGCTAACCCTCTGTTCATCCCACAACCTTTATCTTCTTGTAATATCTGGATTTATTATCTTATTCTCTGAAAAGAAATCCAGATCATGGTTCCCTTCCTCAAATACGCCCCCTATATGAAGATAATGAAAGAGATAACAAACTATCTTCCTTGCTAAGAAGGAACACTATCCCTGAGCTGTGATCTGTTTATTTTTTTATAACCAAAGCCATCAATTCCTTCCCATTTGATATCCATTATCCAGGATGTTACCACAATTAAACTGTGCTGGCAAGTAGCCCATTTGGAAACATCTGTGCTGTACAGCACATGCTAACAGGGGTGCAGGGTGGAGAAAATTATATCTCTTCGCACTGCAATTACAGCACTATTTTGTCATTTTCTTGCAGATGTACTCTGCAATGTATACTTACCCCGCTCTATGTTATTTCTTTCCCTGTCCCTTCCTTGGCCTGCAGAAAGATTACTCTTGCTTCTCCCTATCCCTATATGCAGAAGAAGGACTGAGTGACCAGCTGCCTCGTGCAGAATGACGCAGATCCATTTCCTGCTGCTTTCTGAGCCAAGGGCAGTTGTGCGTAGTCCTAGCATCAAATAGATGTATGTGTTCTTTGGCACCTGGGAAGCAAAAAGGCAAGTTTGGTAGTTTTTAATTCCTCACTTGAGACAGATACGCAGTTCGGTGAAGTTATATGGATGGTGTGAGCTATGTAGAATCTGACTATTCTATCTAGATGTAAAAAAAAACAAAACCACATTGAATGTTTAACTATGAACTATGTAGTTGAGAATAAGGTCTTTCTCTGATGACCAACTCAAGCTGTGGCAGCTACAGGAAGAAATCACTCAAGGTCCAAGGACATGCAGATGCATCAGCTACACCATAAGAACCTACAGGCATGTAAAGACGTCAGATCACGTTGGGTCAAGGTTTTGTTTTTTTCAGTGTGAGCGCCAGCTGGCCTGAATCCTGCACAGGCTGCCATGTGATAATGTCAGCATGAGCTGGCTTTTCCACATGGCTGCCACTAGCTGAGATTATCCTTGGATCAAGTTTGTTTAACCTGTGCTTACTTGAATCAACAACTTTATCTCAAGATTTGTTTACGATAACGTCCAGGGAACCCTCATGTCTTTGCAGTCATGTCTGTTGGCTGACTATTGCAGACCATTAATGGTGACTGCCAATGTTATAAATATTCTCTTTGATAACTTCTTGGCCTTGGGGTGGCCTGGTCTGTAATGAGCCATCAAACTGCACTTTGTAATTAAAAAAAGAAGCCACTACAGGTCCTTTGAAGTAGTGGAGGCAGTTGTCCCAGGCCTCACACACAGAAGGGCCCATCGCAGCACTGACAGTACAGGACAGTCCCACTAAGAAGCAAAGGAAGGGAGGCCACAAATAAGCATTCAGACCCTGGGTTTCTCAGGGTCTTGAAAAAGTCTAGGGCAAGCTACTAGGGGTGTTGAGTTTGCCTGCTTGTATGGGAGCAAAAGAACCCCAAGGATCATATTTGATCAGCCGGAGAAAGGGAACCGTTTTAATTTGTCCAAAAAGTGTGAGTTTCTGGAGCTTGCTAGCAAGAAAGTCTGGTGCTGCTGCTGCTGGTGCTGCCGCCAGGGGTTGCTGTGGCTTTGGCTAATTGGTGGTAGCGGGTGTGTTAGGTCTAGCATTTCCACTCTGCATTCCTGCTTACTTTACTTGTATGCTTGTTCATACACTGATATTGCAAAAGTACTACATTCTGGAAATATTCTGTTCTCACAATGGAATTGCCTCTCGAGAGCTGCCCTGGACTTTCTTCTGCTGAGGGAATGAGCAAAACTATTTTTTGTGGGATATGCACAGGGTCATCCCTAAGCCAAATGAGCCATTTGCTTTGGTGGGGGATACTGAAAGTGCCAAAAAACCTGACGCAGCTTCTGAGTGTCATCATGAGCAAAAGAAAAGTCTTGAGCCCCAGTCATCGAATGTGGCACTGGGAATGTACACTGGATGCCCTTCTGAGGCTACTCAGTGTTGTGCTTTTTGCACCACTGTAGCAGAAAGAAAGAGTCCTTGTTTGTTTACTCCTTGTTTGCTTCGTTCTTTTATTTTCATTTTGAAAGCATAAGCTGTTGTAGGCTTGAAACACAGCGAAAGAGTCCTTTTCATGGATTTGTAAACAGGGCTGTAATAATAACTTGCCCTTCTTCAATGACATTTTTCATCTTCACATAACAATAATATTTACCAAGCTGAGCATCACAAGTCCTTCTGACCTGAATCATGCCCTGATGTGACATGTTACTCTTTTCATGCTGAAAAAGATGCCATGCCTCTGTTTAAATAATGAGTAATTCCAGGTGTTCTGGCAAAGCCCACGCTCCCTCTTAATGTAACAGGCTCGGAGGAGAAGTGTTTTGTGTAAACCGTGTAAAGAAGGCTTGCAGATGGTTACAAAAAGCAACTTCCCCCATTGCCCCCCTCTTCATTGGTTGTTCTTAACATCTTAGTTTTGATGTTCATCCTCCAATAGTCCTGAAGGATGGTCTAAGTTGAATAAAAATCTTCATTTAGTAGTAACTGTAGTGACTTGTTACAAACCTATTCTGTCTCTTTGTCTCTCTGTCTCTCTCTCTCCATAAGCTAGTGAGTGGAATACTTTTGCAACTCTGAGTTGACTAGGGTGGAACAATAAACAGGGAGGATATAGAAGACTCTTCTTCTGCTTTGAGTCTTCTGACCCAATGGCCAAAGTCTCCAGGGACTGTGGCACTCAGGGACCAGCTGCCTTCTTGGACTTCCTCTTTGGCTGTTTGTGGACATGCATCTGGAAAGATCTCACGCCCTGATTTGGCCCCATCTCTTTATGCTGTGAGATGCTCCACCTGACCCGGGTCATGGTAGGTCATCCATTGAGCTTCTGCTATGAAATGAATTGCCATGTGGGTTAGAGAATGCAATTTTGTGTGGGACTACAACAATCCTTTGAAGAGTGTACCCACTGAATCAGAGACAGGTGGTATGTGGGAATCAATATGACCAGCCCGGAAGGTTTGCCTTGCTTAAGACCTGTAACAAAAATAGAAAATGGATAAAATCTTCTCTAATGCTTATTCTTTTTTCTTTTTTTCTGCAATAGTCTGAAGCTTTTCTGCAGAATTGCTGTCCAAAGCCAATCAATAGTGACAATAAGAGGCTTTCTGCACCCTCACTTTCTAGTGCCACAAATGTGCACTTGTTGCTTGCTTGGTGCAGTGGCAGTCTGTATGTATTTCCTTGAGGGGATACTTTTGTTGCAACCATTCACATATTATTAGAGAATATTTTCTATATTTTAGCATGTAGTAAAAGTAGTGCTTCCTCCAGACAGCACAACCATGGCTATTGCAATTGTAGTATGGAACACTGTCGTCTGAAGGATGGCCATAGACACTTACTGCATATTATCTGTGGCATTATTAGTGATGTCATAAATAGTCATGACTGTACCATTTTGTGAACACCTATGTTTCATAGGGACGCAGGTGGCACTGTGGTCTAAACCACAGAGCCTAGGGCTTGCCGATCAGAAGGTTGGCGGTTCGAATCCCTGTGGCAGGGTGAGCTCCCGTTGCTCAGTCCCAGCTCCTGCCAACCTAGCAGTTTGAAAGCACGTCAAAGTGCAAGTAGATAAATAGGTACCGCTCCGGTGGGAAGGTAAATGGCGTTTCCGTGCACTGCTCTGGTTTCGCCAGAAGCAGCTTAGTCATGCTGGCCACATGACCCGGAAGCTGTATGCCGGCTCCCTCGTCCAATAAAGCGAGATGAGTGTCGCGACCCCAGAGTCATTCATGACTGGATTTAACTGTCAGGCGTCCTTTACCTTTTTTATCCATGAGGTTAGACTGTATTCAGTCTTTATTGAGTGAATCTTCTGATTTGTTTGCTGTTCGTTTTTTTTTCAAAAAAGGGTATGTGTACACCTGCAAACAAATACCTACAAGGACCTCAAATTTCTGGAGTTTATGGTGTAGGAGGAAGTAATCATTGAGGGAAGGGGACAACTACAGACAACATGAAAACATCCCATCAAGTGCCAATCACTAGTGTGGATGGGAAGCATTGAGATAGATTCTGGAGACATAAAACTGAAAGTGTTCATGTGCGGATGAAAGTGCACAAATGTGCTCACAGGAACAGTGACCTATGTGCAAATTAATGCCCTGGTGTGTCATTCTTGACAATCGACAACCTGCTGTGCCTGAAACAAGCAAATTATAGATGTGTGCTCCTGCCTTCTTCTCTTGCCTTCCCAAAGAGAGTATAGGTCTTACATCCAGTGTCTCAACGTCTGACTTTTGTTAATTTATATATTTGACTGTTATTTTTTAGAAGTGGGGGGGGGAACATTCTGAAGAGGGATTTTACAAATTGGTTGATATGTGTGAAAGGGCCAATGGAATAATCCCACTGACGTCAGTTCTCTGGTGTCTTTTTCAGAACCTCTCCCAGTTCTTATTCTCTTATTCTTTAACATACTTTACAGCTGGCTTGTGCTTTTGTTACTGCAGCTGGGCCAACAGTTTTAGTGATTTCTCCATCTGCATCATAACTCACTAGCCGTACTCTCTGTCAGCAACATATTTATTCTGTTCTCTGGAGGCATACGCAGCCTGATGGTTTTCATTAGTACATAATCTCTAGTTTGCTCCCAGACTAATTTATCTGACTAGTAATCTCAGCATTCTGATCAATGACCTAGAATCCTAAACAAACTCCACAGTTTGACTTTCTTTAGTACATAAGTATTGAAACTTTGTTGCAGCAACTCAGGAGAGCCTTGCTCTTTTGAACACTGATGCAAATAGAAGGGCAGGAGCAGGAAGGATGTATGAATGTCTCAGAAGCAACATGTGATGCATGGGGTATTTGATCTCTGCCATTGAGATATGAAACCTCTCCATTTCACTATTACGGCTGGATGAGGGGAGAACCCTGCTCCTCTGAAGTCCTCTTAAGAGTCGATGTGGTATTTCTCTGAAATATACTCAGAGTCGAGTGTGGATTTCATGCTCTTTATTCAGCTCATAGTGGTGAGGAGGAATGGAAGTTCCCCCAGAATGTCTGCTTTGTATACATTATTTACACAATGGGCCCCAGGTGATTGGCTAATTCTGGGATTCTCCTGTAGGCCAATCAGGTTGCGGATTCACTTCCACCTGGAGCTGGATTGGGTGGCTCCTGTGGACCAATCAGACTGCTGCATTCTGGAGCCTATTGTTCTAGGACCAATCAGGCTGCTGCATTCTGAATCCTATTGTTCTAGGACCAATCAGACTGCTGCATTTTGGATCCTATTCAACTCAGTACATAACATTCTCCCAGGCCTGATGCAGGTGGTGAGACACCAGAAATGTCTGCCCCAAAGAGGACAACACCAAAGGGAGGGGTGCCCTGCTGCATTAATGCCGTTTTGAGTGAACCCTGTTTATTTCTGAGGTGCCACCCTTAAGTGGGTAAGTCTGGAACAACAAGCAAAGCTCTCAGACCGAGTGGAATTAATCAGTACATAATACCATCAAAATATGGGTCCAGTGGATGAGCTCTCATAGGGCACTGCATTTTCACAGCTGACATACTGCTTGAGTGAATGATAACAGTGTTATTTTCCATTGTCCAGTATTTAAACCGATGACTCAGAAGCATCCAGTCTCCGATAAACAATAGCAACAACCCGAACAACAACCCAAATCTCTTTAGAGCTACTACTTTCAGCCTGAAAACTGAGCACCAAAAGCATGAGCTAGGGTGATTTCAAACAGAACTGAAAGTTACCAAGGCAATTTTTTTCTTCAGTTTTTCTTGTTATTTTTTAATCTAAAGAAAATCCCAGCACTACTATGAAAGCCTTCACCATACATTACTGTGGTTTTGGTCGAAGACGGAAACGCAACGCTATGGTAATTTGCAACCAGAGACCTTTCCACCAGCTCACTAACAATGGGGCAAAGGCCTAATATGAGTTGTTGTTCTTTTCTTTTCTTTTTTTAAAAATCATTTCAACAAGGCCAACCACAGCAAAATTTTCTTCCATAAAAGGTAGCATGTTTCTACTTGGTGATTCACATTCATCTTTCTGGCGGATCTGAGCTTGTGTTGGAGCTTGCAGGCTTCTTGTATTGTTTCATTTTTATTTTAAATCCTCTCTATAATTCGGAGTTTTAAACTGAACTGGGTATAGCAGATGACAGATGTGGCTCCCTTTCCCAATTCTCTAATATTTATGTCTGCAAATGTTTTATTTGGAAGTAATCTGCCAGAAGAAGAAGGGGAAAAAATGCTGGGCCCAGCTCCATATCCCTCTTCCATCTCAGGACATTCCTGGGTCTAACAGCACGAACTCTCGCAGATAAATATTTAGGAGAAAGCAGAGAGGCTGTTTTACTGAGACACACAAAATGCAGTTGGGATTAAACTGAGAGCCACCTCACCTGCCAGACTGTGGGGCAGTGAGACAAAGGCTTTATGACATGCGTGCCAGTGGTGGCTAGGGCCAGTGCTTTTTTTCTGAAAAAATGTTTAGGGGTACTCTCATTTTCCTACTCAGTATTGAAATACTGCCTCTCAATGAGGCCAAACTTAGATTCACAAAATGTTTAGGGGTATGCTTCCCCCTGGGTCCCCCCAGAAAAAAGCACTGGCTGGGGCTAATGAAAAATGTGGGCGAAGCTCCCCCCCCCCCACAGTCGTTTGTACACAAACACACACATTCCTACATATCTACATTTTTTAAAGCACATGCATTCTTGAGGGGAGGATTAACACTTCCCTTCTCAGCTGCAAAAACGTCCCCTGCCCTGCATGGCAATTTAGACAACAGCAGCAATCTCCTCTTCTTAGACATTTTCATTATATTGTTTTAGTATTGATATGCTTGCCACCCTAGGCTCCTTTGGAGGAAGGGTGGGATACAAATTCAATAATAATAACATGAAATCAATTTAGCTTGAAAATGTTCTCTCATTGGAACCAAGTGGAAGCTTTCTTCAAGCTTTAACACTTTCCTTTCCAAATAGCATTGCTTCTATACCCTCCCCATTGTAGAAAGGGACAACCATGATCGGGAATGCTGTGAAGAGCAGGGAGTATTTAACCCTTTCCTCACTATACACAACAGTCCTAATGAATACCACTCCCTCCTACAATGGGGGGCGGAGGAAAGGGGACTTGCCCACTTGACTACAGAGTGTTAGAAGTCTTGGAGCACAGCTGGTATTCCATTTCCTGCATAAAGAAAAAACAGTAATGATTGAGTGCTGCCAAATTATTCATATCCGGAATCAACCCAAACTATGATCAGTCCCAGTAGCAATGCTTGGGATTTTCACCCATAAACTCTTGTCAATTAGAGGACTAATAAATGAAACTCTGGCAGGTGGCTGCAGGCTCACAGCTCCCCTGCCATCAGAAGCCTTTCTGCGTGGCAAGAATATATGACTTTATGAGCTGCGGTCTAGGTTGCATCTCAACCACTAATTCAATTTTAAGGTGTCTGTTGTTTTCAAACTGCATTCGGGGAAGCCCCGGTGTTGCTTGGAAGCTTATCAAAGGAGATTAGTAACAGCAGGTAAATTTCCCTGAAACACAGTTCATGCATAGCTACCAAATACTAATTCAGTTTGCTGTGGGTCTCCTATCAGTTTCTGTAAGTAGGGCTATTGGTATGAGGCAATACTGGGCTTGACCGAGGAGTGTTGATAGCCTATGCTGCCCCAGTGTTCTGTCTCCATGGAAGCTAAAAAGGCTAGGTGATGGTCAGAAAAGATAACTAATCTGCAGAGACACCCCTGAAAAAACCCCCCGCATACACAATCTAGCCAGGCAGAGGTCTTAGGTGCCTTAGGTGAACAACAAACTGTAGTTTGAGTGAGACAGAGGGAAACAAACAGAGAATTGAGTTTGGATGCTGGAAGCATCTTAGGGTGTTGGAGATCTAATGTGGGAAACACTGGACTTGGGCTGCCTGTTGTTTAGGCTGTGCCTCCATCTATGCTCAACTTGTATATTTAGAAATAAATGCAGATATTACAAAACACCAAGAAGCCTCCAGTGGCCTCCTTCCAAAGGAAACCAAGGTGGGGTTAATGCTGCATCCATAGAACATATCAGCACTCAAGAGAACTTGGATGAGCATAACCAACATGCCCCACCAGTCCATGTTCACCAGAGATAGTTCCTATTTTCTGACCCTGCTCCTAGTAGACCGCTCTGCTTATTTTATCTCTCTTGTCCCTTGCAGCGGGGGAGCAATATTTTTGGAATGCCTTTAGAAAATATTGCCAGTGTACACAAGTGTTCATCAGATTTTAGTTTCCTACCTTAGGTCTCTAGCAGTTAAATATCTGAGCAAGAGGGAAGATGCAGCTACTCTGCACATACACTTGTTTATTGATTCCATTTATCCTGACCTTCCTCCATGGGGGTTCAGGTGTGGCCCACATGATCCTTTCCATTCCCATTTCATCCTCACAACAGTGGCTGCAAGATGGTGACTGGCACAAGTGTGGAGAGGTGGGTCTCATTGGCCTTAAACTGGCACTAGCCATTACAACACAACAGTTCTCCACATGCACCCAGATGGACAAGACTATGTGACGGATAACTTACCCCATGGTGGTTTACCAGTGGCCCTTCAAATACTATTGGACTCTAATTCCCATCAGTCCCATTCAGCATGGCCAGTGGCAAGGAATGCGGGGAGTTTCAATTCAGCAAATATCTGGAGGGCCACACATTCCTTACCTTAGCACCTTGTGTAGGACAGGGTTCCTGTAAAGGAAATTGTACATGCATACATAGCAGCAGCCAACCTCCTTTAACAACACCAGAGGTGGTAGTTTCTGTGGTTTACACACAAGAGGTGGAGGTGACCAGGATTTTTAAACCTAGCCAGTATAGGTCCTTTCAACCACAAATAAACATATAGTTCTTCCTTTTTCAGTTTTTTTTTTAAAGTTGAAGTGTATACTGCATTGGGAAACAAGGAATAACTGCTACCCCCCCATAACAAACCACAAATAGTTCAAATAGTATTATAATCTGCAAATAATATAAAGCCACTGGTATATATTGCAAGAGCAGTTCTTGTGATATATGATGGCAGCTATGTCACACTAGGCTAAAGAAAGATAGATCCTTGAACCTTTAATCACAGCTCTAATCCTCTTTGCCTCTTCATTGCTTTCCTCTGGATCTTCTTCAGGTGGCCCGTATCTTTAGCAAACACAGGACCCAACTTGAAAGGACAAAGTTCTCCTGCGGTGGTCTGAACAATGCAAAGCAAAGAAGCACCATCACTTCTTGTTTCACTAAGATGCTGCGGCCGATTCTATGATTGCAGCCTCAAGATGGCATTTGATTGTTTTGCAATAGCATCGCATTCCTGGCATAAGTCCTTTTGTGTGTGTAATCCACTAGATGTTCTTGTCAGATAGATACACACCAGAACTATGAAAAGCCATGTAGAATAGGTCTTTGTTGCTCTTCCACACTGATTATAGCTCTTGAGCAGCTGCCTTCTCTGGATTTTCCTTTTTTGGCTTCTAGGTTGGAATAATAATAATATATAATAATTAGTTACTTATACCCTGCCCATCTGGCTGGGTTTCCCCAGCCACTCTGGACGGCTTCCAACAAAATATTAAAATACAATAGTACTTAAGATATTAACAGCTTCCCTAAACAGGGCTGCCTTCAGATGTCTTCTAAAAGTCTGGTAGTTTTTTCCTTTGACATCTGGTGGGAGGGCGTTCCACAGGGCAGGCGCCACTACTGAGAAAGTCCTCTGCCTGGTTCCCTGTAACTTCGCTTCTCGCAGTGAGGGAACCGCCAGAAGGCCCTTGGCACTGAACCTCAGTGTCTGGGCAGAATGATGGGGGTGGAGAAGCTCCTTCAGGTATACTGGATAATCCCTCACTTACCAGTAACATTCACTGGTGCAGTTAGTTTTCAGCTCTGAACTTAATTTTCAGGGTTGGGGGGGGATAAGCAATGTTTCACACCGAGGAAGGGTCATAGCTTTTGTGTTGCATGCAGAAGGCCCCTGATTCAAAACTCAACAAAGGTAGGACCAGGAATCTACCTAAGGTCCCAAACCTTGGATAGCTGCTATCAGTCAGGGTTAGATAGGCCAATGACCTGGCTCCATAAAAACTTCCTAGAGTCCTACTTTCCTAAAATAAAGTTAAGCTACAAAGTGGGAAACACTGCGCCAGAGTTACTTGTAGTGGTCTAGTTCCACACTTGGATGTAAAATTTCCAGGCCTAGTACACAGGTTGTGAATTGAGATTTCTGCAAATAAAGATGGTGGGTGTCCCATCAGCACTGTGATTTGCAGTGCACTCAGCTGTCCTGTAAACAAGTTTATAAAAGTTTTGTGTTTCTTTTAAGGTAGGAGGAAGGCATAGGATATTCAGAGTCCAGTGGTGAAAAACCGGAGGCAAGGGCCCTCTGGAGTACCTCTAATAATGGCCATGGCCATTCACCTCACTATGCTTGATGGGGCTCATTGGAGTAGGGCTTCTGAAGAAAATATTACAATTTGGCTGGTTTTTGTGGTAGAAGATGGTCTTACCCTCTTTAGGACTTTTAAGGCCAAGTTTTTAAAATGGGTCCAGAAGTGGACTTGGAGCCATAACATCTGACTAAACACTGGTGTAATATGACTGAAATGCTCACTCTGAGGTAGCAATCTTGCAGCCATTTTCAAAGGTAACCTTACATGTAACTCATTGCAAATGTCCAAAGAGGTTGTTATCAGAGCATGGGTAACTATGGCCTGGCCATTCCCAAATGGTCGCAGTTGGTTTATCAGGCAAGGCCGATTTGGGAATGGCCAGGCCAAAAGGTACTTCAAGCCACAGAGGCTACCTGATCTTCTGGTGACAACCCTGGCTCAATAAGCATCTCCAGGTTTCAGATCTGATCCCTGGGTTGAACACCACTCACCTACACTTCTGAGTAAAAATCAGAGGAATGAAGACTCTTTGGCACAGATAGACATGCTGCTTCTCACATAAATATGCATGGAAGGAAACGAAGCTGAGTCTACATAGCCACGCAAGCTTTTAATGTCTCAACCTCCTGTATTTGTTTTCTTTATATAATTTCTGATTATTTAAGTCTAGCAATGTGCCCTTGATAATTTAATCAGTTGAACACCTGATATTTTCCCATGTTTACACTTGGACACACCTGGCAGTGTTCTCCATATACTGTCAATAATTGAGTTTGGCTAGCATTTAGTAAGGTGCATCACTGGTGCATTTCCATCAGTGAGTTGAATTTTCGGGATGATGAACAGTGAGACAACAAGGCAAAAAGATGAGGCAAAAGTACCATCGGCATTACCTAGTCCAGTGCTTCCATAATCCAGGTGCCAAGTAAGTGATGAAATTACCATTATCTGTGTTGAATCCAAGCAACCCAAGCCATTTTGTTGATCTCCCTTTCTAGAGACCAGCAAGGCAGAAGATAATTAAGTTTAAAGCTGACCACGGAATAATCTCAAACACATCACCACTAGCAATAGCAGTCTTCTGTCTTTTCAAAGGTCAGTCAGATGTTCTGCATCACATTCCTTGTAAATTGACAAGACTGTATTCTTGAATTATTGTTTGGAAATGAATGGCTTGATATTAGATGTTGTTGGACATAAGCTTTCATGGACTGGAAGTATACTCAAAATCCACAATGGCAAGTCCACAAGCCATTGGCTGCTGGTCCACAGTGGCTCCACTGCAGTCCAGGTTGGATGGGACACTTCAGGGACCAAGTAAGGCGCCAGTCCCTGGCACACTGGGGGGCAGGAATTGCCAGTTGAACACATCAGATAGCTTGAGTAGCACGCGGCAAGAGTTCTGCATCTGATGAGGGGAACTCTTGTCCATGAAAACCTGTTCTGCAAAATTGGGCACATATACACTTCCATTGTCCAATGAGAGGATTTTCTTTTCTCTGACCATCTTCCCTGGGAGAACCTGCTGCTTACTGCTGAACTGGAACAAACGTCAATCGGGTTTTCTGCAGATTGACATTTATTCTGATTCAGCAGTAAGCAGCGGGTTTTCCTGGGAAAGTGGTGGGACAAAATAAACCCCTTTTGGACCCATGTCTAGAAATCACAGAACAAATGGAAGCAATTCCAGGACAAAGGGAAGTGTGGATGAGCCTGTAGTAAGATTCTGAAGTGCCACACAATTCTTTGCTACTTTTGCTGCTATGACTCTGGAAATGGTTGTCTAGGAGTAAACCCCACTGAACTTCTGAGTAGACATATATAGGGTTGCATTGCTAATGTAGAGATCAAGTTACTTGAAGACTAAGTGATATTTATGATGACATGATTTAATTAGGAGAAAAAATCAAGTAAACCTTAAATCCCCTTCATAGAATCATAGAATCATAGAGTTGGAAGAGACCACAAGGGCCGTCGAGTCCAACCCCCTGCCAAGCAGGAAACACCATCAGAGCACTCCTGACATATGGTTGTCAAGCCTCTGCTTAAAGACCTCTGAAGAAGGAGACTCCACCACACTCCTTGGCAGCAAATTCCACTGTCAAACAGCTCTTACTGTCAGGAATCATAGAATCACGTGCGGCTAATTATGCATGGTGTAGAGAAAGTGGATTGGGAGAAGTTTTTCTCTCCCTCTTCATAACAAAATAAAGTACTTCTTCACACAACCCATATTACCTTTCAGAGTTAATTCCCACAATATGTACTGTATTGATTGCCACAAATTTAGATGGTCTTAAAAGAGGATAAGGCTAATGGAGTACTGTACAGGTATAGGCTATCAAGCCACGATAGCTATGTCATACCTCCATTGGCTGTAAGCCTCCAAATACCAGCTGCTGAGGATCAAAAGTGGGGCGAGTATACAGATTGTAGATGAATTTCAAATTTCAGAGTGAAACTGCTATGGCTTTCATTCCGGAACTAAGAAACTAAGACCGTGGCAGTTGAAATGCATTCCAATTCATCTTTAAAAGCTGGATCATTCCCAATAATCATAAGGAGTAAAACATTTTTTTTTTACACAATTTGGTCACTGGTTTGCTAATGGAATAAAAACTACTCTTGCAGTGCAATCTAATGCATGTCAGAAATAAGTCCCATTTAATTCCATGGAATGTACTCCCAGGTGAGTGTTTGTATAGACTGAGGCTTCAGATGGTCTTTAAGATGGTCTTTCTTTCCAAGAAGCAGTATTTATTTTCATTTATTAATTTCTTAAATTATCTCACATTCAAAAAGCGGTGCCTATTATTTTCAATTATTATTTTCAGTGAATTGTATCTATAACTGGCCCTTCAATTCAAAGGTTTTCATGGTGATATAGTAATAGTTGTGGCAAGAAGCTGAGGCGATTTCTCATACCATGGCTTTCTGATGACTAACGATAACAATTGTATCAAAGAAAGCTGCCATAGGGACCGGGAAGAGTCATCATTTACCAAGAAGAATCAGAAGCACTTGCTTCAAGTTACAGCAGAGGACCAGATGAAGCACTTCTTATTTTTAAGAACAATTGCACAGTGGAACATGTTGTGTCTTCTCAGAAAGCTAAGTGTTAGGTTACGCTTAAGAGTAAACAGCAAAGACATTGGGAGAACAGGTGCCACTTGGTAGGAAGATGTATTCATTTCCCCCAAATTTGGGAAGTATCCAGATTTTTGGTCAACAGGGACAGGTGAGATAAATTGGTTTGCTTCTGATTCTTCCATATAATTTGCTTGGCATGTCAGGTACTGCCTCTGGAAGAGGCAGCTAATTGGGTTTTAAAGGATTGTCTGAGTTACAAAGACAAGTAGTACATTTCTGATGTTATGATTTTATCTATAGGAACTGTATTTCGGGATAAAAAAAAATCTTTGGAATCCAATACTGGTGATTCTGTGGAGGTTCTTACAGGTCACCAGAATTTATACTTGACTGTAATGGAGAACTGGTAATATTATTGCCAGGATGCAATAGTAGGATTACTAGACTGCAGCAGAATATATGTTTTCAGAGGTCTATCCTTCAAAACCTGCTTCTTCTCTCCTGTTTTTCTTTTCACTCCACCATCATCATTAGGTTGGTCCCTTATCTCTTCTCAATTTATTTTACCTTCTGTTCATCCTTTTTTTAAAAAGTGCTGATAATTTCAGCTCTGTGAGGGGCAAACTACAGTTCCCAGGATTCCTTGGGGGAAGCAGTGTGCTTTAAATGTATGTGTACACAGCCTAAAGGAAGCCTATTTTTATTTTGCTGTCCTTTGTTGCGGGGAAGGGCCTTAGTGATAAGAGTGCATGCTTTGCCTGCATAAAGTACCAGGTTTGGTTCCTGGCATTTTCCTGGCTTATTAAAGTTTTTAATTCCCCTGATTTGAAAGATTACTTTCCCATATGGAAAAATCTTTGTGGTCTTTCTAAGTCTGATCCTCTTCTTTAGACTGCTGTGCATGTTATAAGCAAGCTGTCTTATCAGCCAACAACAGGCTTCTTTGGCCTTCCAAGAGAGACTTATTGTGCAGCAATCATCACATCTGATCCCACATTCCAATTAATTTAGCTAGAACACTTGAGCTAGTTATTGATCTCTTTCCCAGATAAATGTGTACCTGGTGCATTTTCAGTTATAAAAGAGATTCTTCCTCGTTGGGTCGTGCGAGCAAATTTGTGGTTGGACTTTGCAGTGATGTTTTTAATACCGCACTTTTCAAACTTTTTGTTAGTTTGCAAAGAAACAGCAAATGCTACCCTTCTGAAAGAGTAAACGCAAGGAGTGTGCATAAAGCCTTCATACACAACTGTGACAACTGACTATCAATGCATTCCTATTATAGCACAGGACCTCCATATCCATGGCAATTGTGGGACCCTAATGTGCAAGTATGTGATTGAAACCCACCCCAAAATAGTAAGTCTAGAAGCACCCTCTCTTTACTTTGAGGGAGAGGAAGGTGAAATCCTAAATGCAGCATTCTTGCAAAGCAGCCATAATTTCAACATGCAGAAGCAGGAGGCTTGGGGCACTATCCATTGCCTCATAGACAATATTCCTACTCTCTGTGTTAAGGGTCCCGTGCATGTTCTTCCTCTTTTTTGGTCTAGAAGCATGGAACTCACAAATGCATGCCCAATCCATTTCAGATGTACGCAGATTGTCTATTGCCTAATATTAAAAGTGGGCCAAAATGCATATTAATAAGTTAGCCAAGAATGCGCAACATGCTGGTTTGCAACCTGTCTGTGGCTGTGTCTTTCTTACGTCACTCACAGTTTCATATTTGCTATGTCTTCAATGTAGCAGCAAGCTTGAGTTATGAGACATGGAAGATTCAATGATGCAGCCAATGATTTGATTTGATTTATTTTTTTTAAGGCCTTCAGACTTTCTAACTTAAGGGGTTGTTCCAGTCAGTCCATTATATGTAATTTTAACTGTATCCAACTGAGAAGTTATATAATTGTAAAGGTCATCTTTGTGTAATAGTCCCTGGAATCTTACCCAAATACCACCATCCAAGACTGTGTACCCACTATACCTTTAAAGCACATCATTTCTCTCAAAGAATTCTGGGCATTGTGGTTGACACCTGACAGAGTTTCAATTCCCAGTTGAGTGCCACAGCTGAGGTCCAAGATCTAGGTCTCATCACCCAGACATCTCAAAGCAGAGGAACACATAAACATTCAGGGACCCACAGCTTCCTCAGAAGATCAAGATACTATTGAGTGTCATTAGCACGTGGTAGATTCCTGACCCAAATCTCTATACAATCTCTCCCGTCAGCGTCACGTAGATGTTAAGTAGCACAGAGTGTAAGAGGAATCTCTTCAGCACCCCATGAGATAATTCCTAAGGTGTGGAGCAGTCATCCTTCCAGCACCATCTCCTGCAATTCCCTGGTTAGGCAGGAAGTACTTGTTGGAGGGTTTCCAGTCACCAACCCTGACTGGTGGTGTAGAAACATATTAAAGGTGACTGAAACATCTGGGAGAATCAACAGAGTCACATGCCCTATTTCTCAGTGCAGTTCATGCACCAGCCAACCAAAGGAGTTTCTCTGTAAAACCGAACTGAAGTGGTTCCATCTAAATACATAGCCTGGAACTGACCAGCCATCATTCGTGCTATCACTTGCCTAGGCATGAGAACTCTGAGACCAGCATTGGTAAATGGGCTCATCAGATCCATGCTTATTTCAGAAATTTCTGTTCAAAGCACAAGCGATGGAAGATCTATGTTCACAGCAGGATACTTAGTGAATGCCTTTGTTTCGCGGAAACTTGGCATGATTCAGGGATGTGTTTTCCTAGCATGCTTAGGGTTCATATAATGGGAGTGGCAGATCAAGTTTTTTATGTAGTTAGTTGTTATCCATCTCTCTCAAGAAACAATAGAGTGTGCCTCAGGGTTGAAATAACTAGACTGACTGTTGTAGTTGAATGCAGTGGAATTACTATTAGTGGCAGGGTGAAAAAAATGTAATCCCTTCTGCTTTGGGGAGGATTTCTCTGAGGCAGTTTATAGCAGCTTTGGGGTTGAGCGGTGTGGATTTTGATTGGGGAAATGATATGAGGAGGAAGGGTTAACCCTCTCCTCCATTGCCATGGCTCCAATCGAAATTGGATCCTGTGGCTGCTTTGAAGTCTTTTAAAAATTATGGTATCTCCTGGGGAAGGTATAGTCTGGATTTCAGTTAAAAGGCAGTTCTTCAGCCCATTCCTTCCCTTTGATGTCTAAGCCATCTAAGGCTTGAAAACAAAACATGATGCTGGAAGTAACGCAAGTTCAATTTGTCTTTAAAATAATCTCCTATGGAAAATAATGGGAGCCTCACAGCATGAGCTTCTGAACTCAGAAATGAACGAAGCTGTGCAGCATGCAGAAAACATGTTTGGTCACAGGATGAAGAGTTGCATTATGTAGTACAGGGGTCACCAACCTAAGGTCCATGGGCTGGAAGTGGCCTGCAGAGGTCGTTTTACCGGCCCATGAGCCGCCCCCAAACCGAGCCGCCCACTCACGTGTTGTGCTAAACAGACACAGCGTGGAGCAGGGACTCGCTTCCGCGGTGCCGAAAATCATGTCTGCGCACACGAAGACACCGAAAATCGTATCTGCACAGACGCCGAAAATTGCAGGCGTGCACGTTCATGCACACACATGATCCAGCCCACGGTGGAATTTCCATGGGACCGGCCCAGGCAAGATAAACCTTGCTGACCCCTGATGTAGTATCATCACCTTTTGTTCCCCAAGAACGTCATCAGATTTTGATAATGCATTACAGATTGCAGCATTTCATTCAGTTGTGACGACTGTATTCTTGAATAATAAACTCATCACTGTAGGACATTATGACTGTTGTCCTGCTGTGAGGATCTCAATGGATGTCAACTTCTGTTTTTCTAGCTCTGATTCCCATGTTTCTGGAATTTTAATTCTTAGGTCAAAAGTTCTGTGTGTTTCTAAAAATAAAACAATCCTTCTATAAATGTACATTACAAGGGCCTCTGTACTCTAGCCACTGCAGTAGTTGAACTACTAGTGACTTTTGGACAAATGTCACCAGTCTTCAAGAAGGCCAAGGAAGGAAGAAGCAATGTTGGTTTAGAGAGCACAGCTATTATAAACAGGGCAAGGTAGACCTTTGAAGCCATGATATCAGCTAAAGAAGATTCAACTACCCATTGGCTCCCATCTTTCCTTGGACTCTCCTTTAGGATTGAATTAATGGACCTGCTGAACAGAGACATTTTGACAGTTTTGGTGCAGGATGCACTGGTTATAATTCTCAAGGCTCCTTAAGAACTTGCTGAGATGGAATATGAGGAAAAAGCAAAATCAAGAGTGGAAAAAGAAACAACGAAAATAAATTGGAAAGCCTGAATAGTTCAGCTGGTTAGAGCATGGTGCTGATAACACCAAGGTTGCAGGTTCAATCCCTATATGGGACAGCTGCATATTCCTGCATTGCAGGGAGTTGGACTAGTTGATTCTCAGGGTCCCTTCCAACTCTACAATTCTATGATTCCGGAAGTCTATGAAATTAGCTGCAAAAAAGTACCTTTCAGGATAGTTTGGTGGGCATGTAATTCTAAATGCATGGCAAAGAAATGTCTAGGTTGTTAATCTTGGGATCCAAACAATGCTAAGTCATATGATGCCAATTCCTGGTCATTGCACCAATGCGAATTAGCTCCTTCAACCAGGGCTCTGCAGGCCTAGCAGGGCCCAGATTAACATAGGTAGGAATGGTGTATACATACAAATCGTAATGCATGCCATTCCATCACACCCATCAAAGGGATTTAACGGGATGCCTTTAAAGGGAATATCTATCAAGCATGGGACTTAAGGCACAACATGTCATACCCACTGCCTTCACGTACAGCTTTCAATAACTGCTAGTCTGCTATTATTAGTACTTCATTCTAGATGAAAGGGAATATTCATTTTTATCAAAAGATTTGCATCACTTGCCTCTGGTGGTGGTGGGATTATAAACAGTGAGGTCTGAATAGCGATGGGAAATAAATTATTTCAGTTTGCATTTTAAATGTGAAATTACCTAATAATTCATAGTGTCCAAACAAAACAAAAAAATGAACTGAAACATAGCTCTCTTGAAAACTGCTCTTCTTTGAATTTTGCAGTGCACTCCTTATGCAAAGGACGTGTATAGAATTATATAAGAATTATATAAGGCACACTCTTCCATTGTCTCCCGAGACAGAGGATGCCAACCATTATTAGTAAAAAGGGTCCTATAGGATAAGTGTATTAGTGAAAAGTATGTACAAGAAAGCATTATATTAAGGGGAAATTGCTTGTAAAAAATCATTTTCTAGGCAAAATTGCATACAAAAATATGTATATTAAGAGAAAATAAATGCACACAAAAAATGTGTACAAACTGTCATGTAGACACTTTAAAAATGTTTGCAGTTATATAAGGAAATGAGAGTGAACCAAACTTAAGAGTGGAAAAATGAAAAATAGAGAGAAACTGAAACTAATACATTCATTCCTCTCTTGAGGGAAATAAAATGCAAGTACAGATACTGACAATTCAATTAGAGCTAGTAATATCATTTGTACATTTAAAAAAATGTGAGCAGATCATGCATTTCTACTAAAAAATTTAAAAGCAGACCCTGAAAAACTGAAGCAGCCTCCACTTGAGCTAGATTTCAGGACACTTGTAGCTCTGGTGTTTGGGGTTTTTAAATTTAGAATAAGTGGACTGTAAAATTACCCATGGTATGTAGAAAGGGCCGCTTCAGACTGCTGTTTTATGGTAAGTGGTGGAGCAACATGTTGTTGATACATTAATAGTGTGATATTAGTGGATGTATACTGGATTGCCTACACATAAACTCACTTTATCAGTTGTTCTGCAGTGCTTCCCCAATGTTCCCCCATTGTTGCATTCAAACTGCCCATTCCATCATCCATGCTCCCAACAACTTGAATTCTTTCACTCTTTTTTTTAGTTACTTGTGCACCCATAATTTCATCTGTACATTCATACATATACTAGTGGCCAAAATTGTGGAAACCTTTTGGGGAAAGTGTATTTCTGAGGTTTGATGGCTCATAACACCACTTTTTTTGGAGTAATACCATAAAATTATATATCAGTGGAAGGATAATTTAATGAAGAATGCAATGCAATAACTTTTATGAAGGATTATTTATTACAACAGCAGTCATAAAGAAAAAACGTGAAACACATAGAAAAAATGAGATATACAATACTTAGTTGAGTAACCTTTGGTTTTAATTACGGCCTTACAACGCCTTCCCATGGAGTAAACCAAGTTTTTTAGTTCTGCAGCTGTAATAATGTGAAACCAAGATTGAATTATTGCCTCTATTAATTGGGTTTTAATCCTGGATTGCTTCTGACAAACAAGTTTCTTTAGTTGGCTCCACATTTCAAACCATGTTCATGGCAGCTTACAACATTTTAAAAAATACATAACCGCAACATAACAATAGTAGTCGTAAACAATAAATGAAACATTAAAAAAAATACAACCCAACTGAAAAATTTCCACATATATCACAAGATCCAACAGCAACAACCCTCCCAACAACCCCCCCCCTAAACAACAGCCCAGCCTAGGAGTCGGTTCAGCAGCCTCAGCTTTTGTAGTTGGTCAGTCAGGGGGGCCTCCCCCCAAACAAGCTAAGTGGGAAAAGCCTGCAATCTGTACACTTCTTATGTTTGCTATGATTGCTTTGCTACACCATTGCTCATTTCCACCAAACGGAACAAAACAAAACGCCCACTCACCAAAAAACTAAAGCCCACATGAATGCTGGTATCTGGCATCAACCTGAAGTATATGTGAGTGGTTACATCACAAAGAAGCAGATACAATACAGCACATTGCCAAGGCCATTTGTGCTGTAGCGCAATTAGAAGCTGGACTGAAAAGAAGAAGAAATAGAACATTTGTAGTACAGTGGTACCTCGGGTTAAGAACTTAATTCGTTCTGGAGTTCCGTTCTTAACCTGAAACTGTTCTTAACCTGAGATACCACTTTAGCTAATGGGGCCTCCCGCCGACACCACCGCGCGATTTCTGTTCTATCCTGAAGCAAAGTTCTTAACCCGAGGTACTATTTCTGGGTTAGCAGAGTCTGTAACCCAAAGCATCTGTAACCTGAGGTACCACTGTATATAGGATTTCAGGAGGAACCTACTGGACATACAATGCAAACTAGTGTGACTGCCCCAAAACCTTTGAGGGCGCAAATCGCTTCAGGAGCGCAGATAACCATCTCAATACCACCAAGTGTATAGATAATTACAAATACACAATAAATAGGATGAAGGTTTTCTCCCATTCTTATTCTACTAGAATCTGGAGTGAACCAATGAAGCTGGATGTTGGAAGACTCAGGACCTACAAAGGAAAATTCTTCACACACTGCATAATTAAGCTATGAAATTCACTCCCCCAGGTTTAGTGATAGCCACAGGGCCTGCCCAATACATTTTGGAGCCTGAGACAAACCACAAAATGTTGCCCCTCCCCCCGCCAGGGAAGAAGTGGCGAGTGAAGACCTACATCAGGAACAAGGAGGGACTAAAGATCTATACTGAGATCTGCTCCCCCAAAGATCTGCTGCAGAACACCAGTGAGGAGAGTGCTCAGGTACTACTTGAGAACTTCTCACAAGCATCTGGTTGGCTGCTGTGAGAAGAGGATGCAGAACTAGATGGGCGTGTGCTCTGATGCTCTATTTTTCTATGGCCATGTGTTAGCAATTTCCAACAACACATTGCTTTTTTTTCTTGTTGACGGACATTGCAATGTGCAAGGATGCAAAGAAACTTCTGGGAAGTCTTCAAAAAGTTAGTCTGCATGTCATTTTTCGGGTGCATTTTAAAACAAGATAATCAGATATTTACATGCTCCAACCCACCGCCCTGTTCCTTTGTGGAAATTGTGAAATTAGTTTGTTTCAACTGAAATCATCCTTATGGGAAAATTCATCCGCTTTGGAGAACAGAAAAGAACAAAAACTCAAAAGAAACCAATGCTGACATCCGGATACTTCTTAACTCTGGACCAAAGTCCCCACCCTGCCAAGATCTCTTGGCTTGAACATGTTTTTCATGCTCCCAGCTCAACAGCCTGGTATGTTCCAGCCAGTGAAGTCCTACTGAAAGTCCAAATTAGGTTGCAAGTTCAGCATGCTTTTTGGCTGATCACCCAGGAAATGTGGGGGCCTACCGCCATCTGTTGGTAAGTCTCTTTCACAGCAGGTGCAGCTTTCAAAGAACACAAAACGATCTGTTTTGTCTTGCACTTTTGCAAGCTTTCAAGTGACATGGAACTTTTTTCGGTCCAGGTAGAAAAATTGCTAAGTCTTCAGCATGGGAGACCATCCCCTTAGATATGCAATGTTCAAGACATTTCAGAGAGACTGTCTAATTATAAATCTCTCTCTCTCTCTCTCTCTCTCTCTCTCTCTCTCACACACACACACACACACACAGAGCATGTAAGGGTTAAGGAGAATTCTGAAAGATATGAAAGTTTGCAATTCTTGAAGTGGGGAAAGAGAATTTTTATTTTTGCTCCCCTTTCTCTAGAAATCAGGAGTGTTTCTTAATCTGAATATTTAAAGGCCTTTCTGCACAACTGGCCAGGATTGCAACCTTCAGATTGAAGAGCCTACAGAGAAAGAGGAGAAAGGGGTAGAATCTGGCAGCCTAGATGAAAATTGGGGAAGGGGGGGCAAAGAAAAACATGCCTTTCCTCCCTTCCCCAACTCCTGAAGCGCCCCTCCTCAAGACCTGAACAGCACCAGCTTCCTGCTCAAAGCTCTCAGGAGTCCTAAAAAGCACCCCTCTTACAGGGTGGGATGCACTACAACATTGTGTTGCAGTTCTCAGATGATAAAAATAATAAATTATAATTACTATGCACAACTCACAGCACACTCCTATTGGTTTAATGGGGCTTACTCCTAGCTAAGTGGGTATAGGAATGCAGCCTAAAGTTTGAAAATGGTCCTTGGCTGATATCCAATTATGGTAACAATAATGGAATAGGCCAGTAATTAAAGAAAGAAAAATTATTAAAAGCTGAGATTTGGTAACTCAATATATAAAAAATAATTACAAATCTCAAGAAGAGGAATAAATTATTTGTACTTATAAGAGAAAAAACATTTGGAAAGCTGGCTCATACTTTTGAAGCGAGTGTGATATTATATTGTTCATATTCAATATTTATTAATAACACTGGTCAACAACAAATTTGTTGTCTGTGCTTTTTCAGTTGATTTAGGACAAATCTGATGCGCTGAATCCAAAAATCACATTGGTTTTGCTCAATCAGGTCAGATTCTTGAGCTATGGCCACATGTCGTTTTTTTACGTTTTTGTTCACATGTACGCTTGTGTGGAGCATTTTAGAAGAAGTTGGTGGGGGTAAAATGCCATGTTGAATAATTGTTTTGTTTGGAAATGATTATTTTAATGACAAGAAGTATTCAAGTCCGATAGTTCTGGGTGATTATGTCGAAAAGGGATCAGTTTGAAGTCATAAAACCTCGAAATCTTCCATAAATTGGTGCGGCTCCATAAATTGGTGGGATCAACAGAAAGAACCGGAGCAGCCTCAAGTATCCTGATCTTCAATCAGCACGTCGTCCTGTAGCTCATTGTGATGAAATTCCAGTGCCTATCTTCGGAGAACTTCCTGACATTAGTGACGAAGATGCCTCCAGTGTTGAAGGACATGAAGAAGAAGTGGTTCTTGAAGATAATGCTCCACATCCATTTTCCCAAAAGGAGTTGAATGATCTAGTTCGTGACCTCAGCTTGTCAAAGGAATCTGCCAAACTGTTGGCATTCAGATTGAAGGAAAAAAACCTCCTCTCTGACAGTGCTCGCATCAGCTTCTTCCGCAACAGGCATTAAAAGTACCTCCGTTTTTTCTCGGAAGAGAAGGACTTGGTGTACTGTGCAGATATTGCGCAGCTTCTGCTCAAGCTTGGAGTGCTACAGTACAAACCCAAAGATTGGAGACTGTTCATTGACAGCAGCAAGCGATCACTGAAATGTGTTCTGCTACACAACGGCAACCAGTTTGCCTCTATACCCCTGGCTCACTCAACTACACTGAAGGAGAACTATGAAGCGGTGAAGTACGTGCTGGAGAAAATTGGTTATGATCAGCATAAGTGGTTTATTTGTGTTGACCTGAAGATGGTGAACTTTTTGTTGGGACAACAGTCTGGCTTCACCAAGTACCCATGTTTTCTGTGCATGTGGGATAGTATGGACCGTGCTCAGCATTACACAAAGAAGGACTGGCCTGTGCGGGAGGAATTGGTGCCTTGCAAAGAAAGGAACGTCATCAACGACCCTCTGGTGGACAGAGACAGAATACTCTTCCCACCGCTGCACATCAAGCTCGGCTTAATCAAGCAGTTCACCAAGGCTCTGGACAAGGATGGTGACTGCTTCACTTACTTGTGCCAGGCTTTTCCAGGATTGACCATGGAGAAGTTGAAAGCTGGCATCTTTGACGGTCCTCAGATCCATCAGCTCATCAGAGATCCAGAGTTCGGAAACTCAATGAACGAAGTGGAACTGGAAGGGTGGAAGGCATTTGTTCTGGTAGTGAAGAACTTTCTTGGCAACAATAAGGCCAGAAACTACGCAGAACTTGTCAACAACATGCTGACTGCTTTCAGAAACCTGGGCTGCAACATGAGCGTCAAGATGCACTACCTATTTTCACATATGGACCGGTTTCCTGAGAACCTGGGTTCAATGAGTGACGAGCAGGGGAGAGATTCCCTCAGGACATGAAAGAGATGGAGACCAGGTATCAGGGTCGCTGGGACGCAGTCATGATGGCTGACTACTGTTGGACTCTGAAGAGAGACCTCCCTGCCGCTGAGCATTCCAGGAGTTCCAAGGAACAGAAGTTCAAGCCCTGAAGTTTGAAAAATGGTGAAGCAACATGCAATTTACGTGTACTTACCTTTATCAATGCCCACCATTCAGTTTACAGTAAACCTGACCTGATGGAGAGAAACGGATGCCATTTCCTGATTCAGCAGTGCAAAAATACCCTAAATCAGTTGTAGAAATCTAGACAACATTCAAAAAGTAAAAAATTGTTGCCCAGTGTAATTTATTTGAAGGTGGGTGGTGTTGTTTTTGCTTTTTTGCATTCATACATATTGTATATATTGTATAATTAAAGCATTATATGAGTTTATAAATACAGTATTAGCAAATGCATTCAAATGTTGAATTGTACTACTCTGTAGAGTATAATCTCTACTTTTTGCATATTTCACTTTTTGAAGGGTAACATGTGCAATAGTTTATGGGCCAGTGTTTATCATTTCTTCTTCTTCTGGCTTTCACAAGCAGAACTCAACATTTCTTTCTCACCGCATCTTTTTGCTGTTTTGCAGTTGAACAGACCCATAACCAGGAAAAATGTGGGACTGTTTCCCTTTGAAGGAGAATGTTGGCAAACTGGATTCACTTGGGTTGTAGTGATGGGCAAAAGAGATCTCTTTGGGGAGTGCTCCTTTGGGAGGAAGGCCAATACATAAATGAAGTAAATAATCGAAACAGAATAATAAAAAAGTACTCCTAAAGTCAAGGGAAGTGTATGTCAAACCTCCTAAACCAGCATAGGAATATAATGCAATCGTCTTCTTCTTTTTGAATTGTACATCAAGGTCTGTGCAAGTAATAATTAGCTGAGTAACGACTGCACCTGCCATAGGCTTTACTTTCTGTAAAACCAAACTGTACGCGCAGATGCGTAGAATCGCGACCTGTTGTACTGTGATTATAAAAGTCTTAATTGTTGCCCACTTCTAGCGTATAATTATCCCTGAAACAGGCAGGCTTTTGAAAAGAGAAATAAAAGCCAGGCAGATCTGGCTTCCTATCTTCATTCCTAGAAGTTTCAACCGCTGCTATATATTGCGGCGTTTTCGGATCTAACACTGAACTGTGCCGAGCTTGAATCCTACCAGCGCGGGCACAGAACAACCTGCAAGCGTTAAAAGCGCGTTTTCTCATCATCACAAAGGCAAGGCAAAGCCTCTAGAGGCCGCTTGATCTGGCAGAGACTCGGTGTCCTTCGAGCCCTGCGCGTCCCTTTGCCCCATCCTGTTACTTATTTGCCCGTTCTGGGAAGTTCGCCTTCGCCGCAGGGCTGCTGGTTCCGTCTATTCCGGCCAGCGTTCGCATCTTCGAAAGGGGTCGGCCCTGTGAGGGGCGGAGCTTTCCCTAAGCACCGCCCCCTGGTGCCTTCGCGCGGCTCCGCTTTGTTTAGCCCAGCCCAGCCTAGCTCGGCCGGGACGGGTGATTGACACGGACCAAAGTTATCCCGGAATAAAGGAAGCACGCATGTGCCATCACACCGGATGTGAACATGCTCATTTGGCCTCCTCCGCCTCCATCACCCGGGAGCTAGCTTTGTTAAAAAAAAAAAAAAAATCAGAAGGGGGGTCAGCAATCGTGCCAAGCCGTGCCAATCCGATTTACTCCGCGCTGCGGCTTCTGCAGCAGGAGAAAAAGAGAGGGGGGCAGGATAAATGCATTCGCCCCTCGTCCCGCTTCCTAACGACGATCCCCGACAGTAAAGCTTTAGCACCAATAAACTGAAGCGGGTCAAGTCCGTGCCAGCCCCAGATGAGGGTTTCAAGCACTCCTTGCGCCTTGCCAGCCGCTTCTCCCTAATGCCCGTCCCCTGCGCTTCCTGCTGCTGCTGTTGGGGAGCTGCTGGGCTTCCCCTTGCCGAGGGGGCGGCGGCAGGTTCAGAGGCCGGGGGTCGAGCATGGATTTCCGAGGGAAGAAGTACGAGCGGGGCAGCAACTGGTCGGACCCCGAGGTGGTGGAGCTGCTGCACTTGTGGGCCGACGAGTCGGTGCAGGCGGAGCTGGAGAGCTGCCTTCGGAACCAGCACGTCTTCAACCGGATCGCCGAGGTGCTGCGGGAGAAGGGCATCCACCGCACGGGGGACCAGTGCCGGGAGAAGATCAAGAAGATGAAGCTGGAGTACCGCCGCATCAAGGAGAACAACAAGGCCCCTCGAGGGGGCAGGACTTGGAAGTTTTACGACGTGATGGATCGGGTCCTGGCCAGCCGGCCGTCCCTCGCCTACAGCGCCGCCGCCGCCGCCGCCAACAGCAGCAGCAGCGGCGCCTTGCTGATGGCGCAACAAGTGCTGCCGCCGGGGAGCCTGGTGGAGAGTTACCGTCCCCACTTGGCACCCTCGTCGGCTCTGCCCTTCCCGCCCTCTCAGCCCCCGGAGCTGATGGAGATCAAATGCGAGGAGGTGGATTCCGAGGTGGAGCAGTGCTTGACGCCGGAGCCGCCGCCTTCTCTCTCTTACCAGCCGGGGGGCTCCCCCGAGGAGGAGAGGGCCTTTTTGGACGACTCGCCCCTCTCCAGGTTGGAGATGCCCATCGAGACCAGTGTCTCGCCCTCAGGTAGGACGGCGGCGGCGGGCTCGGCTCACTTAACGTCGACACGGCAAGGGCCTCTTGGTCACAACAGAGCAGGCCCCACCCGAGACATGTTGGCACTGGAGGGGGGGCATCACATGCTGCCCCCCTTCTCTCAAGTCAAGGTACACAGTACCCAAGGCAGGTGAAGTTAGCCTAGTGCCCCCGAGGCAGACAATCCCACAAGCACCTCTTTCCCTCACAGTAAAAATACAACAACAATACATTAAGTAACCAACCATTTGATGTCCTGCCAGGAGCTAACACTGTTTTTGTGGTGCGTGCTAGTTATGTCAGCAGAAGATCAGAAAGCAAAGAATCCACTTTCTGAGGGATCTGGCTTTCAGAGTGGTCAGTTACAATCTCTCCTTTGCTCTATAAAAGATGAGACATCTTTTATATTACAGCCAATCTGTGTTTTCCCAGAGGACTGTTAGTTTCTGTTTCCCGAGGGCCGGAGCTGAAAAAACTAACAAGGACAACCCTCTATTTTAGTTACAAAACTGTCATTTTTAATCAAGTACCTTTCCCTGATCTCTCCAAGAATTCCCAGTCCTTTGATGCCAAGTCCCTCTTTCCTGCATTGAGACCAGGCTTACCTGTCCTCTGGTTTTGTAATACAGCATAATTTCAGCCTCCCCCCCCCAATGCAGGTGTGTTGTGTCCGTCCTCCTCCCCCAATTCCTCCAAGGGTCCTGATGTGCTGATTTGAGAAACTTTTATCCTATCTTTATCTGAAGCCACAGTACATTGCCTTGAGCATGTTTCAGGCAGAAAGGCAATTAAATAAATAAATGGTATACTTTGGGCCTTTGAAGCACTCTGAGGCAATGAGTTCTGCAGCTAAATGCCCTTTGCAGTTAACAAATAGTAACCTGAGTTTACAGAATGCTGACTTTCTTGGAATTGTCCCATGTGTCAAATGGGGAACAATGCAAAACAGTAAACTAAATCCATGACTCAAACTACAAAAAAAAGAGGTTTAAAATAGAGGTTTGGGTGATTTCTGGGTGAGACAGGCTGCTTTGGATCCTGGAGCAGTGGCGGACTTTGGGCTTAACATTTCAGTGGCACCCTGTGCAGCACCAAAATCCCCACCTCTCACCTTCCATTGTTCATCATTATAGCAGTGCTTCCTGTGGGGCCCTGTGACTCTGCAACTGGTTATAATAATAATAGCAACAATTTATTATTTATACCCTGCCCATCTGGCTGGGTTTCCCCAGCCACTCTGGGCGGCTCCCAACAGAATAAAAAAGTGATAAAATGTCATACATTAAAAACTTCCCTAAATCCACCTCTGCCTGGAGTTTTAAATGCCACAAAGCAAATAAATAACTCTAAATGCTGAGTCTACAATAATACCTCTGTTCAAGTCACCTTGCATGAGGGGAAATCTATACTATGAGCAGATGTACTAGTGTAGATGCTTAGTTTGGCATCGTTGGTATCAGACTTCAGAATGTGAGCTTCCACACCATCCATTATTTGGAACCAATTATAATTCTGACTGGTGGCTTGCTGGGATCAAGCCATCTCTAGGGCGTTTGAAAACCTGTTGCTCAGCCACTACTGCCAACCACTGTATAGAATTAAGGTACAGAATTTACCTTTTACCTAGAATTAAAGGTGAAGGAGCTTTTCAGTGAGAGGAAATGGCATCCACCAAGATTGATCTCCAGCATCGGTGATTTTAGAAACTGAAACAGTGGGAGCCACGTGCATTGCAGGGAGTTGGCCTAGATGGCTCTTGGGATCCCTTCCAATTCAATTCTTCCAACCCTACAATATGATTCTATGTCAGTTTCTGTAGCTTGTTTGAAGCACGATGCTGAATGAGTTGCATCTGTATATCAGGTACTTGTTGCAAAAAGTTAAAGGAAAGGGCGCATTTCTGAATGTGCAAATTTCATGCTAGGAATAATTAGGAATAGAACTGAAAATAAAACTGCCAATACCATAATGCCACTGTATAATGTATGAAAATCTATGGTGTGACTGTAACTGCATACAGTTTTGGACATCTTGTCTCAGGAATGATATTTGAGAGCTGTAAAAGGTTCAGAAGAGGCCGACAAAGGGGCAGGAAACGTTATGAGAAAAGGTTACAACATTCAAAATTTTAGTTTAGAAAAATTTGAGTAAGGGAACATGATACAGGTGCACAAAATTATGGAGAAAATGGATTGGCAAAAGTTTTTCCTCCCTCTTACAAAATACTCCAACTTGGGGGCATTCAGTGAAGCTGGGCATTAGAAGATTCAGGACAGCAAATACTTCTTCCCACAGTAAACTTCCCACAGGAAACTATGGGATTTGCTCTCACAAGAAGCAGTGATGGCCACCAACTTGGATGGCTTTAAAAGGGGATTAGGCAAATTCGTGGAGAATAATGACTACTAGCCATGATGACCTTCACTGTGGGAGACACTAAGTGTCTGAATACCAGTTGCAGGGAGGATACTGCTGTTGTGCTCTGACCGTAGTCAAGAAGTGTGAAATGATTTTGTGCCTCAAAAGAAGGAATTTACCTTTACCTGTTTCCTCCTTCAGGTTTCAGTGAACCCAACATGGCTTCGTCATCCCGGATCCAAAGTCTGGGGCCACGGCCTGGCTTTTCCACCCTGCACCGCCTGCGGAAGAAGCGGAAAGCCCAGCGGCTGAAGGATCCCCTGGACGCGCTCTTGCTGAAGACCCTGGCGGCGCAGCGGGACATGGAGGAGCGCTTTCTGCAGATGGAGGAACGGCGGCTCCAACGGGACCTGGAGGCGGAGGAGCGGCGGATACAGCTGGAGCAGCGACGCTTTGAACTGGAACGGGACCACGAATTCCGCATGTTCAACGTCTTCGCCCAGATGCTCAGCATCCTAAAGCAAAGCAATAACAGCTCCTTTGCAAGCGGGCTGCCCCAGGGCATGGACCTTAGCCAAGCATTTTCCGATAGCACTGGGGCAGGCGAAGGGGCACAGCAGGAAGTGAGGACCACACAGCTGGTGCGGCCCGTCTTGGACAGGACAGCCTATGTGTTTGATTTCTGCAACCATAGTGATTTCCAAAGCAGCCCATACCTCTCGGTCCGAGGCAATATTGCCAACATCTTCAGGGGGTCCACAGAGGAAGGGTACAGGGCCTATCATGCCGACAAGTATGAAGAGGACAAAAACCCCACTGTGAGTAAACTCTGTTTCTGCTGTGTGCCTTCAAAAACAAAAATTATTATTTAATATGGTTATGGATTTTCCACGCAGATCAAGGTTCAGCATAATCAAGGAAGAGCTCTCTGCTGCAGGAGCTTATATTCTGACGTGTGATCAAGGGTGGAGAAGGGTGTATGAACAAAGGATAAATCTGAGCATGTGCACTTACAAAGCCTGGCCTTCATTTTGGTTGGGGGTAAAAACTAAGACTGTAATCCTCTGTATAGGTATGGGAATAAGCTGCATAGAGTTCAACAGGATCAGCTTCTCTCAGTATTGGGCTGCCCAGGATTGAACCAAAGGCTAAATGGGAAAAGGTGGCTTTGAGGAGGAAAAGGGGATGGAAAGTCTTAATTGAGGCATCCCCCACCTCCCGCCACTCCTTGGTGGAGAATTTAATATAGTGAGTGGACAGAATCCTCTGTTATTTAAAAACAGCTGAACAACCATCCATCCACCCACCCGGAGAAACTGGCAGTTACATGCACGACTCCTAAATTTACACAATTTACATAGCATTGTATCTTTTGATATCTTGCCTGAAATGAATGTTAGCCCAAGGGGACTTATAATTATGGTTTTTTTACAATTCGGGGGCCATGTTATTGTGAACACTAAACCACAGTCTAACACTATGTAGATGAGTCTCCATGTGCCCAAGTGATACACTGGACTAACATTTCTTCCTCTTTCCTTCTCCTCCTCCACATCCATGGGTGTAGCCAAGTAAAACAATAGAAATAACTAACTGACCAATCACATCGGTTCTGACCAACAAAAGTCCTGTCCCCCACCCCCCAACAAAAATCCTGCCTATGCCAATGTCTTTTGCTTTCAAATAGGTTAGCATGATGTATGTTGAACTGGACTTGAAAGACTTGGGTTCAAATCCTTATTGGGTAATTTTGGACCAGTAACTATTTATCAGCCTAATCTACCTCCCAGGGATGTTGTGAGGGGGGAAATGAGGTCTGTGTATCCCACAAATTATTAGAGAAAAGGCAGTATACAAATGTAGTCAATAAATAAATTACCTGGGTAAACATGGTGACTGCCCAAGCTACTGTCTCCAAGAAAAAATAGTATCTATACTTACTGACCTGCAGTTTCTTTCATACTGTATGAATGATGAAGTGTCTATATATGAACATAAATGAACAGCATGAAATGATTTTGTTGAGGAATATGAATATGTGTCGTGTAAATGCATGCAGATTTACAGCTGAAGCATCTCACGTAATTATACAAAAAGAGGAATCTTGGATTCAGATAGATTCACAAGTGAACTGAAGAATAAATTACATAGTATTTGCTTATATGTCTGATCTTTAAAAAATCTATTTCCCAAAGTGCTCATTGGCCCCTGTACTTAAAGGAACTCTGGTTCACACATTTTTGAACGGGGTAATAGCACGTCAGCTAATGTGAAATACATATACACACAGTGATTGTTTTTCTTAACAATACTTCTGTCTCTGTCTCCAGGGCATCATTAATTTTGGCACCAGTGAAAACAAGCTGTGCTTTGATCTGATGTCCAAGCGGGTAAGAGAATCGTAAATGTATGTGGTTCCTGAGCTGTGCTGGTGGTGTTGCTCTTTCCCTTTCCAAATCAGTTAGCCCTCAGAGGCTTAATTTTACATGCTGAAGCATCTTTATAAGAATACTTGTTGACCCCTTTCTTTTCCATTTGGGAAGCTTACAAATTTGTGCCTTTTCCAGAGTAGTGGTGGTGGGAACATGGCACCTCTCTTAGGTTTCTTGCAGTCAACCACCAGACACTTTCAAATATTGGAGAGAACTTCCTGCCCTATTCCTGCCCCAAGCCCTTGCTTCCCTAGTATGGATGAATTTATCTATCCCCAAAACAACTGGGGGAGAAAGCGGGCAAAGGACCTAGAAGAGGATTGAGACAGGAATCTGCAGAGGAGCCACACCCTTTAGAAGGGATGGAAATGTTTCCCAAGCTAGCAACCTTACACCTCCTTGACCAAGCTTTAAACAATAATAGAAATCAAAATTATTGTTATTTTCTTAACTTAGGGTGTTTCTTTGACTTTCAAATTCTGGGTACTTCTAGAGATAGTGTCTCTTTCCAGAATGAGGGTCCTCTTCTGATAATAATGTTGCAGGAGCACTAGCAGTGTGCCTGTTCCCATGAAAGGAAAGGGGATGGACTTGCCTTGCTGACCAATATAGTCTTGTGTGTTTTGGGTTTTGTGACTTGTAAGACAAATGCCCTCCAGCAGGATGGGAGCGTTTGGTTCTACAGGTTTGATTCTTACCTTTTCCAGACCAATTTGGCTTGCTTAATTATTGTGCCCTTTCCTTCTCTTTGCTAATAGCTGACGCAAAGTGACATGAATGTCATAGAACCTCCACTGCTACAATATCCTGACTGGAAGGGCCATATGTTGTGAGTAGTAACTGCCCTGTATCTTTTCCCCTTTGTAAGTATCTTCACCCTATTTTCTGCACCTACAAGGAAATTATTATCCTGTTCTGCAGGAGATTGCAGGTGCAGTACAAGCAATAAAGAGAGCCTTTTCCAGGCAGGCAAAGTCAGATCTCTCTAAGCAGGTCAGGATACTGGTCAGCTGCTTTGCTGAGCTGTGAAACATGTTTCAGCAGAGAGCTGGGGCCACCTAGAATCCTGTGGTTTGATGTTGGTTGGTTATGCCTATACTATTTTTCTAGAAAAAGAGGTGCAGGAACTCACCACGAACACCTCCCTTGTTGTCTTAGAATGGCAATGGTGCCCACTTGAGAGGTGCCAGAACTGAATTCTGCTGAGTTCCAGCTGGAAAAAAAGCCCTTCCTCCCTGAGGAACTGGCTCAGCTGAACTAAAGTGCCCTTCTGCAGGAGGGGCTGTTATTGAGGGAACACCCTAAGACTGTGAGAGCCCTGTAGGAAGTACTGAGCCCCATGCTAACCCCCTCCATGAGCAGCTAGTATTTCCCCATCATCTTTATATTACCCGAGGTAGTGGAAGGGGCTGAGAGGTCATGACAGTTCTGGAGGAGGAGGAGGAGTATTTTTTAAAGTGCCTGAAATGGCTATAAATGAAATCTATGATTGTTGTAAGTACCAAGGGTGATGTAGTGAGCATGGTTGTGTGCATGTGTGTATAAGAAATCAGAAAATAAAATACATAAGGGGTATGGTGGTGGAAGAGTGTGCTGAATTATTTCAAAATAGCACCTCAGGAGTGCAATGGATTGTTTGCTAACTGTGTGGCATGTGAAGTCTTTGCGCCTGAGGTCGTCTCTTTAATATAGTTGATAATTTTAATAACCATATATTCTGATAACACATTCATTCTCCAAAGGCTGTTGTGAGCATAACTTGGGTGCAGGGGAAGCTATGTTCACTGCCTTGGAAGAAATGGAAGGAAGGAAGGAGCTAAAGAGGACTGTGGAAATACCCAGGACATGCAGTTTGAACTGGTCCAGCCAGGAATATAACATGCTTGTAACAGGAAGGGCTGATCTTTCAGTGAATTAACTGTATGTATATTCTCCTTTTCTGCAAAGGAGCTCAACTCAAGTATACCAGGGAACCTGTGCACCTCCATTTGTTGCTGACTACAGCTCCAGTCATTTAGAGCCAGCGTGACCAACAGTCAGGAGAGATGGGAATTGTAGCACAACAACTTCTGAAGGGCCATCTCCATCCCACCAGGATATGGTTCTTTTAATCAGGGTTGGGGAGTCAATAACCTCCAGATGCTGTTGGACTCCAACTCCCATCAGCCCCAGCCAGCATGGTCAATGGTCCAGGATGATGGGAGTTTTAGCCCCGCATCTGGAGAGTCTTAGGTGCCCCTTTGCTGCTTTTAAGCATTTTATACCTTCAGTTCTCATTGCAATCAGACCTAAAGTGGAAATTAACAATAATAAAGTGCAGGATTTTATGGCATCTTAGGTGTGTGAACAACTGAAATGTTTTGCGCTGGCCCAGTAAAACTTTATCCTGTTTCCATGCCTACTGCATAAACCTTCTTTGTGTTGTTCTGCAATGCATCCTGGTGGAGAGCGAAGCCTTTCCTTGGGAGAAACTAATTCCATGGTTGCTTTTATATCTCCTTCAGCTTGCGAGAGGAAGTGGCTCGATTTTTGACCTATTATTGCAAGGCACCTGCACCTCTTAAAGCAGAAAATGTAGGTCAATTTACTTCTGGCTTGTTTGTTCTTTTAGTAATGTATTGGCACTCATATTGATGATTATCCTAACCTAAATGGGAGTAAACATCCATTCCAACATGTCTTCTGCAGGTGATCATACTGAATGGCTGCGGCTCTCTGTTTTCTGCTTTGGCTACCGTTCTCTGTGATCCAGGGGGTAAGTGAGATAACTAGAGAAATATTGGGTGGTATTCAAATTAATGACTCAGTTAGGTCCATGAATTTTGGTAGGCCTATTTTGAGCAAAACGTAGTTGAATACAACCCTTAATATATGGATTTGTTGGTTGGTAATGGAGTAGGAATATTGCAAAGAATAGCAACAAAACTGCTAATGTTTATGGTCATAATTCTGCTGGGTATTCTTTTTTATTCCCTTGCCCATTTTACTTGCACTAATTAGCTACATTAATCAGGGCAAGTAAAAGTTAACTCCAAACTGGTCTCTCTGGACTTGTAGAAAGGAACTTTTCCACAAAGATCCTGACCTCAGCTGCATTGTCCCAGCTGTAAACTTCAGGGGCACAAATTGCAGCAGTGGGATAACCGGCTTTCTTCTTTTGATTTCAGAAGCCTTCCTGATCGCTACCCCTTTCTACGGAGGCATCACCCAAAGTGTGTTTCTCTATGGGAATGTGAAGCTGGTCTATGCCCATTTGGACAGTCAGGTAAGAAGGAGAGCGGACAGCCATCACATTCTAAAACCTAGGGGTCCGGATATGGACTGAAATTTCCATCTGTCCCCATGCCAGCATGTCCATAACATCTGGGGGCACCATGTTGGCTACCCTTGCTATTGTCCTATGGCATTTTCTGGCAGCAGGCAACTTTACATATCTTCCTCACAGTTCACTTGAGCAATAGTTGCTAGACAATGGTTCAAGCTCCAAGTCACAGGGAAAGTTGGGTATGGGTTGCCAAACTGGCTGACAGAGAGGGAAGTATTGCACACAAGATATATTTGGTTTCTCTGAGAAGACAAAGTTTCTGAACAGAAATTACCCGTGTGTATCCCTACAGTAAGAAGTTTTGGAACACCTTTCCTAGAATATGTTTGCTGAATTTAAGGCTTAAGTAATTTGGGCTGTGAAGGCTGCCTTTGCTTGTATCCAAATCAGCATTCTGGCATTCCTCTGTAGAGGTCCACAAATATCCCTTCCTCAGTAGAAGTTGAACTCCAGCTTCTGTGAATGGCTGCTCAATTCATGATGTCACTGGGAAGTGTGTTAACAATTCTTATCTTTGTAATAACATCCAGTTGAAGGGAGTGGAGTCCTTGTTAAGACTTCTTGAGATGTGCAGCACAAATAGCTTTTGTTCGGTTCCGAAAGGCTTTTGGGCTCAGCCTACTCTTTAATGCATTTCAGGTCACCGGCACCTGCAACCGTCCGTTCCAGCTCACTGTGGAAAAGCTAAAGAAGGCCTTGCAGGATGCACAGTCAGAGGTGAGCTTGCTTCATCTTACAGTTGCTGAATCTTCCAAGGCTTCATTGGTGGGTGGGGCCACAGATTACAGGGATGTTGTGGAATGTAATACAATAAACCTTTAGACTTTGGGGTAATTCAGTGTTGCGCTAATACGGCCGTTCTGCCAGTGCAAGCACTTCTGCTTGCCTGATGGAATAGTCTCCCCTGCACACTGTTCTGGGGTTTTTCCCAAGCTCCCAGAGCGGATTTAGGGGAGGCGCAAGGGGAAGCCCCATTGCTTGTGGGAGTCTTTGCACTGGCTTCTGCTCACGGGCCAGGTTAGCTGAATCTGGCCCCTAGTTTTGATTCATTTCAGTGGTCCAGGGTGGTCTAAGTATAAGCATTGTTGAGGCCAAGTGTGGTAGAGGCTAGATGTATTATGGTGTTTTTACTGCTGCATTACAACTTTGGAGCTTTGATAGACAACTATTTTATTACAGCATGTGGCAGACATAGGCAAACTCTGGCCCAGCAGATGTTTGGGACTACAGTTTCCATCATTCCTGACCACTGGTTCTGTTAGCTAGGGATGATGGGAATTGTAGTCCCAAACATCTGGAGGGCTGGAGTTTGCCTATGCCTGCCATACGGGATAGTATGAATGGACCCTTATTGCTTTCTTCTGCTTCTTTTGACAAAGTTTATGCTCTGTTTTGTTCTCATTTGGAAAAGACTTCTGTTTTTTGAAGGATACCTTCCTACCTCTAATAGCTTCCTTGATTCTGCTCATTAGCCACATTGGCATCTTCTTGTCCCTGATGGAGTCTTTCCTTTATCTGTGATGTACTTCCTAGCTCAGTTTCTATGACTGAGGTTTTGAACAATCTCTAAGTATTTTGGTGAGATTTGACACTTTCCACTTCCCCATTCAACTTTCTTTTTACCGATTCCTTCAGTTTTGGGACGTTTCCTCTTTTAAAGCCAAATGTGGCTGTGTTGGATTTTAACTTAACATCTATGTGGAATTTGATTGCACTAAGATATTTTTTATTTAAAAAATATTGTAAAGTTATAAAAGAGAATTCAACCAAGCTCCTTTACTTTGCTACATTCCATGATGCACTGGCAACAGGCAGGTAAAAGCAGCCTGATAATGAGGGTCACCAATGTTATAAACCAAAGTGCCTCAGGACAAGCAAGTTTCTCGACAGGCAGTATTTTATATAAGGTCCCATGTTCTTTGTGTTTTACAGTTTGATGCTTTTGTTTTACAGGGTGTCAGAGTAAAGGCTTTAATTCTCCTGAACCCCCATAATCCCTTGGGGGACATCTATTCTCTCTCTGAGTTACATGACTTCTTGGAATTTGCAAAAAGGTATGATCTAAGACTTTGTTTGGAGATGGCTAGTCCAACAGACCAAATATTGTAGGCTGGGATGAGTGAAAATATGCATTTTTACATCTGCCTAGGCTACATGTACTTAGTTTCTGCAGAGCAGGAGTGGGGAACCTGTGGCTTGTCAACTCTCATCAGCCCCAGCAAGCATGGTCAATGGCCAGGGATGATGGGGGTTGTAGTTCAGCAACATCTGGAGGGCCAGAGGTTCCCCACACCTGTTGTAGAGGATGAGGTTCAGCTGAAGACTCAACAGAAAAGGTGAGGGGCTTTTTGTGGCGTGAGGTGGTACTTGAAGGCAAGAGTTGGGTGTGACACTAGACGTATTCCAAGAAGGAGCTTTAGCTATATGGGGCAGCATATGAGAATTGATGGGGTGCCATTCAATGGCACAGGAGGTCTTCATCTGCTGGAGAGTGGTGGAGCTGGAGGAGCAAATGCCATGACTGTGGATAAATTTCTGGTTCCATTCCATTGATATTGCTTCGTCTTTAGAAAGAACTAGGAATGCCAGGGGAGAGTTACACCTGTGTAGCATCCTGGTTGCTTCCAGATGACCTATTTTATTGCACGTTCATCCCGATTTTCCCCACAAAGTTTGCAAGGTCAGATATCATTGGTCATTTCTTGAGCATTCCCTCTGATTTGTTTGCTGGGACGCCTATACAATGTTGTGTCAGCAATTGTTACTGCCCAGTTTTCATTCTGTTTCCCATCGTTTTCCTTATCACAAAATGTCCAATTTTAGGGAGGATATTGCCCAAGAGAGCCAAATCAACTTTTAATTTCATGGCCTGAATTTGCCCATATGTGATTGAATGCCAATAAGATTGAACCCACCCAAAAATAGCAACAATCTGAAAGGGCCCCCTGTTGTTATCAGCAAGCGTGTCAGTGAAAGGTAGCCTTTTCGGTGGGAAACCGAATGTCCATGAAGGTTTTGCTGCCATCTTTAGTAATGGGAGAGCAAATGTGGCTACTAGGTGTGATGTTTTCACTCTATTCCTGCTGTCTGGTTTTGGGAGCATTGCCCTACTAAATCCTCCTCTCTAGTGGCAGCCGGTTGAACTGTGCCCGCTTCCTGGCAGCAAGCAGTCTCTCTACCCGTTGCCAAAAAATCCCGTTTTTTCCTTCCTCTCGTTCTAGGCATGAGCTGCACGTGATAGTAGATGAGATCTACATGCTGTCAGTTTTTGATGATTCTGCCACATTCCACAGTGTGCTTGAAATGGACAGGTAAAAGCATCTTTAGTGCTTCCATCACCTCTTAATGGGGGTCGCCAACACTATAAAGTTCTGTGAAACAGAGAAGCAGCACTGAGCAAACACTTTCACATCACAAACTGCTATTAAGAGTCCTGATGGGTTAAAAGTTGGCAGCTTCTACTGGCAGCAGTGTGATATATTCCCTTTTTTAGGGGCTTGTAACTGGGGGAAAGTGCTCTCCATGCTTCTGCACCACAATATCCCAGGGCTTCAAAGGGTTGCTTTCTGGCACAGTTTTAACAGTAGCAGCACTGTGAGAATGACTCTCTGGTTCAGGGGCGAGGAACCTGTGGCCCTCCAGATATCGGTGGACTGCAACTCGCATCATCATTGGCAGTGCTGATTGGGGATGATGGATGTTTGAGTCCAGCAACAGCCACAGGCTCCCCACCCTGGATCAGGACCATGGAGGAGAGGAACAATGTGCATACAATTGTCCCTGAAATTCTTTTGCATGTCTGTGATGGTTGGAGGTTTTCCTAAACGTGGTGTGGAAATACGCAGCTTGGAAGCAGAACGGAGAGACCTCAGAGAGTCTTTTGACTCTCTGAGAGCAAACCAGGCCTGACACATTTTTGTTATGGAGATGGACTACCACAGGTTAATCCAAGCAGGCTTGAGAGTATGTGGTGGTGGGGAAGGTTTTTTTAAATTCTTTTCCTCCATTCCACGGTCCCATGGACGAAAATCCCCTTTCCAAGCAGCTACTTTCATTTCAAGGGGAAATTTTATTGGTGTCATTGGTAGAAAAGCTGTTCTTTCCCTCCTCTTTTCCAGGTCTTCTGGCGAATCAGAACAGTAGTGAGCCCCATAGCAGATAAGAGAGGTGGATTTAGGGCAGTGCGACTGGCTTCACTGCTCTGGGCACTGAGGCTAGAGGGCGCTGCAGGGCGTCGCAACTATGACATAGTGAATTGAGCAGAACAGAAGGCGAGAGGCGAGGATGACAAATTTTGGTCTCACACTGCTGAAATAGGAAAGACCAAAGTCCAGCCTTTCAGATAACATAGGTGACGCAGGGGAGGATGAAGAGGAACTCAGACTGGTTGGGAACTAGAGACACTGGCGGTTTCCTCGATAAGTCTTAGTGGGCGTCCTTGGGAACCACACTGGGGACTATAATTTCTTCTGGTGCTTCAGAATACCCTAGAAGCCTCGTTGATTTGTTGCTAACATCTACATATGCATTCTCTTTATGCACAGATTTCCTGATCCGCAGAGGACCCATGTGATGTGGGGAATTACTAAGGTGATTGCTTTTTTCTTTTCTTTTTTATCTTATTTTCATTTTCAACTTTTACAAATATTTTTAACAAGGAAAACAAAATCTTTCAAATCTCATTTACCTTCCCCTCTACTTCCCTCCCCTCATTTCTGCAGTTACTTATTTTATATATTTTTATTACTGCATATCCAATTCAAGTCTGTTTACTAATTTTCCATTATCTTCCCCTTGATTATTTCTTACTGCGTGTGTTTATATCAATCCTGCTAATGTTTTGATTTGTTTACAATGTATCTTCAAATAATCAATAAATTGTCCCCATTCTGTTTTTAAAAGTCTCTTCTTGATTTCTCATTGTTCTGGTAAGTTTTGCTATTTTTGTGTACTCCATTAATTTTAATTGCCAGTCTTCCTTTGTCGGAACTGTTTCTTCCTTCCATCTTTGAGCATAAAGATGCATTTTTTTCTGATGCTCAGGTGGTATTATTTCAAAAGCCTGGGCCATGCGTGAGAGAGATTTGTTTATTCATTGGTTGGCTCAAAAGATTATTAATTTCTGGCCCCTGCAGGATTTTGCTGCTGCTGGGATTCGTTTTGGGACACTGTACACGTTGAATCAAGATGTTGCCAATGCTGTGGCTTCCTTGTGCTACTTCCATGGGGTCTGTGGGCCTGTCCAGTACAAAATGGCCCAGCTACTCCGAGACAGAGGTGAGGCCAAGAATGTCGCACAACCCCTCCCTGCTCTGTTCTCCCTTTGAGAAGGGAGCTTTGCCAAAACTGCAGCTTTTGCCTGTCCAGGATTCTCAGGCTGTAGCGTGGAGATGGTTGCCAATTCAGCAGCATCTTCCATTAAAGCATAAAAATATTGCACTGCCAACAACAGCCCTTTTCATAGCCTCCCCACCATAGACACAGCAATGTGTGGAGTAGGAAGTGATGCCACATACCCAAGCTCTGCATGTTTGGTTGGACATGTGAAACAGCCCCTTTGCGTGTACAGCTCCCATGAGATCTGGAGCTCTGCTCAATCCAGGGGTCCAGATTGCATGGGAGCCCCACCTGCATACAAGTCTACTCACTTGGGGTACCCTTTCAGACATTCTCCCTATGTTAGAGTTGGCTTAGATCAGGCATAGGCAAACTTGGCCCTCCAGATGTTTTTGGCCTACAACTCCCATGATCCCTAGCTAGAAGGACCAGTGGTCATGGATGATGGAAATTGTAGTCCCAAAACATCAGGAGGGTTGGGTTTGCCTATGCGTGGCTTAGATGGACCTCCTTATATTTTTATGTGTGTATCTTAAGATGGTTTTCATGTGCACACCTGAAATGTGACCAACAGGAAATTGCAATGCATTGCATAAATTGACAAGGCCCTGAGGATTTTGCATCATGTTTTGCTGCTGCAATAGTTGATCGTGCAGAAGGTGAGAATAAAGTAAAGAAGGCAGTGGAGTGACACCAACATTTCAATACAAAATATGGGCAGTGTTGTGTAGATCTTGTCCACTTTCTTCTCTGTGGGATGCTTTGTGTGTTCACATAGTAGCCTGCAGCACCAAGTGATGATCAGTGTTTGAATGAGTTGCTGCAAATCAGCTTGCCACAGGCAGAACTTGCCTATATTCTTGAATGGCTTCAAATCCAATGCTTTTCAATGGAGTCAGTTCACACGCTGAACCACCAGTCATCAAAGAGTTGAGAAATCAAGCGATTTTATATGTATGTGTCTGAACTGCCTTATGTGTCTTCCTCTTGGCTAGACTGGATCAACCAGGTGTACTTACGGGCCAATCATGAAAGGCTGAAAGCTGCCCACACTTTTGTGACAGATGAGCTCAAGACCCTTGGGGTTCCCTTCCTGAACCGCAATGCAGGCTTCTTTGTATGGATTGATTTCCGAAAGGTCAGTGCTCATTAAAGGAGGCCCTGTAGGATCAAACAAAGTCCCTCTATTTCAGCAGTGGTGGGTGTGAATCAAGCAGACATCCAATGTTACGGATTTCAGAAAGATCTGGCTGGTGTGTTCGCACACACTGTCTCACTGACAAGGCATTGCTCTATTTTGTAAAAACAACCTCACACACACACCCCGCCCCACTTTGAATAATTCATCTCCAAAATTATCCTTTGAAAGAGCTTACTCAGAATTTTCTGTAAAGTAGAGAAGTAGCATTAGTTGTTTCAATTCAGAAACACATCTTGAGATATTTTATGAGGCAGTGAAGTAGTTTTCATGGGTCCTGTATGCCTCCTTTTCCTAGGTTTGCTTTTTTTTTTTTACAACCGTAGCATTTTTGCCTTTAGGCAACTGCTGAAATTTTTTTCTTTCTAAGAGGGTTTCCCTGAAGAGAGACTCAGCCATTTTGTATTGCATTCATATGGAATCTTGTAATTTAATTCTTTAAAGAACTTAATTCTTTAAGAACTGCTTTTGGACTGTTCTGCATATTCACTTTGACTATACATTTGGGGAGGGGTTGGTACTTTTGTACACCACTCTGAAGACATTTGTTGGGAAGCAGTTTATAAATCCTTATATAATTAAATATTCTCCAGTCTAGTGGGTGCTTCCCTTTTTCATCATCACAGCCAAGGGAAATAAACTTGCAAAGATTGTGGTTGACTTTCTCATTCCACTGGTGGAAGATGGAGTTCCCAGTTCTCTGAAGTCTTCTGGGAGCAGGGCTGTCTCCCATTCCCAGAAATAGGAAAATGCCTCCCTTATAGCTTCAGACCTTTTTTTAAAAAAATCTGTCCTTATTTTTAGTGGGCAGGGTCTTTTTGCATGATTCAAATTCTATGGCTGGGCAGAAGGCAAGTCTGGATCTACTAGTAGATCCATGGGTAATTTGCAGTAGATCCACATGATGTTTCTGACTCCCAGAAGTCTCTCTCCCACACATACATCCCTGAGTGATGTTGCACCTGACTCCTGTCAGTGGATCTCAAGGTTCTATTAAACAGAGTAGATCCTGAGGGTGTGACTCAGCTAATGAATCCTGTCAGCAGACGCCTTGTGTGGTGACTTTTCACAACAGAGCTTTCCACCCCTTCTCCTCCTTCTGAAACTGAGGGAAGGGGTGTCGAGATTTTCCCCAGATCAGCTTGTGACATGGGAGAGGGGGAATAGTTTCATCTGAGAAACCAAAATCCTTGTTCTGACAGGATGATCAGAAGACTGTGGCATTGAATTGCCCGCCCAAAAGCCTGAAGTCCGCCCGCCCCTGCTGCGGGGAACCTCAGGTCTCCATGGTCTTACTGAAGTTGAGGAGATGTGGCTGTAACTCCTTCTTGTGAGTCGGAGCTTACTTGTTTCTTGACTCCTTTACTCCCCAGTACTTGCGAAGAGGAACATTTGAAGAGGAAATGCTGCTCTGGAGGCGCTTCCTGGACAACAAAGTCCTGCTCTCTTGTGGCAAAGCTTTTGAGTGCAGTGAGCCTGGCTGGTTCCGCATCATCTTTTCGGACAAGATACATCGGCTGCAGCTAGGTCAGTGTTGCCCTTCTCCTATCTTCTCTCCCAGCTGGCGACCCAGCATGCCAAACCCACCAGTAAGATACTGTGGCCGATAGCTCAGACCTGTTAGTTGGTTCTCTTGAACTGTCAGTCACCACTTGGTTGCTTCAGGACCATAGCTCTCCATCCGAATCCAGCTTTTGTTCCAACTGGTGAGTTTCTCTCTCTCCTGCCCCCCCTCTTGTCTTTCTCTCCCTTTTCTCCAGGCATGCAGAGGGTCCGTGAGGTTCTGGAAGAACACGAGCATGGAATCCTGAATGAAGGTAAAGACCAGCCTTGTGAGTCTGACTCGGAAGGCAAAGCGGACAGCGCAGACGAAGTGATATTTGTGTCCCACCATCAGGAGCCAGCCTCAGCTGGCAGCTCCAACCTCGGCGATCTCATTGGCCTCCTGCAGCAGCAAATGCGCTCGTCTGACTGGCTGCAGAAGAATACCGTGGAACAGTTTGCCCAGGAGAAACCAGAGGTCTATGATGTTTTCCGCAAGTTGGTGGGGAAGCAGTAGACGGTTCTGGTGCCCTTCCACATGGATTGCCGCTGGAAGTTCTTGCTGCTCAGCTTTGACTTACCTAATGATATATTTTCCATATAGCCAGAAGCCGTTTGTAAACCTCCTTCCTGTGGGCATCTTCTCATCATTCTATTAAACTGGGGCCAACTACAGATGGGTGGCTTTTATTCTGTCTCCACCCTTTGCGTTACAGTTTTAAAATTTTTGTTTCTATTTACCAAGCTCATGCTCTCTTGTGCAGATGGAGAGAGAGATTTTATCTTCGTTTGTACTGCTTCTGGTTCATCTTCACTGGTTTTCAATTTTTACCTCTGAAGAACTTCTCTCTCTTTTTTTACATCTTCCATGACCTAAAATGAAATTGAAGTACAATTCGCTATGACCTAAGGTGAACATTTCATTAACAAGTTGTTTTAATACAGAATTTAGAGGCAGATTTAAATGTGCACCATCTCTGATAATCTACTACAGGTAAATAATCAGTGTTTGTATGTAACTCAGCTGGTGAGTATTTGTTACTAACAACACTGAATTCCAGTCAATACATTTGTAGTAGGAACATAAGAGAAGCTTGCTAGATCAAGCCAATGGCACATCTAGTCTGGCAACCTGTTCTCAAAGTGGCCAACCAGAGGCCCATGGGAAGCCAACAAGCAGGATCTGAGTGCAACAGCCCTCTCTCCACTTTTGATTTCCCACAACTGGTATTCAGAGGCTTACTTAATGCTTCCTGCTTCTTAAGCAGGGTTAAGCTTTCAGGAACAGACCTTAGTCTCACATGCACTCCTCCCTAGCTCTTTTCCTCTCATACTTGAATTTCCCTTAAATGTTTGAACCATGATTACTTGTAATGGCTGCACTGATGTTAACTTAAAGGTAAAGGGACCCCTGACCATTAGGTCCAGTCGTGACCGACTGTGGGGTTGCGGCGCTCATCTCGCTTTATTGGCCAAGGGAGCCGGCGTACAGCTTCCGGGTCATGTGGCCAGCATGACTAAGCCGCTTCTGGCAAACCAGAGCAGCACACGGAAACGCCGTTTACCTTCCCACTGAAGCGGTACCTATTTATCTACTTGCACTTTGACGTGCTTGCGAACTGCTAGGTTGGCAGGAGCAGGGACCAAGCAACAACTCACCCCGTCGCGGGGATTCAAACCGCCGACCTTCTGATCGGCAAGTCCTAGGCTCTGTGGTTTAACCCACAGCGCCACCCGCATCTCAATGTTAATTTAGGTTAACCCTAATCTTGGTTTGGCTCCTCCCCAAAATCTGAAATGTTGTTCCAGGGACAGCCAATGGGGTGCCCTGCAGATGTTTTGAAGTACAGTTCCCATCTTCCCTAATCACTGGTCATGTGGATCACGGCTGAGTGTAGGAGAACTGTAGTCCAAAACATACTGAAGACTCCACCTTGGCTACTTGTGTGTGCTAATCGTAGCTAGGGTTTGTGCATATGCCACGACTAACCATGATTAGGGCAAGAGAATTCATGCACAAGATGAGTCCTCCAGTCTGTTCCTGATCCTTTCAGGGGATGACATTGTTGTGTCTACTCCAGCCTCAAAAACAAAAATGATGAAAATCTCAGTGGCTTAAGTCCCAACTCTTTTAAATTCTGAATTTTTTTGCAGCACCATCTTCAAGAATTCAGTAGTTTGAGTTGGCAAGAAGTGGCCAGTCAGGCCAGTTAAATTTTTTTTGTAGTTACAAACACTGTCTCTGAAATAAGGTAATCACTTTGAGTCTCTCATCTACTATGAAATTGAAGGGTATCTGTTCTCAGTTCTTATACTAACTTTTAGCAGTAACGTGCTTCACAGTAGCCTTTTTAAGTTCCAATACCATCATACTGGTGGAGTGGGCAAGGGCCTTGTCTGATGGACATTGTTGAAGAGGCAGAAGAGAGACTATGATTCAAATATAGTGAAGTGGACCTCACATGGGGGTTTGCAAGTTAACAAATTCTGATAAATTCTTGGTTTTTTAAAAAGTGATTTTTTTTTAAAAAAAGGGATGTGTTAATGTGATTTTAAACAAAGGGAGGGAAGAAAGTAACTTTTCCTTGTGTGCATTAGCGCTTTGGTGTTCACTGGTAGCTGTGGTGGGTCAACTCGCTTTATTCTGCCTTTTCCATATATCTATATATCTATATATATCTATATATCTATATATATATATCTATATATATATATATATGATGGCATTTATTGCTTTCCGTTTTGCTGCTGTGTTGGGCATTAGCACGGAATGACAACTGTGCCTGCCCCCTACCCCGAAGGTAGAACTGTAAGGTTGGCTTAAAGGTCATCTACTCCAGCAGGATATTCCACATATTACAAATGTAGAGCAAGCACAAAACAAGAGGGACTGAGAGATGTCAGAAATCCCTGCATGACAAGGAATAACCATCCGCCCAGCTAGCATAAGCTGTGCTGCATGCTATGGGAGCGAAGGTGAACGATGCACTGTGGGACTGAGTAGAGATCTGTGGTGCAAAACAATTTAGACTGCAATCCTATACCCACTTACCTGGAAGCAGGCCCCTTCGAAATAAACAGGACTTTTGGGTAGACGTGTCTAGCATTGCACTGTTCACTGCAGTCCTGTACAATTGCATTTGTAGTTTAGGTCAGGGATGAACAGACCTTAAGTTTGTGGGGTCTTTGTGCTTTTTAGTAGAATACTCAGGTCCACCAATCAGAGCCAGCTGCAGAATAGCGGCTGCCAGATACAAATTTATTTATTTTTAATTTATATGCCAACATTTGACAGAAGACCACAATGTGGTTTATAACATACAACATCAATGCCACAACATAACACCTGTACAGCATAAGAACTATACGCTGTACATGCCAAATAATAATTGTAGAGATCCAATGTCGGCGACTGGCTGGACACTGAGGAGTGGAGGCTGGATACTGATAAGTGGGCACTGGGAGAAAGGGGGTTGGATCCCCTTTCGAAGAAGAGATCCGTGAACTGGGGGAGCCTGTAACAGCCAGGAGATGAGTCTGAGGCAGAAGAAGCTGCAGGATTGGAGAGTGAAGAACAGGTGCAGGAGGAGGGAGAGAGAGGTCAGGCTGGTGGAGAGTCAAGGGCTTCAAGACCTCCACCTCCTCCTCCTGCGCCCACTTCTGCTCCACTGTCTCCCAGGGCTAGAAGAGGAATGAAGTGAGAGGAGCAGAAGGTTACACACAGGCAGAGTCTTCGCCTGCTTGCGAGCAGCTCAGATGGGGGAGATACATAAGCCGGGGACGGGGCCTCTCTATTGTGGCAACTGTGACACACCTAGAAGTAGCTGAGAGACATGGGGCAGATAAACACGTCTTTCCCTAACTTGCAAGTGTCCTTTTGACAATTAAGAGTTGATTCCTCACTCTGGACATTCCTGGCCTAAGAGCACGGCGACATCCAATTATAATTAGGAAAACATTACAAAATACAGATTCTAGTAACAGCAACAGCATAACGAGGAGAAAAATCAGCAACCAGGTATCTAAAATACAAAGACGACACCCAAATACAGAATCTTTTCTTAAAGGTAAACCAGGTAACTGCTTTTAAAATGTCAGGTGGTGTTAGGTCAATGAGAGGAAAAACGAGACAATGTCTTCCCTCTTCCTTCCCATTGCAGCTAGAACTGGATCTTGTACTGCCATTACTGCCACTCCCTTATCTCCCCTTCCCATTCTGAATATGGCTGCAGAGAGAAGGTGGGTGTGTTTCACCAAACTTCTGAGTGGCACAATGGGAGCAGCTTTCTGCTCATGACCATACTTTGTCCATGTCAAGCATAGCTATGAAGGAAGAAAGGGCTGTCCAACGATAGCTCAGTTGGTTAGAGTGTGGTGCTGATAACACCAAGGTTAAAGGTTCAATCCCCATATGGGACAGCTGCATATTCCTGCATTGCAGGGTCTCTTCCGACTACAGTTCTATGTTGCCCTCATTGTTCATTCATAAAGCTAATTTGTGGGGTGGAGGGTGGAGCAGGACCACACACTTGCGGGCCCACAATGTCTCCTGCAGCTGTGCATAGTGGGGCCTGCTGAGGGGCTTGGCAACACCCTGCTTTCTCCATCATAGTCAGGCATAGTTTGTGAGCAGGCTGCCATTGGCTGTATAGAACACTGGTGGGGGGACCTGCAACCCTCCAGGTGTTTCTGCACTACAACTCCCATCATCTCTGACCATTGAGCATGCTGGATAGAACTGATGGGAGCTGGAGTCCATGGGTTCCCCATCCCTGGCTTAGACAAAAAAAAAAAAAAAAAAAGCATATTGGGAGCTGGCTGCTTGTAGATGAAAAATAAATAGAAAGGAGGGTAGCCTGCCAAGTCACAAGGTCCAGGCTTTTCAGCAGTTTCTTGTTCAAAAGAGTTTACTTTTTGTCCTCAGCTTGCTTGGAACACTTATTCATAGTAAAGGACACAAGCAAAACCAAGCATAGCAAAATATATTGGATAAACACTGGGAGCAAATGCTATTTTTAGCTGCTCTGCGTATTCCCTGCTGTTCTCCACCAGATTCCAAATGTGCACAGAAAACATGCAGGAGGGCTTAGCTATTCTAGGCAAGTCCTCCTCGTGACCCTTTCCCTTCTGAACACCCGAATGCAGAAAACGTGGGGTGGATTAAAGATGAACGCTAAGGCAAGCCACGGCAACAGCCTTTCCGTAACCGGCGTTTGCGTTTGCTTTCTCAATGACAGAAGAAGTTGAACAGAGTGCTTCCAGAAAAGACTGAAGGCAAACTAAGTCAACTCACCAGGCATAAGTTGGGGAGTCACTTGATCTGAACACAAAAAGCGAAATGTTGCACATTTCAGTTGTATTCTTCATGGGCCAGACCACTGCTGATCCCAAATGCTGTATCTCCCAATGACTAGGTGTTCGTACAACTAGTAATCTTGTACATCTTATAAAATGGACACCTAGCACAGGAATGGGGGACCATTGTGAAGGCTAGCTGCCTTCTGGGGGCTACATACCATTTGCACACCCCTTTCTGTCATCCATCCAGGCAGGGAAGAAACATCAGAGCTCATGGACATGTTCCAGCTAGGCAAAAATATACTAAAGGAGGTTGCAAAGAAAGCCTGGGGAGGGCTGTGGCCTTTGTATGATTCTGAGGGCCAAATAGAGAGGGCTGCATTTGCCACCCCCGCCCCCTCACCCAGGCCTAAGTCTCCTCACCCTCATCCCTGATCTAATAACATGCCTGGTATAGTAGTGTGTGGTACTATGACCCAATGCTTTGCTTTCTATTTTTATTTCTCTTTTATGTTATGGAAGCACTGGTGAGGGGGTCAAATGTTCCTGGGTCTAGTGTCCAGAAAATACAATGGCTTCCAAGAATTAGAAGCTCCCCATCTGAGAGGATGCATGTAGCCAAGGTTCATAAGTTATGAGATAGGGGATTCCACTTCAAGCCAACCATAACTTTTTCTGTAGTAATCTTATCCTTAAGTACACAACACTTCAATATAACAGACTATGAGGTGATAACTCCACTATCTGCCCTCCTGTACAAGATGCTGTCATCACCAATCCAGCATCGCTAAAGATAACCAGCTGAGGAATCCCAGCTAAGCCCTGCTGCTATTTTGCCCTCCTCTGCAGTAATAATAAGGAACAAATGGAACTGGGTAAGCTGATGCATCTAGAATATGAATGAACAGCAGACAAGGAACCGGCTGCAAGCTGAAGGCACTTTATTTGTGTTCTGAAACTGACCTCAGTCACGCCGCACATGAAGGCGAAAGGGCGGAGTGGTGGAAAAAGCCCTGCTCTGACGTATTTATACAAATTAATAGCTTGTCACCCTGAAGCTGATGAATAATTTTGCGGGATATAAATGGCAAGCCGGAGTCCAAAAATAGATCGGTTTGCTGCAGACCTGTCTGCCTCAGCTACACTGCCAGAATACAAACAAGATCCCTTGCTGGGTTTCTCTGCAGAGCCAAGGAAATCTCTGCTCAAAGCAATGTCCCCAAACCTAAGTAGTAGTGGAAGAAGGAATCATTGCACAATATATACACTTTGCTGATTTGCTTATGTTACCTCAATTGCCCCCTGCCCCTTGGTGGAAATTTCCTATTTTGCTAGTGAAACTATTAGTCCTGACATTTTGCTTCTGCAGTTGACCTGATGCAGCATATTCATTCTGGAAAAGCACTGACATGAGACATGCCTGTGGACATTCAGTGGGCATCAGCATGGCATGTTCCTCCACCCTCAGTCCCCTGCCCTCTTCTCGGTTGACAACATGTGGACTGGCTGGTGTTATTCTCACATGGCAAAGTTCTTCCCCAGGGCTCCGTGACATCCAGTCATTACCATTCGCACAGATGAGAGCCTCTCCATTCATAAAGAGGCAACACTTGATTCACAATGCACCATTTGTTCCTGCGTATTCCCAAAATAGCATCAGGGTATGTGTTTTGTTCGTGGCAACCTACAGGTGCCCTGTATGAGGAGCAATATACATTTGTGGAAGGGTTTTGCATACAGTTCCTCCCCACACGAGAAGCTGCTATGGGGAGGCGGGAAGGGTGATCCCTTAGGGAAGGGCTGTAGCTCAGGGACAAAGCATCTGTCTTGTGTGCAGAAGGCCATATGTTCAATCCTTGGCATCTCCAGGTAGGGCTGAGAGAGGCCCTTGTCTGAGAGGCCAGAGAGCTGCTGCCAGTCAGTGTAGACATTGCTGAGCTAGATGGGCCAAGAGTATAAGGCAGTTTCCTAAGTTCCTATTCAGCAGTCTTGCTTGCTTCTGGGCTCAGTTCAGAGACCTGCAAATTCATCTGCATGTGTGCTGCTGCCACTCTCTTTGCAACTCAGGAATGCTTGAGTGCAGGAATCCCCCTTCCTGCAAAAAAGGTTAGTAGATGTTGATATCCTTACTCTCCCTGAATTTGTCTCATGAAGAAACCAAGCCTTATGAGGAACGGTTGAGGGAGTTGGGTGTGTTTAGCCTGGAGAAGATTGAGAGGGGATATGATAGCCACCTTGCAAATAAAGTGGTACCTCGGGTTACATACACTTCAGGTTACAGACGCTTCAGGTTACAGACTCCGGTAACCCAGAAATAGTACCTCGGGTTAAGAACTTTGCTTCAGGATGAGAACAGAAATCATGTTCCAGCGGCGCGGCGGCAGCAGGAGGCCCCATTAGCTAAAGTGGTGCTTCAGGAACGAATTAAGTACTTAACCCGAGGTACCACTGTACCTAAAGGGCTGGCACATGGAAGATGGAGAAGGCTTATTTTCTGCTGCTCCAGAGGGGTAGGACCCAAACCAACAGATTTAAGTTACGAGAAAGGCGAGTCCAAGTAAACATAAAGAAGAACTTTTAGAATGTAAAAACTGTTTGACAGTGGAACGGACTCCCTTGTAAGGTGGTGGACTCATCTTCACTGGAGGTTTTTAAACAGAGGTTAGATGGCCATCTGTTATGGATTCTTTAGCTATGGTTCCTGTTTTGCAGGAGGTTGGACTGGACAACCCAGTGATCACATTATGTTGCTAGTAATGGTGCAAGAGAAACGGCTGCTGTTTGGCTGGTGGGAGAAAGGGGGCGTTCATACCTCTCCAGATTGAGCAGGACGGTTAAATAGATTTATTTTATTTTTTTAGTTAAACAAGCGTGGGAAGGTCTCACATCATTGTCAGAGTATGAAATCAGCAGCAGAAGACTGGTTACAGAATTACACCTTCAATCAACTCTGACCTTGATATCTCAGGGTAATGAGCATCCATTCTGGTGGGCAAGTGATGTGGTGCTGTGCTACCCTTTTCTTGGATGAAATGCATTTGAGAGAGTGCATTTGGCAGCAACTCTGCTGCTTGAAACTCTCAAGGATGGGGGGGGGGCACTCGGCTTGAAAGATGTGGGATGCTACTTGAATGCTAGCAGCTCTGGAGTGATGGGCTCACTTTCTTGTGACAATGCCTGGCTGTGGAACTCCAGTCTGGGACACTAAGAGGTGCAGAATAAACCAGGAGTCCATGGTACATTCGTGGACATGTTCTGTGAAAAACAGCAGGTGCAGTAAAACAGGGACACGGTTTTCTAAAATGGCTCCAGGGTGATATTTCCTTCACTGTTTGAAGAGTATCTCACCAAAGGGGACTCCCCCATCCCTATCCCTCTGTCTCACTTGGAAACATTTGATCAATGGCTATCATCTGGACTGACCTGGCTGAGGGCCAAACTCCCTGGTGATTTGTTTATTTATTTGAGATTCTGCCCCTCATCAAAAGATCTAAAGGCAGTTCACAAGAAAAAAACACAAGTTAAAACAAAAACAAAACAATAGCCTCCCCCCACATTTAAAAAAGCTGTAGAATATTAATCAGCTAAATTAATTTATTAATTTTCTATCCCACCCTTCCTCTCAAAGGAGCACAGGGTGACAAGAAATAAAACAGCAAAACAATGCCATTAATATGAGAGAGAGAGCTTCCTGTATTGCAGGAGGTTGGACTAAATGACCCTTAGGTCTCTTCCAACTCTACAATTCTATGCCTCCATAAGAGAGAAATGATCAAGTATTCTCACGGCTAAAATGTTCAAGGTTGCCAGGAACTATATATTGCGGCCATCAAATGCCCATGCATTGAACAGGATTGTTTTAAAATTCCACCTGAATGTTAATAACAAGGGAGACAGAAACACAACATATCCCCATGGAAGGCCTTCCATAAATGGGGAGCCACTACCAAAAAGGCCCTATTGTGGGTCGGCACCAACTAGGCAGTACCCAGCTGTTGCATTATTCACACACTACCATTTAGAAGAAATAGAAGCTGGGGGTTACCTATCTGGAAAGTGTTCCCAAGCTGGATTGGGGCCTCACACCCATTTCTAGACCTGCTCATGTTGAACACACCTGGTATTTGCCTGTTAAGATGCTGTTTCCTACAAACACTGTAAACAATGTGTGTGCGTGTATACATGCAATTTTCAGCAGTGAATCTTCACAAGGTGCCAGTCTAGATCAGGAGCACGGTCCAGACTTGAATCTCACAGCTCCTTTTCCATCATGATCACAGCTGCTAGCTGGATTACACTTACAGTCGTACCTTGGTTGTCGAACGAAATCTGTTCCGGAAGTCTGTCCGACTTCCGAAAACATTCGATAACCAAGGTGTGGCTTCCAATTGGCTGCAGGAGCTTCCTGCACACAATTGGAAGCTGCGTAAGATGTTTGGGTTCCATGAACGTTCGCAAACCGGAACACTCATTTCCCGGTTTGCGGTGTTTGGGAGCCAAAATGTTTGAGTCGCAAGGCGTTTGGGATCCAAGGTACGACTGTCCTTTTTTAATGAATGAATAATGCAAGACATAGTTTGGGGTTGGTGAAAAGGTCATTGCTGTGCTAGTGGGAGGGGTGTGGAGAGCTCATAGTTGTGGTTTTCCAACTCTTACTAATCTGAGCCAACGTTTCTTAAATGCAAAAATATATCACGTGTGGCACTGCTCAGAACATTTGAAAATGGATAATAATGAAATATCAGTTCCTTGGGGAAAACCTAATTGTGTATCCTAGGAAAAAGCTGATCCTGAAAGACACACTATTTCTGTACCGGAAGCTGTCTCATCTCCATGGATCCATCCAGCCATTGCCCCGTTTAGGTATGGGTTAGAATAATCTAAGCACCAGTTACTTGATATTTGGGATGTGAGCACTAGGAACTTCTCTTGCTACATAATCACGTAGCCTTGGGGACCAAGCACATGGAACAGATTGACTTACCAATATAGTGGTAACACACAGCGTTGTTTACATTTCACAGCCATAGGCAAGTTCCTCCACTGTGACTTATGTCCCATAGACATTTAGCTTCGATCTTTTGGCTTCACGGTTGTCCCATTCCAGAAGTGGTGCGGCAACAGACTAAATGCAGACCTAGACCTAGCTATGCAATGAGTAATATCGTCATCCACATCAAGGCTGGCAGTGAGAGCACGCTCCCTAAATATAGCAGGGTATAAGGTTAAGAGGAGCCTTGCCAGTTGCAACGGGTGCGTGAACGTGCACATTCCCAGGAAGAGGCCCAGGCAGTACTTACGTTTGCTTTAACCCCCTTGGGAAAGAGCAATCGGCTATTCAAGGGAAAGTCATCGGAGTCACGCAATCTTACGTGTGTTCACTTCAACGGGCCTGCAGTAAGTCTCAGTCATAATTAAAATAGTACCATCAGCAAAATGGGAAATCAGAGCATGAGTAAGTCATGGCCCTTTCGCTTTCCTGGGTGATCATGGAGAAGCAGAGGTCTAGTACTGAGGTCTGTCTGCTGAACTGCCTCAACTTTTTACATTCAAAAGTATTTTTTACATTCAAAAATATTTTTACACTCAAAAATTTTGTGACCAATCTGATTAAAAGCAGTGATCAATCTCTTTTTATAAAAACCCTAACTTTTTAATGACACATTTTTGGGGTGTGAGGTGCATTATATTATATTATATTATATTATATTATATTATATTATATTATATTATATTATATTATATTATTATATTTCCCCTGACAGGACTCAAGGCAACTTATATATAAAAATAAGAACCATTGAAAACATAGGAAAAGCAATCATTTAAAACTTGAATTAAATTGAACTGAACATTGATAGAATTAAAGCAGGCATAGGCAAACTCGGCCCTCCAGATGTTTTGGGACTACAACTCCCATCATCCCTAGCTAACAGGACCAGTGGTCAGGGATGATGGGAGTTGTAGTCCCAAAACATCTGGAGGGCCGAGTTTGCCTATGCCAGAATTAAAGCAACCGGTGTAATTCTTTCAGAATCAGTGCAGTGTGATTCCATCTGGCTGCATAAGTTAATGTTCTTGCAGCCACATTCTGCGCTAATTGAAGCTTCTGGGTAGTCTTCAAGGGCAACCCCATGTACAGTAAATTACAGTAATGCAAATGGGAGGTTACCAGAGCATGGGTCACTGCAGCTAGGCTACCTCTGTCCATGAATGGTCAAAGCAGGGAACCAGAAAGATGGAAAAAGGCATGTCACACAACCAAGACTACATGAGCCTCTAGAGACAATGCTGGATTGATGAGTACCCCTCCTTCCCCTGGTGTATCTGCTCCTTCAAGGGAAGTACAACCCCATCCAGGACAGGCTGTACACCTAATTCCTTGCCACAAGAATCATTTACCCATAATGCCTATTCTCACCCACTTCCTTCAAGGCTTGTTCTATGATTAAATGGCTGTCGCCTGATAGCAGAAATCTTCAGTGATTTATCACATTGGTTTTAACTGAGCATTTGAATCAATTATATCTGCATAAATGCACACATGTATAATAAAGCAATATGGCATGGGGTGGGGAGAGATAACCCGCATCCTTGCCCCATGTTCCCCAACTGTGGCTATTTGAACATCTTTTTTTTAAAAAAGTAAAGCTTTATAAATGCAATCATACAATGAATGTCTTATTTAGCTTCATCCTACATGAGAAGAGATGGCTCTTCAAAGGTGACACTTATCTGCATTTTTTTGTACACGCTTGTCTAAAAATGTTTTTCCCCCCCCCAATTCTGTCTTTTCAAAGCAATCACAATGTTTTAAATGGATTAATGTAACCAATTAATCAACTAAGGGTTGTGTTCAAGGCTAGTCCTACTCAGAATAGACCCACTGAAATGAATAAGCCTAAATTTGTCATGTCTGTTAACTTTAATGGGTGGGTCTACTCTGAGAAGGACTAGTATTCCATCCTAAAACTGTGAACTTGTACAGTACTCACTTACTTGAGAGAATGCACCATTGCACTCAGTAGGTTCTACTTCTGAGTACAGAATTGCACCCTAAAAACTGGTGAAATTAGCAGTTTTGCTAATCGTCAATATGTCTGGGTTTTTCAACAGAACCAGGAAGCTTCCAGACAACTTTTGTGTCCAGATTTTTACTTCTTGAAATATGGCAACCCTACCCCGCCACCCACACTTACATTTCTGAACCTAAATAGAGCAGCACTGCCATCTGGTGTTGGTCCATGCTACAACCTTAGAAAGAGCTGTCCAAAAACCTATGACAAATTGCTTAGCAAATAATTTTTCAAGTGGACTTAGATTTAATAGGACAGACCTCACATTTACATCATGGGGGCAATCTATAAGGTGTGATTTGTAGCTGGGATGGAGAAGCTGAGATAGAAAGGCTAGACTGGAAACAGTTGGAGGAATAGCAGAAAGAGGCATTTACTGTACATCAGGGGTGGACAGTCTTCAAGGCCACAAGATCTACTTAGCTTTGACTAGAATCATGAGGCTTTGTAACCAAAGCCAGATGCAAAACAGTTATTTAGTCAGAAAGACATATACCAGGAATTACTGTCTGAGCACCTGCTCAATTCAGTGATTAGCATGAGAATCAAGCTCAGAAGCCCTTTCCACACACCACTGGTTTTCCCTCAAGCATCCTTTTTCAGTCACCAAATTTAAGGGAGAAAAGCTTTTTGTTGCTGTTGTTAGATCATTGGGAGTCGGAAATGCTTGCTGACCTATAGACTCATCTATAGATCTCTTAGTAGGTCTCAATTTACCTTTTGCCTATCCTTCCTTTGCATTAGTCCGAACAAGATATGCTGAAGAGTGGCTGGCCACCCAAAAAACAGTCCCATGAAGACAGAAACTATTATAGGGGATGAAGGCCAAGCTGAACTTCATGACCAAGTGGGGAATCCAAACCCTATAACAATTGATTATTTGTTATATAGAAATACTGGTATTCCCAGTTTTGTGTCAAGTTCACCCTCGTGGCAGCTATTGTGTAGCCAGCTACATCCCCTTGTAGCAGCCATTTTGTGACTGTAGCATCACATACGTGGAACAGAACTGTTATCATGGGGAGTCAGACTGATGTCTGGAATTAGCCCTTTAATGCCCCAACATAAGGCCTAACAGACCTGGACCTGGAATTGCTTTCTATTTGTAACCATTCTATTGGGTTGTTTTTGTTTTTATTATGTATTTTGTGATTTTACGTTGTAACCACACTGAGATCTGCGGGTATAGGGTGGTATATGAATTTATTTAATTAATTAATTATTCATAACCATGCAAGAGTTATTCTGAATCTCTCTAGGTAACACGTATGCAGTAGTAACTAGCAGAATGTCACATGGCAAGTAAAGTATGAGAAGCAATACACTAATGGGGAGGATCAAAGACTGGTTAACTGTTACAAATAAGCTGAGAGAATTTCTCAAATGGCTGCTTTTTGTTTCAAGGCCACAAGAACAGCAACTGTTTGATATCTGCTTTAATACTCCCTCTCCCAGAAGTGCATAAGGAATGTTACAGCCAGTGACATATAGCTCACATCTGTATGATTGATACACCCATTCGACTTGTCAGCACAGTTCAACACTATGTAAGAGGCAGACAGTTCACTAACCCAGCTTAGACCCTGACACTCAAACAAAGAAACCAGAGCTAACAGAGATGTTGCACCCTGGCTATAAGAAGCCATATCCATTGCCATCCAAGAGTCTTAACAACTACAAGGGGAAAAGCAGTAGGTTCCTGCCTGGTAGCCTGATGCTTTAGTGTGCTTAAACTCTTTACTCAATAACAGAGGCTGCACTCTTAAGCTTTATTTAGTTTTGCTGGGCTTCCCTTAGGCTTTAATACATTTTATGCAGGCTAGTCCTGTGCATTATGTGATATGTAGGCCGTGTGCCTTGCTGTGCTTTATTCTTGCTGTACATGAATAAAACCAGTAAGTCTTCACCCAAAGTGTGCCTATTGTCTCTGAATTCACAAAGCACAGTTGCCCTTGTAGAACAGGTGCCCACAGCATTCTCTCAAAATTCTAGTGTGCCCCTGGGACCATAAAGGTTGGCAGCCTAATTGAAATATACTCAGAGTCGAGAGTGGACTTCATGCTCTTTATTCAGCTCATAGTGGTGAGGAGGAATGAAAGTCCCCTCAAAGTATCTGCTTTATATACATTATTTACACAATGGGCTGCACGTGATTGGCTAATTCCAGAATTCTCCTGTAGGCCAATCAGGTTGTGGATTCACTTCCATCTGGAGCCAGATTGGGTGGCTCCTGCAGACTAATCATACTGCTGCATTGTTCTAGGACCAATCAGACTGCTGCATTCTGAATCCTATTGTTCTAGGACCAATCAGACTGCTGCATTTTGGATCCTATTGTTCTAGGACCAATCAGACTGCTGCATTTTGGATCCTATTCAACTCAGTACATAACATCAAAACACAGGCTCCTACATGGGGTGGGGGACTATTAGACAGCTGCGTCTGAGCTACAAACTTCTGCTTTGACTGGCCCTAAAAAACCCCAACCCATTCCAGAGCTGGCTGAGAATGATCTCCCTCGACAGACGCCCCACCCATCTGCAGCATCTCCTTAGCATGCATTTGAACACCATGAAACCTGCTCTGCTCCAGAGGAAGAACTGAGGGGAGAGACTTTCTACAGGCAATGGCTTCTCCACCTGCCCAGCCCCACCCTCCAGTCCCAGACCATGACTTCGAGAACAGCAGAAGCAGCTGGGAAGGGAGTTCAGGAATATTTTTTCAAAAGTTGTGTGTCCTTGTTTCTAATTTGATCCTTTTACATGGTTTTGTATCTTTGGGGTATTTTACGCATTGTGGTTTGCTATTATTTTTATTAGTTATAGATTAGTAATTATTTATTGTAATAAGGGTAAACTGTTTAATTATTTTTGCTGATGTCTAATTTTACTGTTTACTGTTAAATTCTGATGTGTTGTTGAATGATGCTTTTTTGATACAAGTTGTTTATTTTAAAGTTATTGTGACTTTTTATATTGGATCAGATTGTTACATTAATGTTTGATGATTTATTATTACTGTTGCTATTATTATTATATTACTGTATATGTGTTGGAAGCCGCCCACAGTGGCTAGAACAACCTAGCCAGATGGGTGGGGTATAAATAAATATTATTATTCCAGCATTGCAGGTGGTTGACTAGATGCCCCTTCGGGTCCCTTCTCACTCTACGATTCGCCCTTGGTCACATGCTCAGTCCATACAAGGATCTCAGCAATTCTGACGACTAGCTGAGGAGCCGATGCTTAAGAGCCATCTCAGCCACCGGCTTGCCGCTGCTTGCCTTACTTTGGCTTCAGATGCGCGCCGGGAAACAAAAGCCCAGAGAGCGGGGGGCTGCCAACCGTCGTTCCTCGCGCGGAGAAGAGAGAAAACTACAGTCCGCCTACCAGCGTTCCGTCGCGCCGGAAATGACGCCCCCCTCGAGCGGAAGCCGGAAGTGTCGGCCGCGGCTGGCGGAGGGGCGTGGGAGGCGTACGCCGTTTGCGGTCTTTTTCCTTCCCCTCCGCCGGGGCGCCGTGAGGTGAGGAGGGCGCCAATGACGACCTGGGTCCTTCCCGGAGCGTAGCCGGCGTGGCGACTGAGGGGGAAGCGAAGAGAGCCGGCAAGCCAGTTCGCGCTGGGGTCCTCCTCCTCGGGCGACCGGGTGAGTGGCACGCGGGCAGGGGGGACCCTCTGATACCCTGAGCTTCGGGGTGGCTTCGGGTGTCCTGGCGAGCTGGGGCCCAGCTACTCGCGCTCCGTTGAGCCCCGAAGTCGCCCTGCAGGTGAGAGCCATTCGAGGTGGTTTCCTAGCGACGCCTTGCCTCCTCACCTGTGGCCGAAGAATCAGAGAACTGTACAGCTGTAAGGGACCCCGGGAGTCATCGAGTCCAACCCCTTGCAATGCAGGAATCTCAACTAACGCATCCGTGACAGGTGGCCATCTAACCTCTGCTTATAAGCCCCCAAGGAAGGAGAATTCGCCAACTTCCAAGGGAGTCCGTTCCACTGACAGCACAGCACAGCACCCGCTCTTTAGTCCGGTTCTTTTTTACCCTCAGTTCCTTTCTCATCGCCAAGGTTCAGACACACACGCCTCTGTCAGATGAAGTGCTACTTTCACAGTAACAAGAAGCATGGGAATAAATGGAGCCTGATGACACACGTGTGTGTGTGGGTCTGTCCTGCCCCCTCCCCCCGCGATGGAAATTCACTGAATCTAAGTGGCTTGTGAGTGTGCCTGTAGGAGAAGCGGAGTCTCGATACCCACATACAAAAAGAAGCTGCAATGTTCATACCAACTTAGGTGTCCCAACACCTGATCAATAGTGTCAGCTTTACAGGTGCCAGTTAGCATACTTGATTCATATCAAAAGTAATCTTTTACTCTCAGGGGATTCAGTCTCTTATCTGCTCCCTGGCTGTCATCAATGACTGTGTGGGATAAGGCGATAGTGCTATGCCTAGTTTTCTGCCGCTTCTTGATCCAGGCTTGAAACCAATATGCAGGTCCTTAATTTCTGAATGTAGCTGTCCAGTGCTGGAAATTCTAGGCTCTTTTCCCAGTCTAGATGTGAATGTGCACAGAGAAGATAGCTTTATTTGCCTCACTTTCATGGGATCTGCAGAGAATATTTAACCATCTGCTGTTATTCAGATAGCCTGTTGAAGTACACACTGCACAAACATTTTTAAATGTCAATAAAGGAGTATTTCACCTTGCATTTCCTACTAATTTGATCTTTAGTGGCTTTCAAAGCTACTGTTCTTCAGTAATGCATATTCTGTTTTACTGCACTGGTACAGAGCTTACCGTACTTTCATTTTCCTGATTAGTATCAGTCCAGTTTTTGACACATTTGTGAAGTAATGCAGAAATTACTGGGCATTAGTCGGGGGATATGTATTCTAGAACCCTATCACTTTCCTTTAAATTATTGATTTTCTCAGAAAGCTACTGGTGCTAATTGGGTAGTATCTAATTCTAAATGTGACCGTGAGGATGCAAATGCAGATTATTAATTTTTAGCAGGAAATGTCATAGGCTTTATTTAATATTATTTGTTTTGTAGCAGTTATAAAATATGATTAAGTATCTCCATGGAATGACTGTGTATGCTGTAGCCTGGCATGGAAAAATATTTTCCTCAGCGACATAAGAACTTGTCATGAATGCGTGATCTCAGTGATGCATCAGGATATTCCATTGTTTGGTGGGAAGAAGGTGTCAATTAGTTTCATTAAAATGCTAAGATATTATATTGTAATACTAAGGGTAGTGTTGTTTTAGACACTGAAACTTCATAATCTAGGTTCTGGGAGGGACACCTTAATAAGTTAAAGAAGCTTAATGAAGAAGGCTTGCAGCATGTGGATCAACTTGAGGGAGGTGGAAGTGATTGTTTTGGTGCTTTTTGGTAGCAGAATATGAAAACTTTTTCAGATAGATCCAAAGTCCATAAGACAGGCATAGGCGGCAAACTCAGCCCTCCAGATGTTCCTGTTCCTTGCCGTCTTGAAGCTGTTTTTTCTCCAAGGGTGGGAAAACAGACTGGGTGGTGGTGGTTATGTTGAGTGGACAGCTGCAGTAAGAGGGAGTCTTAACGGTTAAGCAGCCCTTGCTTTTCCATTCCTAATCAGAGTCTGTGAAGTCGTTTTCCTGTAAATAGCAGTGAAACCATACTAGGCAGATATGAGGCCCAAATGCAGTCCTGCAGAATAGTAAATGCATAATAGTAAATTACCAATAAACTTGTATTCCTTCTGATTACTGATATATTTGGCAAAGAGAGCTAAGAACGCTATTTTGCTGAGGCAATCTAGCTGAAATGTTTAAGAGCATACACACCCACTGTCATTGTTGCTACAAGACCTGGCTTCTTCCTGTTATCTCTGTTCTGTATGTGGTAAATTGGCATCCCTCTAGGCAGGAATGGGGTTGGTCATAGAATGGTATTTTGCTGGGTGTAGTTATGTTGCCTTGGGAATAACTAGTCAGTCACAATTAAAAGTGTTAACACTTCTTAATTTAAAACTGTTATATTGCAAATCATCCAAGGTGAAATAAAAAAACTTTAATCTACCACAAGCCATGATTGCATAAAAGATTAGTTTTAGAGAACAAATACCTTAAGACTGTACAAGTAAAAATAAAATTCTGGCAAATGTTAAGTATATACAGTTTAATATGTGACTGAACACTTAACATGTGCATGCCTTTACAGAGATTTGGGTTTATTTTTTTCTAGAAATTGTAAAACAGCAAGCTGCAATATAAATAAAACTTCAGGGCATTTCAGCTTTATCTGTTCTGCTATCTGCAGAGTTGGTGCTAGTACTTAACAAGGATATATGTTGTTGCTACTATCCTTTTATTATTGTGTTTCTCAAAATGTTTCTTCCCAGGTCCTAACTGTGCCTGCCCAGTTCTGCTTTGCCAGTTGTGCAACTGAGAGGTATTTTGTATGCAACATTTTGTACTCTGGTTTGATGCCAATATTGAAGTGCAAAATACTCACATATCAATACCAGATGTGAAGGGTTTGGACATATATAAATAACTTTTTCACCTTTTAAAATATACATGAGAAGTAAATGAGAATGAGAAATGATCACAACCATTGCTGTATGTACTTAAAAACATACATTCCATTTTTTACACATGTATGCCCTTCACATCTAATGCAGTATAACTGGGACATGGGTGGTGCTGTGGTCTAAACCACCAAGCCTCTTGGACTTGCTGATCAGAAGGTCGGCAGTTCAAATCCGTGTGATGGGGTGAGCTACTGTTGCTCTGTCCTAGCTTCTGCCAATCTAGCAATTCGAAAGCATACCAGCACAAGTAGATAAATAGGTACCACTGCAGCAGGGATGTAAACAGTGTTTCCATGCGCTTTGTGCCAGAAGCTGTTTAGTCATGCTGGCCACGTGACCCAGAAAACTGTCTGTGGACAAATGCCCCTCCCTCGGCCTGAAAGCGAGATGAGCACTGCACCCCATAGTCTCCTTTAACTGGACTTAACCGTCCAGGGTTCCTTTACCTTTACCTTTTTTTAATACAGTATATTTGTAGTTTATACACTACATAAGAAGCATCCTTTAGAATATCTCTATCAGAGTAAATGAACTTTGCCTAAATATCCACGATTGGGCTGAATGCTCCTGCCATTGCCATTGCTAGACCCTAGTTTTTTGCAAGCACAGTGGGCTACAGTAGGGGGCAAAAAACCCTTCAGAGTGTGTGTCCAATAAAACTATTTCTTATGATCTCAGTTGCTGTCTCCTGATGCTACGACCTGTGTATCCAGGCTGTATGTGTACTGACCATGGTTTGCTTTAAGTTTAACAACATTATTATAAGTGCAAAGTTTCATACAAGATTTTTCAATAATTTACCGTTTAAATCTGGAGTCTGTCATCTGTTACAAGTTGATCATAGGCAAGAGTTATTTCTCAGCCTCAAGTAATCAATCTGCAATATGCAACAATACTGACTTAGCCTAGGGTGATTGTAAGTAGTATTGAGAGAATGTTTGTAAACTATTTGGAACAACCTAAGCTTTGTTTGGAGCCTAGGGCTTGCCAATCAGAAGGTTGGCAGTTCGAATCCCCACGACAGGGTGAGCTCCCGTTGCTTGGTCCCTCCTCCTGCAGTTCAAAAGGACATCAAAGTGCAAGTAGATTAATAGTGTTTCCGTGTGCTGCTCTGGTTCTCCAGAAGCGACTTAGTCATGCTGGCCACATGACCCGGAAGCTGTACGCTGGTTCCCTCGGCCAATAAAGCGAGATGAGCGCCGCAACCCCAGAGTCGGCCACGACTGAACCTAATGGTCAGGGGTCCCTTTACCTTTAAGCTTTGTATAAAAGCTGCTGACCATTTAGTTTCCCCTTTTCCCCAGGAAAATGAATTCTGTCTGTAAAACTAGTTTGTTTGTTTTTTATTGTAAGCTGCTGAACCCAATCAGGAACCTGCCTTCTGTAGCGGCACTAGATGTTAAATAGCAGTAGATGACAAAAGAAAAATTGAGAGGTAGTCCACATTGGTACATGCCAATGATATTGCCTTGTTTGGTCTGTTGAAAACAACAACAGCATTTTCATCTTAACTGATATTCTAGTGTGCAGTACAGTTGCAATCCACTAGAGCACAATAATTTTTTTATTATTTTTGATTACATGGATTTCTGACCAGGTTGCCACAAATTAAACATACCCTTTTAAATTTTGTTTTTCCATATATTCTGTTTTCCAGAAGCTTGTGGGAAAGGTGGCTTGTTTCATTATGTGTGCGTCAGTCAAATATAACACCCGGGGTCCAGCCCTCATCCCAAGAATGAAGACTAAACACCGCATTTACTACATTGCTCTCTTCTCCATTGTGCTGTTGGGCCTCATTGCTACAGGCATGTTCCAGTTCTGGCCACACTCCATAGAGTCCTCAAATGATTGGACAGTTGAAAAGCGCAGCATTCATGATGTGCCTGTGGTCAAGATTCCAGCAGACAGTGCCATCCCAGAACGAGGAGATCTCAGCTGCAGGATGCATACATGTTTTGATGTCTACCGCTGTGGCTTCAATCCCAAAAATAAGATCAAAGTCTATATTTACTCTCTAAAGAAGTATGTGGATGAATACAACATGCCTGTGAGTCATACCATTTCCAGGGAATACAATGACCTGTTAACCGCCATCTCCGACAGTGACTTCTACACAGATGACATCAATCGTGCCTGTCTCTTTGTGCCATCAATTGACGTACTCAACCAGAATATGCTCCGTATCAAGGAAACTGCTCAGGCTTTGGCACAGCTCTCCCGGTACTTACACATATCTTACTGTGAATGCTAGAGCTACAACAGTAAAACAAGGGTAAGGGGACTAAGAGGGGGACCCAGATAATCAAGGAGTACATTGGTTTTCAGTCTTAATTATTGACCACCCTGTTCTCCCACTGTTTGGTAATTATTCATTTGGGCTTGAACATCAAGCAGGCCAATTGCAACTCATTTGAGAGCGCTCGGTTCAGAAATCATGCGAATGATTACATTTATGGCTAATCTGTGACCATTGGGCTCCTGCATTTTTTGTAGAGCTGTTTTGTTACAGAGTGGCTTTGGATGTGTGCTTATCTCTGAAGCTCTGGTTTCAAGCATGTGTGGTGGTCTCATTTCCCCATCATTTTTCTTTCTCAGTTGGAATCATGGGACAAATCACCTCTTGTTCAACATGTTGCCTGGAGGACCACCTGACTACAACACAGCACTTGATGTTCCAAGAGACAGGTAGGCAACTCTGGGTGCATCTCAGCTTGAAGCAGAGGGGTTTGTATGGGGTTAACACAGATTGAGTGAGTGAGGGACATCCACATTCCCACATTATCCCTGTACCTTTAATCTATCAGCTTGCTTCTCCGTCTCCTTGTTCTTTAGCACGATACATCTTAGGTTGCGTCCTGTTTACAACTTCCTCCTCTCACTTCTCTCTCAGACCTCAATATGAGAGAGAGGTCATCTTTAACTGTCCTCTGAGAAGCAAAGGAGCAGGCATGGCTTCCTTGTTGTTCTCTAGACTAGTTAGTTGGACTAGAACTAGAAACCTTTCTATCCAAGCTACATGTATCCTACAATAAACAACTTTATTATTTTCTTACCTACAAGCATCTCCGTGTGGGATTGCAGCAAGAAGAGTCTACTCTCTAACCATGATTTGCTAGCTAAGTGCTGCACTTTCTGCATGCTAAGGTGTTTCAACAGGGTAATTAGCCCACTTCTCCCAATAGGCAACTTGTTGCTGTTTCTCTGGGACTTTTTAGAACAAGTCTCTAAACAAAATCCAGAGCTGTTGGGAGTCAAAGTGTGAATTTATTTATATTTCATAGAATCGTAGAATTGTAGAGTTGGAAGGGACCAAGAGGAAAATCTAGTCCAACCCCCTGCAATGCAGGAATCTTTTGCCCAACATGGGGCTCGAACCCATGACCTTGAGAGTCTTATGTGGCGTACATACTTTCCCCTTCTCCATTTTATCCTCATAACATCACTATGAAGTAAATTAGGCTGAGAGACAGTTACTGGCACAAAGTCACCTAGTGGGCATCAGCATTGAGTGGGGATTTGAACACTGATCTCCTGGATCCTTGCCCAGCACTTAAACCACTACTCCACTCTGGCTGCGAGTGGCTGAATGCTTTGGACTGGCCCTGTCAGCACTTACCCTCCTTGTGCCATTTTGTCAGCTTTGCTGCTTCTGAAACTTAATGGAACACAAACATACTGCTTTCTAAAACAAATTACTTCTACATAGCATTTAACTAGTTGGCCTTGATTTACAGTCAGCCAAAGGGGTATCCTCCTATTGAAGACGAGAACTTTTTTAAATCTAAGTTTTACATTTTAGAAACATGGCTTCAGTTTGTCTCTACTGACTGTTAGTATCTACATATCTTTATGTGGAGGTTTTGCCATTGATTTGAGTGGAATTTGGATTGCCCTCAAATTCTTGTGTATATATAGAAAGTCACACTCCAGAAGTTCCTGTACAGAGAGCAGTCAAGGAGTATTTTTGTTTCCTCTGTATGACTTGTCAGAAAAAAAGGATTATTGTGTATGTATTGGTATGGGTAATTTAGTTTTTTAGCATCTTATGTCACAATACTTGAATCCCTCCTGTGTATATATGATGTGAGTGGCCAGTAGAGGACAGTCAAATATTATTATTTTACCATCTAAATGTGTAAGTGTGTGTTCTTTAGAAAATCCAAGGTATAGTCAGCTTGATTAAATATTTGATATCACTAGGTGTAAGTTTCCACATTTTTATTTATAAACTCTTATAGGATTCTGTGCCCTGCCCTCCCCATTATAGGTTAATTAAATAAAACATTTTGTCTAACCCATATGCTTTTTTGCTGCCACTTTTTAACTCCAATCTGTTTCTTTAGCCACCTTTTACTACACACGGCAGCAAGGTACAGTGGTGCCTCACAAAACGAAATTAATCCGTTCCGCGAGTCTCTTCGTCTTGCGGTTTTTTCGTCTTGCGAAGCACGGCTATTAGCGGCTTAGCGGCTATTAACGGCTTAGCGGCTTTAAGAAAAAGGAAACAAACTCGCAAGAACTCGCAAGACGTTTCGTCTTGCGAAGCAAGCCCATAGGGTAATTTGTCTTGCGGAACGACTCAAAAAACGGAAAACTCTTTCGTCTTGCGCGTTTTTCGTCTTGCGAGGCATTCGTCTTGCGAGGTACCACTGTATAGACATGGGCTGAGCAAACTCAGAGACTTGCATCAAATATGTTATTATTTATTAAAACTTTTTTAATATAATAGGGATTTACTTGAAGGCAGGTTATTTAATCAGTTAATAATAATAATAATACCCCAGCCACTCTGGGTGGCTTACAGCATATATTGAAACATAATAAAACATCAAACATAAAAAACTTCCCGATACAGGGCTGTCTTCAGATGTCTTCTAAAAGTTATGTAGTTGTTTATCTCTTTGACATCTGAAGGGAGGGTGTTCCACAGGGAGGGTGCCAGTACCGAGAAGGTCCTATGCCTGTTTCCCTGTAACTTCACGTTTCACAGTGAGGGAACCAGCAAAAGACCCTCAGAGGAAGTGTCCAGGCTGAACGATGGGGGTGGAGACGCTCCTTCAGGTATACTGACTAATAATAATAATAATAATTTTTATTTATACCCCACCCTCCCCAGCCAAGGCCGGGCTCAGAGCGGCTTACAAGCAATAATAAAAACAAGTTTTTAGAAGACATCCGAAGGTAGCCCTGTTTAGGGAAGTTTTTTATGTTTGAAGTTTTATTCTGTTTAATATTCTTGTGAGAGCCACCCAGCGCGGCTGGGGAAACCCAGTCAGATGGGCGGGGTATAAATTGTTGTTGTTGTTGTTATTATTATTATTATTATTATTATTAATTTATATTACTGGGCCAAGGCTGTTTAGGGCACTTTGAATTGTGCTCGGAAATGCACTGGGAGCCAATGAAGAACCTTTAGGACCGGTGTTGATAAAATCCCGGCAGCCACTCGCAGTCACGAGTCTAGCTGCCACATTCTGGATTAGTTGTAGTTTCCAAGTCACCTTCAAAGGTAGCCCCACGTAGAGCGCAATGCAGTAGTCCAAGCGGGAGATAACCAGATCATGCACCACTCTGGTGTGACAATCTGCAGGCAGGCAGGGTCTCAGCCAGCATACTAGATAAGAGCTGGTAGACAGCCACCCTTGACACAGAATTGACCTGCACCTCCATGGACAGCTGTGATTCCAAAATGACTCCCAGGCTGTGTACATGGTCCTTCAGGGCACAATTACCCCATTCAGGACCAAGGAGTCCCCCCCCACCTGTCCGTCCCCTGTCCCCCAAAACAATACTTCTGTCTTGTGAGGACTCAACCTCAATCTGTTAGCCACCATCCATCCTCCAGCCGCCTCCAGACACTCACACAGGACCTTCATTGGTTATGATTTGAAGAAGAGGTGGAAGTGGATATCTTCTGCATGCTGGTGAGCACCCAGCCCAAACTCCCTGATGATCTCTCCCAGTGGCTTCATATAGATTTTGAAAAGCATTGGGGAGAGGACAGAGCTCTGAGGCACCCCACAAATGAGAGCCCAGGGTTCTGAACACTCATTCCCCAACACCACTTTCTGGACACGGTTCAGGAGGAAGGAGCAGAACCACTGCATAACAGTGCCCCCAGCAATACTTGGTTTGGTAATAGTTGATATGCCACTGTTACTTTAGCAGATGTTACTGGTGCTTTAAAAGTGTTGTTGCTAGTTCTTATCCCTGTGCAAAGCTAATAGCCAGTCCCCTTTTCTCCTCTTATGGTTAACTCACAAATACTCCACCTGAAGCCTTCTCTCTGGTCAGGGTTTTCCAAAGCGATACAGGGTGGAACAGGATCTCCCAGCTGTCACTTCTTGGTTTCGGTTTTCTTCTGAAACCTTCCTCCTGGTCAGGCACTTGAACACCAGGACTTGGCCATGAAGACGTCACAGTTCTCTTCTCTGATGTCTTCTGCAGTCAACAGTCAGCTTCTGACCAGAGTTGTAGTAACTTACTGGAGAATTTCCTTCAGAGTCTTCCTCTCCAGACTAGCTTTCCCCCACTTCTGCCTAGAAGTCTCTTCACTTTCTGATGGCTGATTAAAAATCTCCACACAATATTGTGCCTGTCTTTATATTCTCTGTCAGAACCTTTTTGGAATATACCGTATGTACTTGACCAGTAGGTATAGGGTGGTATACAAATAAATAATAATAATAATAATAATAATAATAATAATAATCCCATAGAAATGGGTCAGTGGGTAGACACTCACTAACATTGGAGATCAGCCAGTGATTTTGAACAGAATGTACACTAAGTGACCTATCACAATGTGACCCATTTCAATTCTCCTGTCCCATATAAAAGCCAGATTCTGCTGTTAGCTGTCATAACGGAAAACCTTACAAGAATGTAAACACCTCTTTTGAAACTAACAGCCAGCTGCTTCTTGGCATGCTGCCAACTGAGCCTCCACACATTATCTTTTCCTGGCTTCAGTCACAACTGAACTGCCAGTTTTTTCTCTTCATACCGTTAACCCTTTACCAAACAAGCACTGTTTATAACAGAGCAGTGTTGCTAAATTTAAAATTTCCCTCACCATGTTCCTTTTTCTTCCCACTTGCCTTCAGAAATCGAAGAGTTAATATTTTGGTTCTTGTGCTGCAGAGCGCACACCCAAACTGAAATACTTAACTGGGTGTTGGTTCCCTATGGCTTTGCTTAGGTAGATGCACACCTGCGTTCTCAAGGTTGATGAAGTGGGGTTAACATTGCTTACTGGATCTAAATTAAAACAATCTGGTTACTATTTCTTAATTAGGAAGGAGAAACAAGGAGCAAAAGTGCAGGAGAAGTTACACATGAGCTAAATTCAGTTTTTTCTTGTTTTCTTGTTCAACACCTCTGAATTCATGTGAAATTGGGAATGTGAGGCTTGAAGGATAACAGCAGCATTCTGCAGTGCTGTGCTGCATGTCACTTAAAATAAATGGAAAAGAATGCAAAATAATCACTTTGGTTTTAGGACCTAAAACTCATTCAACACTTCCCTCATCTAGGTCTCTTTCTGTAAACACACATGTAGCCTGGGCTGGTATGTTTGAGTTTGCTTCCATTTTTTTATGGGAGGTTTGAAATATTATATTTTTTCAGCACCTTTTGGATGATTTCCAACATTAGTTAGAATACACTTGTTGAAATCAATGGACATTGAACTCTGGAACTCTGAAAGCAGTTCACAGCATTTATATAGCATTAATTGTTCCTCCTTTCTGGAGTTCAGCAACAGCTGTTTCTGGTTTTTTTAATACTCAAAATAAGTCATGGAAAATAACTTATGTATGATTGTCTATACAGTGGTGCCTCGCAAGACGAAATTAATCCGTTCCGCGAGTATCTTCGTCTAGCGGTTTTTTCGTCTTGCGAAGCAACCCTATTAGCGGCTTAGCGGATTAGCGCTATTAGCGGTTTAGCGGCTATTAAAGGCTTAGCGGCTTAGCTGCTAAAAGGCTATTAAAGGCTTAGCGGCTTAGAAAAAGGGGGGGGAGCGGAAAAAAAATCTCAAGACTCGCAAGACATTTTCGTCTTGCGAAGCAAGCCCATAGGGAAATTCGTCCTGCGAAGCGCATTGAAAACGGAAAACCCTTTCGTCTAGCGGGTTTTCCGTCTTGCGAGGCATTCGTCTTGCGGGGCACCACTGTATAAAGCAAATATTTGTTGTGTCCCCCCCCCCCGAGTATGAGTTTTGTTGGTTGAGTAGAACGTGTTTAGATCATCAAGGAGTTCATGTGGGCTTGACGGGGTGGGGTCATAGGAAAGATGAGAAGGCACCAAATTTCCATGCTCATGAATGCTGGAACTTCTGCTTTTCACTAGAGGTTGCATTAAATGACTCTGCATGTGGAAGGCAACTCACACAACAGAACTTGCTCTCCCTCCTGCCTGCAGCCCCTGTACCCACCCAAAGCCTCTCTATGGGGTTGAGGAGGGGGCTACAGAACATTGTCAGCTGTGCCATATGGGGCTGAAGTGAGTGGGGGATCATCTCTTGCAGTGGGTGAAGGAACCTTCTGCTCATGTGACCACTGGAATCCTCTCATTGTCTTCTCAGCCATGAGGGATAGTGTTTTATTTTAAAGTACTGTATTTACAGAGGCTTGCACATCACATTTCATGCAAAATTCTGTGTTGGATCCTGATGGTGAGCTACTCTGGGCTCAAAGTATTTCATATTCTTAGGTACCATTAGTTGCAGCAGCTTGAATGATCGGTTGAAGAAATTCGCTCACAGTTAACTCAGTAGTAAATGTATGTAGCAAGCAGCTGCACAGCCCAACGGTGGTCCTTGCACAGTGCCTATAATGGGCATGTATCTAGTTCACTGAGCGAAGTTTAAGATCTAAGTGAAGTAGATGCTAGTTGGAAGTAGTATGTCTGGCCCTGTTCATTTTAGTGTCTGGAAATAATAAATTCTACTGCTGTTCAGGGGGTTTTTTTTGGCATGTACTTGAAATGATGGGTTATGTTCATCTAATCTCCAGGACCTGAAGTGATTAAAAAATAAAATAAAATAGTATGCTAATTTTCCTGCAATGTGAAAATTGCCTTCCCCATAGGGAAGTGCTATAGCTCAGTGATGGAATATATGCTTTGCATACACTAGGTCCCAGGTTCAGTCTCCAGGTAGGGTTGGGAAAGACCCTTGTTTGAAAGGTAACTTGAAATTAAATTCACTGTTTAATGCAAGCCGTACTTTGGGTGGAATCTTGAAGATTCTTCCTTTGCAGTTCTACTGAGGTTGGACTGGGTGTGTGTTCTTGATTGTTCCTTTGAAGTTTGAATAACCTGGCATCATAGGACATAAAGAGGTTTACAGGAGGAGACACCCACCTGTAAAAATGGACCTGCTCATGGGATCCGATTCCCCACCCCTGAAATAAAGGTCTCTTTACTCAAGGAAGTTTCTTAAAGGACTGTAATCTGAGTTGTTTTAGGTGTGAGGTGCCAAAACTACATAAATAAAGAAATAAAAGTTCTCACTTCTCAAAAGCTGTACAGAGACAAAACAGTATTTGGGAGATAATTTTATTTCTGATGTATTATCTGCAATTTTAAGAGTAATACAGCAAAGTCCTTCCCCCTAGAATTTGATGCTTAGGCACGCAGTCGACTGTAATGAGAGGGGAAATGTTGTTTGGGTTTTCCCCTGTTGTAAAACAGTGCATGACCCAGATTAATACCACAGTGCCAGTAACATGTTCCAAGAGATGCAGTCTTCTTTCAATCTAGATGTGTATACTAGATTTAGGGTATTAAAGATGAGCTTTGCATCACATCAGGTCATCGGCTACTTTCTGGGAATGGCAGGCTCAGAGCACCTGTCATCTGGAGGCTCTCTTCACTTAAGATTTATCAATGTATTTCAAAAATGTATACCACCTTTCCATTTAAAAACCATTTAGAGCACCTTAAAGGCGGATAGAATAGTGTTTCCTAGCCAGGATGACTGTGTTCTACTACAGCCGTGGGATTTTCTGGGAATTACAAGTGGAGAAAGTGCTGTTGAACTCAGGGTCTGCTTGCAGGCTTCTCTTAGGCATCTGATCAGCGACTGTGAGAACAGGATGCTGGAATAAATGGGACAGTGGTCTGATCCAGCAAATCAAGCTGTGCTTATGTTCTTATTTGAACCTAGAATGCCTATGTGGGATCTTCAGATATCTGAACTCATTACATATATTGTTTTTGAATCAAAATGTTTCTAAAACTACAGAGAGTGCTTGCCATTTTCCTCCACTCCACCTCTCTGATTTTCTGTCTTTTGAATAGGTGTTGGGTTGTTGCGGAGGGAGGGGGGAATGAAGCTGTAACTTAACTTTTTCCTTTTCTCCTCAGAGCTCTGTTGGCAGGAGGAGGTTTTTCTACGTGGACCTACCGACAAGGCTATGATGTCAGCATTCCTGTTTATAGTCCACTGTCCGCAGAGGTGGAACTGCCAAATAAAGGGCTGGGGTAAGCTGAAGATGAGTGGGAGAATGCAGCATATTTTGTCTTCTTGCTAACAATGTCATATAATGCCAGCTGCATCTGAGCTGCTAAGAAATTCAGTCCAGAAAACCAAAAAGCATGCAGTATTTGGGATGGGGGGAAGCTGGTTGTATAACTGCTCTTGTAATTGTTGAGAGCTATGAAACTGAAATATGGCTGCGTATTATCTGTCAACAGATTGATTATCTCATAAGTGCTATAGAAAGCCCAAGTTCTAATTACACTTATCAAGGTTTCCTGAGCAATAATGGATGCTTTCCCTGGGAACCTCTGACATTTGCTTTAACTAGCAAAAGTTAACACCTAAAAGTTGGGGAGGAAGGGAAATTTATCAAAGTGAAAGTGGTTTCTGCTGCTCCAGGCTTGGCCACCATCACAGGCTAAAACACGTGACTTGCTTTCGGGATCATCTGTTTCTGAAAAGGGTTTGTATCTCTTGTTATATGTCCCTGGATTCTGCAGCCTTTCCCGCCCTAGTAGTATTTGGCAATTTCAAACCTCCAAAATAAGAGTGCCTAATTTTCACTGTCTTGCTTTCCTTGCTGAATCCATTAGAGTAGAACTGCAGTGAAGAGTGGACAGAAACCTTGGAGCAGGAAACCATGCATTTGGTCAGGAACCAGAGCAAATGGGAACTGAAAATCACATTATAATTTAGTGGGGTTTTGGGCTTCCATGGTACTCATACAATAATGTTTACTCCTTTCAGCTTTAGTTAAGTGACTTACATAAACACTCTTTCTCAACCCATCTTCAGTGATATTTTGCTGAAGTAAGATAGACATTGAGAGTACTGAATCATAGGCATTGTTTCTCTCTCACAAACATATTTTGACAAACGTGACAGTGTCACTTCTGGAGAAAAGTCAGTTACAAAGGGAGGAATTCAACATTGTGCTTTTGTGATTGTTTCTTCAGCACAAACATTTCCACTTTTCAGACAGAATGATCTTTCTTTCCCCTGCAGACTGTTCTGGAGGTGGTCCCTACCCTCCAGAGCAGATTTGGGGGAGGCGTGGGGGGAGAGGGAAACAAGAGAAAGCCTCATTAGTTGAACTGTCCCAGGTTAACTGAATCTGGGCCAATAATTTCAGTAAATGGAAAATGGCACTTATTCTTGCAGTCTTGTCTACAGGACACTAATTTGAATATTAAAAAATAGAAAACAGCTAATGTACTTTTCAAGAAAGCAAAACAGTGCACAGTAAATCATTGTGCATATCTTTGCCATATCTGTTGGGTAACCTCTCCCCAGAAAAAGTATGAGGAGACTCCCCAAGTATGTAGAAAAATATTTGTGTATTTGTAAATTAAGAGAAATGCCACCACCAGCCCTGCTAAAAACAGACAAGTGCTGAAAATTCTTAGTGGCTTCCAGAACTCATAAATAATTGAAGTCAGGTGAACATTTAATTACTGCAGTTATATCCTACCTTTTACCCAGGCAGCTCAAGGTGCCATACAGATTCCTACCCTTCCCATTTTAACCCTGCAGCAACTCTTTGAGGCAGGTTAGGCTAAGCAACTATGGCTCATCCAAGGTCATAGTGGGTTCAAAGCCCTGAGAGTGGAGATTTGGACCCTAGTCTCCCAGGTCATAGTCTGATACTCCAACCACTTTAGAAGCAGTTCAACAATTTTAAAAGATACGTTATAGGATTTTTTTTAGTGTTCCTGAAAATTTCGAATTCTTCCACAGGGGGAAAAATTCAAAACAGCTCCCTCCTTCCCTCCAACCCTCCTTTCCCTCCTTCCCCACCTCTGTTCTGAACTTTCACATATCTAGGTTCAGTGCAACTTACAGTTTTCTTTAATAAGGACTGAAGGCTGTGTTGTGAATCAAAAGAAATATATTTAAAGTTCTGTTCTTCTCACAATTGTGCATGTTAGGTGTTCACCATTGTATGGAAATTGATTTCCCTTTTTATTCATAGTTGGGCTTGAATGGCAAATTTTTTAAAATAGCGACTTCAGTCATGTGCCACTTAGCTAAGATCATCGGCATTTATTGTATTTGCCTGAAGCTGTGCTGATGCATATTTTAACTGTTAATTTGTTTTGGAAATCTGAGATGAGAGTTCAGTTTCATTTTATTACACATCTGCGGCTTTGCTTATAAAGCCTGGAGTGTCTGCAGTAAGCATGTGGGGAAGACTTCAGATAACAGGTTTTAAAAAACACTAATCTCTACATATATCTTGCATCTCAGAGCATCAAGTAGGAATATTCATCTTCATATGTGCTACAAAGTTGTAAATGTAAGAGGCAGCTATTAAAAGAAGGGAAAGATATGGGAAATAGTTGAGGCATTGGTTAATTTAAGGTCTTACCATAGACCAATGAGGTTCAAAGGTGGGATTATATACCTGGTAGCTACCTCTCTCACAACAACCTGCTGGTTTTTGAGGTTTGTAAAGCAGGTGCTCAGCAGACTGTATGTTGAACAAATGGCTCCAGATTACTCAAGTGAACCAAGACAGATGCAGTGAGGAAAGCGACCGCTCTTCCTGACCCAAAATATGGCAAGGAGCTAAACTCTGATTGTTAGAGACACATCTTGAGTTCCGGTAACACAGTTGTGTGATTTAAGCTGTAGAATACTGCTTGTATTACTTTTAAAGTTATGAACACTTCATGAAGAGTTTTTTTTTTTATAATTAATATTTATTAAGTTTTCAAAGAATAACAACAAAAATTTCCAAAAAAATTTGAAAATACAAAAAACAAAAATGATAAAGAAATAAAAAAGAAAACACCCAACCATAAAGAAAAAAAGAAAAAAAGAAAAACAAAAGTATAAATTCATTTACGATCTCTGTTAACTTCCTTTCTAGACTTCCTCCTCCTCCCCTCTCTTGTTTCTTAATTTTTAATTTTTACAGCAAATCCTTTCTGTTTTTCATAACATTCTATCATTACATTTCCTTATTCTATTTTCCCTCTTGTCATATAAAAACTTTAAAACTCAAAGCTTATATTCAGTATTTACCAAATTCTTACATCATTACCTTTTTGCAAATCATTTACCAATCATTACTTAAGCCATATAATTTCATTCAACATCTTTCAAACATTTATGAACGTTCCCAATATTGAAAAATAGAAAAATAAAATAAAATAATAAGTCAGACACAATCCAGTCAACTTCCAGCGCCCCTCCCCTGGACCCGGGATTGTCAGTCCTTTTAACCTCAATAGTCCGGCTCCTTAACCTGGTTGTCTCGTGTCCGAGGCCCTCAAATCTCTTTCTTGCCCCTTTCGCAGCTCTTCTTGATGTTTCCCTTTCAGTCGTGGGTACTCCAGCAGAAAGATACTTTTGACCCTTTGCAGCAAGTCCATCTCATGCCCATTGTCCAAGCCAGACAGCAGATAATACCACTTCAAGTTTCCTTGAAACTTGGAGGCTCCGACTACTCCAATCCTCTGATGGCCCATCACCAGACTCGGAAAGTCCAGATAACCATATAAAGGGGTCAATCCATCCCCCATTTCCAAATCTAACCACATTTCATCTTTCCGAATCTGATTTATCCCAAGTTCATTTATCAAGTTCAAAGGCTGATCCTGCCGGTCCAAAGGTCCCTCCATCTCTGAAGCCTCCATCACTACAGCAGGTTCATATACTTGTAGATATTTTAACTGAGTTCCATTTACTTGCTGCTGTGCTCTGGTAACTTCCGTCATCAAGGTCGTCTCCTGACGCATCTGGTCCAGCTGGGCACTTAGTTTTGAAAAACCTTCCAGGAACATTTGTTCAAGCCTTTGTACAAGCATTATCCTTCAAGGTCAAAGAAAATTCTTTCCCACGATTATAGTCCTTCACTTTTAAGCTCTCTGCGTTGCAGTTTCACTAAATCCCACTAGAGGAAAACCTTTTTTTCCTTTTTTTTTTTTATAAAGGAGAAAAACATCAGCAACAGTCTTTCTTTTCCAGATACACTTTATCCAAAGTTCCCCCTTCCAAAATTCAAGAGGCAACAGTAGAGTCACAATGTTACCTTTCTTTTAACTATCTGTCGAGCTGGACAAGCTTCAAAACGTCAGTTCTGACAGCCCGCTCCTGGTTCAGGGCGGTGGAAAATTACTTTGTTTTAAACTCACTTCCGCAGGGTTAAAAGTCCAAAACAACCCCCTTCTTCTCCTGCAGTCAAAGGGGGGTTCAGAAATCTTAGATGTTGAATTCTAGTTCTCTCAGAATTTAATTTTCAAGCTTTAGTATATTTTGTCTTTGCTTTCTTCACGTAACAAAAGAACGGAAGGCTGACTTCCTGTTTAGACCTTCCGTTCCAAGTCCCAATTAAATTCAATTTCAAGTCCAATTTATTTATTTATTCACCAGTCTTAAAAGTAATTCAGCTCTTCCAAGATCAGGTACTCACGGATAGATGTTTTAGATGCCAAATTGTCCCAGGAAAAGGCAGCGCTCTCCGGAAACGGCAGTGCGGCTTTGCTGCACGAAAGAAGCAGTCGACTCACAGCACCACGCACCTCCCACTCCGGGCCCGTTACCGGGCTCCTGGCCTAGGGAGAGAGCGCTCACGGTGCCCGCTGAGTCCCACGTCCACAGGCTTCATCCGCCTGTGGGTTTTAAGGGTCCCCGCTGCGCCGTAGCGGTAGGACCCAAGCTTCCGTGCAGCGGGTTCCCTTCAACTTGAAGGGAATTCCGCCATTTTCCGGAGGCGCCACCCCGGAAGTCCATGAACACTTCATGAAGAGTTGCATAGGTTTCTTACAAATTGCTACCCAGTCAGTAACACACTTGTAACTTGGATTTTCTAATGTGTGTTCGTTGTTTCCAGAAGAAATCCATTTGATTATAACCAAGTTCTTACTTTTTAAAAAAAAAAGAAGAAGGAATGCCTGCATTGCATCATGGAGGATATAGGTCTTTAAGTTTTATGGAGAACTTGCTGTGTTAATAAGCAGAATTGGTATGGCAGCACTTATCAAGAGGAAATGTCACTTTTGTTGTGCACTTGCCACATAAGTAGCACTTAAAACAAGCTGGCATTTAGCCAAATTAAGAAACGATGCAAGAGTTTAATTCAGTAGGAAATCCTTATCAGTATGATGCCAAGCCCCCTAAAATGCTGTGCTATTCAATCTGCTTTTAAAGACTATTAGCAGTATTTACTGGGAGCGGAGTCCCACTTATTTCAGTAGTGCTTCCTTCCAAATAAGAATGTTTAATCTTGCTACACTACATTGCAGTTCTCTGCCTGCTTGTTCAAGTAAGGCCTGCTACCTTCAGTGAAACTGTCATGAGTGAACATGCAAGTGAAACGGCTGTAAACTTGCAATCTTGTCATACTTGTTCATGGTAGGACTCCTTGAGTATACTGCACTTATAGTTCACAACTATGTACCATATTTTTCGCCATATAGGACACACTTTTTCCCCTCCAAAAATGAAGGGGAAATGTGTGTGCGTCCTATGGGGCGAATGCAGGCTTTCACTGAAGCCTGGAGAGCGAGAGGGGTTGGTGCGCACCAACCCCTCTCGCTCTCCAGGCTTCAGGAAGCTATCCGCAAGCCTTGGGAGCCCGCGGGAGTTCCCGCTGGGCTCCCACGGCTTGCGGAGAGCAGCCTGTTCCGGGGGCTGGGGAAGCTCGGGCTTCCCCTGCCCCAGCCCCGCGCCTGGGTGGGGAATAATTTTGTTTCTTTATTCCCCCCCCCCCAAAAAAAACTAGCTGCACCCTATGGGCCGGTGCGCCCTATGGGGCGAAAAATACAGTATTTTATTTATGTGCTACTATCTACTGCTAGTTGGGTCTTACAGCTTGTATATGAATCCTTCCAGAATTCAACTTTATTGTGCCAGTATAGGATTATTTCCAACTCACTTCTTTCTAAAGAAAAGTGAAATGCTATGGCTATAAAGCTAACAAGTCTGAGTCCCGCAGCAGCATAAAAGGAAACACATACCAGATTATCTAGTGAGAATCCTGCAGGATTTGTCAGGCTCTCATTTTTTGGGGTCTTCAGTCCCCGTAGGTACTTCCTCCTTTCCTCTCAGATGGCTCTTCATCCTGAATACCGTTCTGACTTGGAGGCTCTTCAAGCTGAGAATGCAGAATCTGTGCTGATCCTGGACAAATGTACCAACCTCTCAGAGGGAATCCCTTTTACTCGTAAGCGCTGCCACAAGAATCAGGTCTTTGATTATCCCCAGGTGCTTCAGGTAAGTCTGCCCTCTATCGCTTTTGTATTTGATTACAGGAAATTATGGATTGTGACATATGCAATTCTATGCAATTTTTATTCTGAAGAATAAGATGTATTATACGGTCTGATTACACTTTGGATATTGTTTGTTGCTGTCAGTTCTAAGGTGTTCTGGTGTGTGATGCTATGTTCTACTTTTTTAGTTTAAAGGAGGGAGAGGATGATATACAGCTAAGTCATACTCAAGAGTAGACCCATTGAAAGCAATGGAATTATTGGTGATATTAAACTAAGTTCGAATATGTAAAGTCTATTGCTTTCTTGAATATGAGTTGGTTGGATATCCCCTTTAAGTTCATTGCTTTCAGTGGATCTGCGCTTTCTTTTCTTTTCTTAAATTTTTTTGGACTTACTCCAGTCTCCAAATTCATTCTTGTACCGAGCATCCCTATAGGATTTCTTGTCCTCATACTTATTCGAGAGAGAGAGAGAAATTGTAGGTGGATGTGGCTTACAAATATAAATGGCCATGGACGTATTTGAAGAACATATTGCCGTAGTTAAATAACTGTACTTCCCTGAAGTCATGACAAATGAAGTTGTTAAACTAGATTTCATGCCTGTACTGCTGCACCCAGGAAGTGGCAGTTCTGTTATGTCTACAGCTCCAAAGTCATATTTCGTCAGGCAAGGAAGATAACATCTGGCCTGCACGTCTCTTTAATGGCTGCAACATATACAGCATAAAGGTGCTTTGGTGTAGAAATATGGCAAGGAAGGTTTTGCTCCTAACTATAGCAAACTATCTCATTCTGTATGCAAGTTAAGAGATTAAAAAATGCACCGTTATGCAAATGTTTAGTTAGTTGCAAAAGAAAGATGCTTACAGTTCTCTGTTGAGGACTGGAAGGAAGGGCTTCCCTGAATTCAGATTTTCTGTCTGAAGATCAAACCATTTCACTTCCCCTTCTTTAAAGGCAGACAGAATCATCCTAGAATTAAAACTTTGAGGAGAGCTGTCCTGCAGAGATAGTTAAAATAGCTTTCCCTCACAGAACCCTGCATCTCCATTTGGAATGTCTGGCTGATAATGGTGATAATGTGAGGATATGTATTTATAGTAGGTTTTGTCTAGACAGGAAAAAAAAGGCTAGTTGGGTAAGAGGAGCGTATTCATCCACATCATAGTATTTCTTTTCCCTCTTAAACCCAATTTTATTCCCTTACTCCTAGCAAAACTACAGGGGTTTCTTAACAAGTGATATTTGACTTTTTTGTTCCTTGTAAATATATGGTAATATAATAGTATATTAATAGTAACTTATTAATATATGATAAAATAATCTGGCATTATGATTCTGGAGACCATGCATAACAACATGAGAAGAGCCTGCTGGATCAGGCCAGTGGCCCATCTAGTCCAGCATCCTGTTCTCGCAGTAGCCAATTAGACGCTTGTGGGAAATCCATAGGCAGAACCTGAGCACAAGAGCACTCTCTCCACCCACAGTTTCCAACAGCTGCTTCAGAAGCATCACTGCCTCTGACCAAGGAGACAGAGCATAGCCATCATAGCTAGCAGCCATTGAGAGCCTTATCCTCCAATGAATATATTGTGTGGGGGCACATTTTCCACACAAAACAGCACTGTTTTCAGACACGTACTTAACGGTGTAAAAACTTTTGGATTGGGGGGAGGGTCATCAACCGTAATACTGTGAAGTAGATACTTGAAGTGGTTTTATATCTTACGGGTTTTTAAATGCATGATTTTATAAGCTGCTTTATGAAAAGTATTCTTGAGAATTGGATTATAAATCTCTCAGTCAAATTAAACAAAGTATACTGTGAATGCCAGTACACTTCACAAACCATATTAACCTTCTGGGCAAAATTCAGTTCCTATCACAGGTCCCGGATATAAATTTGACTGCTACAGAATACACACAATTACAGCGTTTTTATTTAAAAATAATTTTATTTCACACACACCCATAAAGATTACATTTTTTAAAAAGAAAGATCTATCACTTTTTATCTTATTGGCTTGCTTATAGCACTGGGATCCTTGTGGTGTAGTTATGTTTCCTAAGAATTCTGCTGAAACTAGAAAATGTGTTTCACATGTTATCAGCAGTTGAAACCCAGAGCAAACTTTGGAATGGTGGTCTAGAATTTGCAGCACTCAAGGTTTTTGGTGCTGAGCCTGCTTCCTGCTCTCTTATAGTACCTGTGTTTTGCACCAACAGGAGCAGAGAATGCCCAAATTTCCTTTCTTTCTTAAAATTGCATGAGTGGACTCCTGCTCACAGTACATTGGAACCCGCTTCTTACTATCATTTGTTTTTTGTGAGTTTCAAATCCAGCCTACAAGGCAGCAAAGAATTAATGTATTCGTTATATGGTATGGTAATAATGGGTATTGACATGACAAATATTTAACAGGGGAGATAGCAGAATTAAAAATGGATTTTCCTCTACCATGCCACATGAGCAGAAAAGCCAGTGTGATGTCTTCAGATGATGCTGGACTGCATTCCCCATCATCCCTGGCTATGCTGGTGAGAGCTGTAATCCAATAACATCTGGAAGATGCCATGTTAGCTACCCCTTCAAGGGGTAAGGAAGCATCTTATTTCTTATCATGTCTATTTTTGTTTCCATTTGCTACCAGGAAGCTACATTCTGTGTGGTTCTGCGGGGAGCCCGCTTAGGACAAGCTGTGCTGAGCGATGTACTTCAGGCTGGCTGCATTCCTGTTGTCATAGCTGATTCCTATATTCTGCCTTTCTCCGAAGTTCTGGACTGGAAGAGGTATTTTCACTATAGTCATGTGTGCTCCATTGCTGCAACTTGTTTGGATCTGGAATGGGTTTACAAAATCAACGCTGAACACTCAGTTGGTAGAGCATGAGACTCTTAATCTCAGATCCCTGCATTGCATGGAATTGGACCAGATGATCTTCGTGGTCTCTTCCAACTCTACAGTTCTGAAACATTGAAATAAATATACTTATAGACTGAACCCCATTAATGTTTATCCAGGGCATCCATATCGTATTACATTTATATGGTGTGTGTTGAAGGGAGGGGTAGTTCCTTTAGATTTATTTTCAAATACTCCTCCATGTGTTTATCTATTTGACTCTGTGTGAGGGGAATCCAGTTTTGGCTAATTAACTACCTACAATTCTCACTGTTTCCCTTTTCGCTCTTCCGCATTTAGAGCTTCTGTGGTGATACCGGAAGAAAAGATATCTGAGATGTACAACATTCTGCAAAGCATACCTCAACGACAGATTGAGGAGATGCAGAGTCAGGTAGAGTAAATTTGAGTATAGGCCATGAATATTTTCCTGGGAGCCAAACCTGCCTGGCTGTTGTGGAGGTTGAGGCAAATGTAATAATGATTTGCATGTTCCCATATTTTACCATTTAATTAAAGGTGCTGAATATTGCATGTTGCTGAATTGTGCAAAGTACATACAATGAAGTTACTCAGATGTAATTTTATGTATTGTTCTGGATCAACACTGCATATCTGTTAAAATTAAATTACCACCCATATCTTGCCACCTATGTGGCTGATTTGACCTGCTGAATGATTCGCTCCCAAGTAACTTTAGGATGAGGAGGATTTCAAAGTTCTTTGACAAACTGGTTTGGATTTGAAGCTTTGTTCATTACATTTTATTTACCTCTAGGGCTCTAAATGATAACTTGAACTCATTGGGGCCTCCAAATGTGTTGCTTAACACACAAAATGGAAGAAAATGGCACCCTCTTGTGACTAACACATTGAACTAAATTAATGTATGAGTAACTTGGTGTTAGCATGCCATATTTGCAAAATCTAGCAAAAGTATTGTCAGGGAACTGACATCGGAGCTAGAGGTGGAGGGAAGGCTCTCAAATGATGCTGGAGAAGGGCCCAGCAGGGAGAGAGGCAGCTCCGCAGATGGGGAAGCAAATCAGCGCAACACCAGGGATAAAGGGGGGCTGATGGGGGAATCGGCGAGAGGGCTCCAGGACTCTTCACTGAACACCAGCGGGGAGAGCACGGGTCCTCCGCTACCCACGCCCTCCCTGCGCAGAAGACTTCCGCGCAGACAGAGTAGGAGGAGACTGGGTGTCAAACAACTTTTATGTTGGAAGAGATTTAAGAAACGCCCACTGATGGATTCTGCTAGCGACTGAGGCAGCCACGAAGTGAAGGGCTGCCCAGACTGAAAGGTTTAGCAAGGCAACAAAGCCAGGAGAGGCGGCAACTTACGCACGAGCAACCCATACTCATTACAGGTGTGTGTGTGTGTGTGTGTGTGTGTGTGTGTGTGTGTTTATTTATTTATTTATTTATTTTGCATTCCTCCCTTCATCTGTAGCTCTCAGGGTGATTCACAAGATAAAAATACATAACGAACAAAGAACAACTCCTCCCCATCCCACAAACACATTTAAAAGGACCACCTGAATGAAGTTAGTGGGTTAGTAGTGGTCTGTGGACTGCAATTGGGAATTCCTGTGCTACAACATTTCATATTAAATACAACACAACATTTCTCTGCAACAGAAACACATTTTATTAAACTGTGACCTGCATATACACTATGATTCCATGCATGTACAAATTAAATTATCCTGAGACCTCTAGCTTTGAGATTTTGTTTTCAAAAAATGTTTTTCCTTAAGGACATGAACATCTGGGCAATGCCTGGTGAAATTTCATCATTCCCAGAGATCAAGGAGTGGGGATTCAGTACTTTTTATGCTTCTTTTCCCTAGTCTGACTAGAGGAAGCAGAATAAATTATGGAAAATAAGCAAATATATGCAGATTGCCTACTTTGTATAACATTGATAAGTTGCATGATTTATATAGATCATGGAAAGTTGCTTTCTTTAGGGCGGAATTTTAGTTTTGCTCCATTAATTTTCTTGTGTGCAGATTATAGGCAAATCTATTCATAAACCTCCAGTTTGCTTTCCCCCCAATATAATTACTCAAATAGGTCCATCACATACCTAGTATAACACAAACCATATATACATTTAAGAAGGTAGTAGACATCTTATCAGTGCTGTACATTACAGAATGGAAGCAGCAATGAGTTAGTGATTTTCCAATTGTATAGTCCAGATTATTGACTAAATGAGACACACAACACTCTTAAGTATATTATAGGTATTTGCACACATGTTCATGTAAAAAGCTACTTCAGTTTTGATTAAAATAGATAATCTACACTGAACTTTAGAAGTAAGATGAGGAAACCTTGCTCTAGGACAGAGTTGTCTAGATTATGAACGAAAGGCTATCAGTATAAACTATTACTGAGAATTGACACTTCAAAAAATTTACTTTAAAAAGGGGGCACCTAATACCAGTCTGAAAATATGCATGTTCTGTTTTCTGAGTACACATCAGTTAAATTCCCAACACTTTCTTCACAATTATGAAGACTGGACATGGCTTTTATTTTTTTTATTTTTTAATAAGGAGTCAATCTCTTGATCCACTCTGCTGTGAGCCTCTGATAAAAAGTGTGCCTGGGGAATGTAATCAGGAGCACAGGGATAGTATTGAGATACATTAAATTAAGCATATCAGAAAACTTTCATAATTAATATGAAAAGCATATTTGTGAAATACTAGAAATCTTCCTATCCAAGTCACTTGATATGAGGCAGTCCTGGAAACTCCAATATGCACTTGGATTATGTATGACGTAATTGGATTACTTGGGGCTTTTTGGGGGGGTGGTGGTGGTTCTACAGAGAGTTTTCTTGTGCTCAGCCACTTTACCAATATGACAAATGGCCAGAAGAGGTCTCTGTTCCCTTGATTCATACTGATTTTCTTAGCTTCTCACTAGGCATTCTATGTGGGCATAGAGACTCAAGTAGCCAGTTCGGTTAGGCTGGAAAACACTGCCTTTTGATTTGCTACTGGGGGTCATGAAGAATGTGGCTTTGCTGTAAGAAAGTTCATAGATGTGACCTGATAACGCTAGCTATTCAGATTAGCATTATTGACTCTGTAAATGTGTGAGTGCTTGTTTCAGCAAACTACAGTAGTAATACAAAGAGCTGCAAATACATCTCTGTACATTTGTAACTGTGTTTATAGGTACCGTAACCCCTCTTTCCTTTTCGTCTACGTAGGATGCAACATCTGGCAAAGATGTAGGGATGAAATTAGAGCCACATCTGTCAGTGTTCTGGAATCGCAGAATTGTAGAGTTGGAAGAGCTCCAATAGCTCCTCTCATCAACCCCCTCCCCCAACTCCAACTTAGACTGCCCCAGACTTTAGAACCATTGACATAGATCTGTCTGGCTGTCTTGTGGATCCTCCAAGCAATGAGGCACCACACCTCCCATATGTAATTTAGTTTCAAACTGCTTTTTTGTTAGGAGGTTTAGGCTAAATCTACTTCATTTAAAAATAATTCCTTTTTGACCTCAAAGGGTAAACTCACTACAAGCGATTGGTTCTGACCTGTATTAATGGAGGAGCAGAATGAATGGGAGGGGGGAAGCACAGAGAGTTGGAATAGCATAGAGCGAGGGAGATAGATGGGATGACACAGAGCTGTGCAGTCCTGCAGTGAGGCAGACACCACTGGTTTTGGCTCTGGCCCTGCCCATTGCTGGCATGCAGACTCCGACAGATTACCTCCCAGGGAATGCAGCCCTGCTTTAGAAGTATATAGAGAAGTTACGTGGGTTCTGTAGTGTTAATTTCTGTGGAGTGTCTGGACTGCTAATAACTTCAGCTTACACATTTAAGTGAAGGTATGAATAAAATAAAACCCTGAATGATTAATGCCACCTTAGCTTAATTGCTCTGTCAAAATGAAGCCCCTGTTGTGGTGGTAAAAAAGTTTTCACTATATTTTTTGTAGATTGCCAGTACCTAGGGCTTATAATTTCACTCTGATTTGAGTGTAACTTAATGAAAACTTCCTTTAAAAACATTAAGTGCAGTGGGTAGGGAGAAACATTGCAACATCACAAAACAGTTGATTCCTTAATTGTAAGGGAATATGTATGGAATGTGAGAGTACAGGTTTTTTTATATGTCTTCAAGATCAGTTCTGACCCCAAATGCATTTCAAATACAAATTTGAAGGAGGTAGCATTAGAGTTGTAGTCTGTTGATCAGAATGTGAGGGTTTTTTTTTCTAGCCCTAAGATTAACATTTGTGTACAGCATTTTTAAAGGCAGTAGAATATATTTCTCAGCATACCTTTCAATGGCTTTTCCTGAACTCTGCTGTTAGTTCTGCATATCATGCACTGAATGCCCACATTTTGCTTGGCAGCCTTACTGATTAGTAGATTTTTATGTTGCAGCTCCTATAGCATCTCTCCAGTGACAGACAGCTGGTTGTGTCACATTTGTAGAAAATGCCCATTCAGAAACTGGTCTGTACCATAGATACTGACTAGCAAAATAGTCCAGGGATGCACATTCTTAGTTTGTGTGAAGAAGCCCACCACCTGCTTAGCAGCTGTTCACTTTTTCTCTTTCCCCCCTTTCTTTTTTTGCCATGGAGCTATTTCACAATAAAGTGATGGGTTAAAGATGGCCCTTGACACAAAGGTTAAAAACATACTTGTTTTCTCTCTAATGTGAAGGGAGTGGGGTGGGGCGGATGTGAGAAGAGAGTGCTGGGACTTGCCAGCAGGTTTTTTTTTTCTGTAGTTTTTCAATCTCTGCCCTTCCATTTAATGTTTTCCTTCTTAAAAGAGACATACTTCTGTGATACTCTGCAAGCACCCATGATTAAACAAAAAGAAAAAGAAAAAAGGGGAAACAGAGCTTCAAGGTCTTGCTGATTTAAAACTGCTAAGGGAATTCCAAGTTTGAGGGTGTTTGAAAGCTACTGCATCAGCTTGTGGCAGGTAGGAGCCAATATCATAGATGCACAATGGTCTGTGTTGTCCAGGGAAGAGAAAGGGAAGGGGGTGGGGGTGCAGGGATGTGTTTTCTACACTTTGAGGGCCGTTCCCTTACCATCATGCTGTCCCATTTTGTGATTTGGTCTTCTGTAATTTGGTTTGTATCCCCCCTACTTCACTTCTTCTAAGATTATTATATAGTGCTTTTAAAAGCCAGGTGTAGCTTGGGGAGTGATATATAAAAATACATTTGCTTACGCAGCACAGTTGTTCCATTGTGACAGTCATTTGTGTGCAGGGCCGTGATACAATTGCTGCACAAGGATGTGAGAGAAGACGCCCACATGCTGTAACCTACATGCACACCTGACACAGCTGTCTGGGAGTGGGATGTGAGATAGTTGCAACTTCTCGCCCTATAACAATGGGCACTGTGAGGCTGGCTTCTAGAGAAAGTCCTTCACAATATCAAGCGACTTTTAGATGTGAAGAAGGGTCCGCATAGCTCTAGACCTTCTCCCTTGCAAACGTGATGGTGGTGGGGTGAGTGACCAAAGCCCTTTACAGTACGGATCTTTTGTAAGAGCAAGACAAGGCTACCTCCATTTTCCTAGTTCTCATGCCTGTTTGGGACTGTGAGTCTTTGGAATACTATCCCAATGGCTCTGAGCACTACAGCCAGAACAGGCAAAAAAAATAATGTGGCTTTCAACTGTGTGGCAAAAGCTATAAGAGAATCTTGTACTACATACAGTAGCTGCACCAGGAGCAAATTCCCTCATTAAGAGTCTTAAAATGATTTTTGTTAGAATGACGTTTCTGTTAGAACAAACTCTTACCTGCCTACCACCTTCTGTACTATCTGATGTGAGTTTGAAGGTCATCACTACTCAGATGTTGGTTCCAAATGATGCTACATTGTGTGGCATCCTCGCCTGGCCTAGCGTTGAATTGAGAAAAGATTCGAGATTCTTCATTTGCAGACTCTAGCTTTTGAGTCTCTGCTAAATTTAATCATGGTTGTTGGGTTTGAAATCGATGCAATACTTTTAAACCCTTCCTTGACCAATTTCATTTATCTTCAAGTTTTAATAACAAATATTTCTAAGGAGATATTTAGCTTTTTGTGCTTCAGCTGCACATGGGGAAGCTGGAGGCAAAACAATAATGTGGAATTCCAGGGAGATGATTAGATGCTTGCTCTCCGTTGTATGTTCTGTTACAGTGTGGAATACATAGTGGAGTCAGGGTTTATCATGGATCATGTAGGCAACGCCGGATCCTCTCAACTTCCACATATTATTTTTAGGATGTAATATCAATCATTAAACTTGGTTGCTTTTGCAGGAGCCCATTTGTGGACTTATAATTATGATGTGTTACCCATCTGTAAACTTTTTCTTTCTGCTCTTGAGATTTTAATTTCCTAAACTCTGTCAAATAGCTTATCTCTCTCCATCTTTTATGAGGAGTTGTTCTTCTGCATTTTCTATTTCTCAGATCAAAGATTACTGACATTGTGAAAGTCATCATTGGATGGTTTCTTGGTGGCCAGCTTTATCCCTATTTTTGCTGCTTACCTGTCAAAGTATATTATTTGCTCTAAAACTGAATTTGATTTTCTGATTCCTGGGCACCCAATTTTTGATTGAAAGCATTGTTTTTAGCATTCTAGGATGTTGTGATTAAAATTGTTCTGGAACTGCTATGATTTAGTCCTTAACAAATACCCTTTAGACAAGAAATGGCATACATTTGCAGCACAGAAAAGCCTGAAACCCCCCCCCCTTTTTGGGAGGGGTGAGTCTCTACTGCTGAGGTGGAAATGTATTCCATACTCTTTGAATTAAATCATCTCTTAAGATGAGTGTGCAATATGTGTCCATGTGTTACTTTAGCCCCCAGGAAAAGTACTTGGATATTGTGGAGACAAAATTTATTTAATATAAACTTACTTTGCCAGGAAAACATATAATATATAAACCAGAGTTGAGGAGCTGTGGTATTTTATGGTTAAGGATTGTGTGGCTTAGGCTTACTTGTCCCCTTTTCTCTCTGCTGACTTGCTTGCAATGAGACCTTGGGCAAGTCCAGCAATCTAGACTTTTTATAATCAAGTTGGCTAAACAGTTTGCTGTACAAGGCCCCAAGCCCACCTGAATTTCTGACACATCTTTGACTGCTAATCCTGCAAACTGATTTGTGTTCATGCTTAATCCCATGCAGTTATGCCTTGAAAGAATGGAAATATGGTGTCCATGTGTGCTTGGAGTATGTGAATGTCCCCATTACCCCCCACCCCAGCCCCTCCTTTTAGTTTTACAGAAACCAGAGGTTTCTTCTGGCTTTATCTAACCCCAGCAGACTTGCCACTTGGAAGAGACATGAGCCAATTGAACTTATGAAACTGATAGCAAGCTGGCTGAACACATGGATTTCTGAGACCACCCCATGTCTGCTAAGCAGCTCTGTTGCCAGCCTGATTTCTTAAAAAAAGCAACCTAGTAAGCATTCTTCTCAAACCCTCCCTCCCTCGTATTAGATTCACATGGAGCCGGAAAACTAGATGCTCCTGTGAGTGGCAAATCCAAAGAAAGCTCTGCATTTGTCATAGGCTCCTGTCGCTTCCTGTAGATCTCTGTCTTTGATCTGCTTGTAAGTCACAAAAGTCACAGAGTCACAAAAGTGCAGAGAAACTGGAAAAAGGTATTGAAGTTGGTAGAAAAGAACTGTGCATGCCTGCATACAGGAACAACTACAGTGGTACCTCGGGTTAAGTACTTAATTTGTTCCGGAGGTCCGTTCTTAACCTGAAATTGTTCTTAACCTGAAGCATCACTTTAGCTAATGGGGCCTCCTGCTGCCGCCGCGCCACTGGAACATGATTTCTGTTCTCATCCTGAAGCAAAGTTCTTAACCCGAGGTACTATTTCTGGGTTAGCGGAGTATGTAACCTGAAGCGTATGTAACCCGAGGTACCACTGTACTTCATTTTTATTGTCTCCTGTTCTCTGAGTGGACAGGGTCATGTGTAGATCCTTGCGGGGGGAGGAGTCATCCCATGCTTTCCAGACTGGCCCTGGCTTCCCAGTTGTGCAAACAGGGTCTTTTAGTGCTGAAGAAATTCAGTAATTCAACACGTGGAGTGCTTCTAATTTTATTTCCTTTTCAACTTAATTTCCTTGCTTTGGATTTTCAATGCTTAGCTTAGTGGATTACCTTTTTTTCAGTGGAGCTTCCCTTTCGGATTTTTTTCTTCATTTCCTTGTTTTCCTCTTCCCCCTGCCTTCCGGGAGGCTTTTTGCCTTTCCCCTTTTGGGGCTCGGGTATCCAAGGCACAAGGAAGTACAGAAGAACCCCTTCACCACTCTGGCAGAGGCAGGGTAGCTGTTCAGCCAGGCTCCGCTTCAGGAATGGCTTCCTGCCCATCAGCTGGGTAGTGTGGTAGCAACCAGATTTCCCGCATGCCATTTTGAACTGACAGAGCCTCATCTCTTAAAGTGCCATGGCATTTTAAGAATACAGTCGTACCTTGGATCCCGAATGCCTTGCAAGTTGAACGTTTTGGCTCGCGAACACCGCAAACCTGGAAGTGAGTGTTCCAGTTTGCAAACATTCTTTGGAACCTGAACGTCCGACGCGGCTTCTGATTGGCTTCAGGAGCTTGATGATGCAGCCAGTTCTGCATCCTTGGGTGTAAACCTAATCTGGGAATAGCCTGAGGGCAGGTGGAGGACCATAGTCTCACTTTTTAAACATTTCAAACTGTCTAAACTCTGGGCTGGTGAAGAAACACTTAACTCCAGACTTGAAGAGTTGGTGTTTGTTCTTGTTGATAACATAAGGTATGAGAGAGATTTATATTATAATGTAGTTATATTTCAGAAGGTTGGTTTTACTGTATTGAGGGGAGGAAAAGGATTGGGTTAATGGGTGCCTTCTAAAAATAATTCAGTGGAGCTGATCTTCATACAATTTCTGTTCATAGTAATGGAGCTTGTATGGGAGATACTGTTGGTAGATTTTGCCCGAGCCCTTTTGTCCTTCTGTGAGCCTGTTAAAAGAGATTTATTATAAAACAAGCAAAGATACCCTCTGCTTAATTGGGTAGCAAGCCTGAAGTTTTCTGTACTGCCCGTCTCCCTTTTATGCCAAAGAGGAGGGATTAGTGCTGCTTTGACCTCTTTATTCAGAAGAAGCATCGCAGTGGCAGCGTGTTTTGCTTTTGTTCCAAATGTCTCAACTCTGACCTCCAAGTGGGCTTCAGTCTCCAGGTCAAATGAGATATTTGCAGGAGTAAATAATTTATTTGTTTTTAATGCCACTTTAAAACAGCATGAGTGACTGGTTTCTGTGACCCTTCCCCTTTTTCGTTTAATGTGCTGCTTTTGGCTCTTCTTTAAAGGGGACTCGGTGGAGTAATTTTGACTCTTATCAGTTCGTTGACAGCTATATGAGCTATTACTGGCTCCAGGCAATATATGCAGGCGTGTGAAACCTCTTCTTTTTTAACCCGGGAAAAAGTTCTGCACCAAATGGATTGTGAAGAATATGGAGATGGGAACTGGAGAGAAATCTGCCTAGGACAGCCTCGTACTAGACTGCTTATATAGTGTACAACAAATTATTTATTTACCTCCAATCAAAGCGTAGTCTGTGTTTGGTTGTGTATGAAAAAATGAGAATGCACGGATTTTAAATAATTATTAAAGGAGAACTTATGGGCAACTGCTAATATTTGAAAGGCATTTAATTAGTATATTTGACTTTCAGCCATCTGTCTTCCCCTTGAGGGAAAACAGCCTCTTTCTCAGGCTCTTTAGAATCATTATCACATTGAAAAGAACTTTTATCCATCTGCCATTTGTACTATTTTAGATTGTGTGACTGGAGAGCCTAACCCCACTTTAATCCTCCCAGAGTGCCTCTCTAGATTTCTACCTTCATAAATGTCAACCCTGGACACTTTTCCATCTTATCAGATGTATGAAGCAGAAGCTCTCTGTTTCCCTTAAGAGAGATTGTATGTGTGTGTACAACATAACATGTTTAAAAAATAACTCACCGAAATATGGAAGCTGGAAGTATTACTTTTGTAAGTTTGTGTTACATTATATCACCTCAGTTTTTTTTTGATCTTGCAAAGAATATGCTTCTGTTATGCTGGACCTTAAGAAGGATCGTGCAGTAAGGTGAAGAAGAATCTTCTATTACGTGCCTGCTTGCCAGAAGCTATAAGAATCCTTAGCATCTAATAATGTTTTGTATATTTATAAATTTGTCCATAAGTGTTTTTCCCCTAGTTACCGCATTTCTCACATAGTGTTCTTGGTTCTTATGTAATGAAGCAATCTTGTGTTAGAATTTTGGGGATGCAATTTTTTTAAACAAAGCATTTACACTGCTAGATCCTCTACCTGTGAGCATGTCACCAGTAAACCTGCACTAATATGCATATATTCACAGTAAATAGGTGGCATAAGGCACTGGAAGACTAATCAAACTTCATGTGGCTCAAGGAGCGAATGCCGGGCTGAAATAACTCCTTGCCTCCCCTTCTGCTAGGTTTCTCCCTTCTGCAGTTAATTGGAGGCCTTCTTATTTGAAGTCTAGGGGTCCTAGGGTTCAGACCTAAACTGATTTTGGGGCCAGGCATCAGTCCTGGGAATGAGAAACAGTAATAGTGTCTTGTGAGTATGTGAAAAGTATCTGCTCCTGAGTGATCATAGCCACCCCTCATAGTGGGGCTTAGTGCTTGACTTCTGAGCAGACTCTTCATCTTCTGTTTATTAAACACTGGTCACCAGAACAAAATTATCATTATAGCTTTTCTTGGTTACACACTTTATGGAATACTGTGACACTGAGGACCTTATTAGATACAAGGCATCCCTTGTGTAGTCTAGGATAAAGGGCAGCCCTTTAATAAAACAGATCCCTATTTGAAGCAAAAAGAAATTTAGTCCTAAATTTCCTTCGTATTTAACCTCTGCATTCAAAGGAATTAAATCTTCTATTCCCTTGTTATGGCAATAATGAGAAATCTCAAATAAGATCGATGTTGTTGTGGCAGCAGGCCCTTTGTATTTATTTACTCATGATGTTGGATACTGATTAAAAGTTTCCAGCCATGTTGTAAGCCTGCCCAGTCTAGAGCCAGGGCAGCTGTCGACCAAGGGAGATGGCTAGGGGACATAGTACCAAATCACAGTAGGAAGCATCAGTAGATAGCTCAGAAAGCTGGGAAAGGTGTAAACAGAGCCTCAATTTATCTGCCGAGTGGGTTCTCTAAACACAGTTTTATTGGACAGTGGCTCCTGCTTTACTAACCTCTAACCTCCGTGGTGCTTGGAGGTGCTACCCACTGACCAGCCTTGTCTTTGAACCTCTCTTGGTTCTTGCCACCTCAAAGGCTTGCTGTTGGATTCCTATGTTTTTCTTGGGACTTCACCTCTCAGCTGGATGCCTGCAGCAGGGAAAACTGATCCACCCTTAGAACACTGACATATTTGAAAGCGATACCCTCGAGACTTGAAACCTATTGCTTTCTGTTTCGGGAGCTGTCCGTCACTTGTCAGAAAATGTAGCTGAATCCTTTTTCACCCTTTTTCAGTTGGCAGTCATATTGCGTTATATATTTATGCATAGCACTGATTTTTGTTCTCCCCATTCCTGGCAAACCCCTCTTGTGTTGGCAGTAACTGAAGCAGATGTGAATATCTGTGGATTTGGGTTTGTGAGGTGATAAGTACAAAGCAGAATGTTGGATCTGTGAAACATTTACACAAAAGGATTGTAAAAATTTCGCTGAAGAATTCCTGTGTCTGTCCTTGCTTATTGACTCATTGCTCTGAAAGATCAATACTACAGACTTCGTACTGCCTGGCTGTTTTCTGTTGCTCTGATATATCTCCTTCAGTGGAATTAGGTATGATTTTGTAGAAGAAATCTCATGGTCTTTCTGCTCTTCCTCCTTCAAAGTACCATTGTTGTCTATAACTATTGTCCCTCCCCTCTGAAATATGGCAGTCCTGAATCGTGTGTGTGTGTGTGTGTGTGTGTGTGTGTGCCAGTTTAAAACTCACCTGTTCACCCAGGAATTATTCATTTCTAGCTTGGTTAATATATGATTAGCGACCATAGTTTGAATCTAGAGGAGTTGCTGTTGTCTGTTCCCTCCTTCCCGGCCCAACACAGTTGCTTTGCTGAATATTGCTGATATATTTTTCAGGTGCTCCAGCCTTGGTTGCTTGGACTGTCTTCATTACTTTAGATAAATTTGATGGCAGGTTATTGTGGAGTCAGTAACCTGTCCTGAGCTCTGTAAGGCCTTATACGTTAGTACCCAAACATTGAACTTGGTCTGGTAGCAAATTGGCAGCCAGTGCAAATCCCGAAAAGAGAGTGGGTGGGTGGGGGAACTACTTCATGCATTTAACAAGCAACCTAGCTACCATGTTCTACACTAGCTACTCTGGAGTAGCCCCACAAATAGCAGAGTGCAGTAATCCAACCTTGAGGTTACCAAGTTGAAATTGGAGGAGGGAGGCTATGTTACGTCAGTGTCCTTACTTAGATATGCAAATGCCTACATGTGTCTTCACACAGAATTTGCCATCATTAGAACTGAGCAAGAACATAGAACACTGGCAAGTTTGCAAAGTCTGGCACTAGTAGACATTTGTAATGTTTCTCTTTTGCTATTATGCATCTGAATGACTTGCATAAAATGATGCTTTGAATACTACTGAAGCGCAAACTCAGAATAAGGATCAATAAAAGGTAGAGTTAGTAACACAACATATCTTCCCTTTTTAACCTCACCACTGGGACTCGTCTGCGATGTCAGTAGTTTACAGCAATGAAACTGAGAACCTATAGAAGGCAACTCCCAAGTGACCAATATCTGGAGGGTCAGACAAGGATTTTGAACTGTGACCTTGGTGCTCCTTGTGAATCTGAAACTACAAAACAAATGTTGGTACTGGCTAAGATTTCATTCCTTACATACAGGTTTCTGGTCTGATCAATAATGAAATACTCCTAATGTGTGCTCTTACAAAGTGAGAGTTCAAATTTCCTAGGTTGGCATCTCAGTTTGCCAAATGCTGGCAATGGTAGTTTTAGTTAGGCTTGGCATTAAAGTACCATAAAGACCATGGGGTCAGTTGGTGGCTCGATGATCTCAGTATTCTTGGATAGAATGGCAGTACACACTTCCTTTTCTCCCTGTCCTGTTTTAAATGCTTTAAAAAGCATTTATACAGCAGTCCATCATTGCAGGGCCTGTTTACTCATTACTTCTTTGTGGGGTAAAGGTACCCCTGACCGTTAGGTCCAGTCGCGGACGACCCTAGGGTTGCACGCTCATCTCGCTCTATAGGCCGAGGGAGCCGGCGTTTGTCTGCAGTCAGCTTCTGGGTCATGTGGCCAGCATGACTAAGCTGCTTCTGGTGAACCAGAGCAGCGCACGGAAACACCGTTTACTTTTTCGTGGGGAGGGGATGTCAAATCTCTATTTGGTTTGAATCTTGGGGTTCTCATGTTCCTTCCACCTCAATGTCCACAATAGGTAAGAGGTTAGCTGGGCTGTACTGTGTTTGTTTTGAATGAAGCATCCCTTGCTCACCCAGTCTGTCGGTGCAAAATTTTGTTTTGTTTTTTATTTAAAAAGTTCAAGGAAGCATCATGTCAGATAAACATAGTATATCCTGTTCACTTTTTACTCTTTCCTAGAGTTGAGTGTGAGGGTGTTCACTCCAAGACTCATACCACTTAAATAATTTTAACCTACAAACTGGCCTAATACAATTCTTTAAGTTCCTTTTTTTTTTTTTTTTGTGGAGTGTAAAGCGTCTTCCTTCAGTTTCTATTAGCTTGTTATCAAGTTTCAGTGGATCACTGTGGAACTACTTTGAGGTTTTTTTACAGTCAAGCAGTGATAAGTTTTATGAAATAAATAAAATAAAATAAACATGTAATGAAATAGGTTTTATCCAATACTGTGTAAGTGGAGTTCATGGAATAGGACTTCCCCTTCTTCTCCTCCCCTCTGTGAGCCCCCCAAAATCTGCTCTGGAGGGTCCCCAATCCTTGTAAGAGCAATCTGATGAAGTGTGCATTAATGTGGCTTGCCTCCCACATGAAAAATTTGTGAAATCAGCGGGACTTGTATTAATACAACTTAATGCACGTTTGCAGTATTTCATAGGATATCAGGTTTAGATTTGCATCAGGTACAGATGTACTGTTAATGGCAGTGGATATGTTGATAAGTTGAAGCTTGTGAAAATTTATGGCGAGAAGCTAAAACAGAGTCTGGGTGGAGGGAGTTGGCTTTGCAAAGACTAAAAGTTTAATAAAGGACAAAGGCCAGTATAAAATTAGGGATAATTGCAGTACTGTTAGAACAGTCACCTCTGTTTTGCTTACCTGAAGGTAGTAAAAGATGTATTGGTTTCTATAAAGCTTTTCCAAAAGAAAGCCATTAAAGTAACCTCTGCCAACATGAAAATGGTAGCACTTCAGGACCTCATAAACGGTGTGAAGTGTGGCACTCTGGGAACACTTGACTCTTGCAGTGGGGCAACAACTTGCAATGCTATGGCGCCTGACCGTTAGGTTAGGCAATTAACTTTTATTGCTTTCTTCCAAGTCCTTCTCCCTTTCTCTTGGCTGATTTTTCTCTTTTCCGACTAGAACTTTGGTCTAGGTGATTGATGCAAGCCAAAAGTTTTCCCCTGCTGATGTAGCCCCCATGTGATTAATCTGTTTTCATTAATACTGCCTTTTTGTGCATTTGCCAGTATTATTTTTTCATATTAAGTTAAGACGTTTGTCATTGTGCAGTATGATGAAGCATCTCTAATTATGCTAAGAGCAAGTTTTGCTCATGCTATGGCAATAAACTGTAGTATATAACATGATGCTGTGCAGGACTGGGGGGGAGGTAGTTAAGCATGTGCATTTGTAAGGAAAATAGCATTTTTTCCTAAATCAACTTTCCCCTGCTAGGGAGTCGAAAACAACTGGGAGGTCACCAACTCCCATCAGCGGGAGTTGTAGTCCAAAACATGGTGAAGGCTAGTATCTACGGATACTAGAAATCTACAGTGTGTAGATTTCTGCAAATGCTACATTCCTGCTGGATCCTGGCAAAAAGATTATTCTAAATATCTACCATACACTTCAACTTCTCTTATTAGCATATTGTTGTGCTAAAACCAAGTCTGGCCTGAGTCTGTGTTATACTACCTTGTTAGGGAGTGTGGAAAATTACAATATTGCCAATATTTATGAGGTACATGTGGTACAGACGTTTCCTTCCTCAAGTGGAGGCGTGCATGCATGTGGAATAAATTGATCCTGCTCTTCCCAATAAATGCATCTTGGTGCAGCTAAGCACATGAGAAGCTAACGCTAACATTTGTTTGTAAACCAATGGGTGGGGGACCCTAGCGCACATCGATCAAAATTGGGTTCCAGATCTCCTCATTTTGCCTGCTAGGCCATTTCCCCTGAACTCCATCCATCTGCCCCAAACCTGATGTCATGTGTAAACTCATGAAGGCCCACCTACTTTTTTGAAATGTTATTCAAATAATATTTATAAGATTCTAATTGCAACTCCCAGGCCACCCCAATCACATGGGCCTCCTCCTCCTCCCCATAGGCCTTATAGCTGCACAGATGCATTTAAACATACTTTCTTGAACCCAAAATGTCTTGTGCCAGTGGAGAGGCACTACAGCAATGCAACACAGGGTTCCTGGATTCTGTTGCTTCCATGTCCCCCTTCAGCCCCTTGTGCCTTATCCCATACTATTCCATATGATCCCTGGACCCTAGAAGCAGCTCTTTATGGGGTACATAGCACTGCAGTGGGGAACAGATAGGAACCTGCAAACCCCATTGTGCAAGTGGACTTGTGATTTGCCTTTTCTGGATCAAACCCAGAGAAAGGAAGAGATAACTTAGAGGGAAAAGATGAATGCATCATTCCTTTACATAACAAATACAAATTGTATTAATAGGCAAATTAGTTTTGCGTCTGCTGCTTATTCCTGTGCATCCCTCAATCCTGAGCTTGTTTGTTAATTTACTTTATAAAAACCACCATTCTTTTGTAAGAACCAAAAATTACACTACAGTAATAAAGGACATCCACTCCAAAAACAGCACAACAGCAGCTGTTCTTGAAAGCAGCTAAAAGTACATTTCAGCAAAGTGATTTTGCCTGGTCTGTAAAATACTAAAGAGGTTGAGCTATGATGCAGCTGGCTCATAGACTGTCACAACTTGGATGTCTAATACTGCATATCTACTAGTTCTTCTACGATGTTGTCACAAACTCTAAAACAAATTAGTGAAGACCAGAATTCTAGTAGGTTCTGGCTCTCCATGATATGAAATGGATTAGAACAGAATGGATCTGTGACCACCTAATAAATTGATTTGAAGGAAATTCCAGGGGGCAGGCAAGGATGAAAAGCAGGACAAATAAATAGTCCAGTGTGGAGCTTTAAGCACACAGCCTCATTGCAGAAATACCTTGGTCTCCACATGCAAAGTATGCATGGATTACCAAATGAGGCAGGTTTAATAGCCAAACAGCTGCAGCTGGTTGACAGGTAGTGATGAAATAGGGCTAAGGTGCAAGAACAACAACAGCAAAAATGCTGAGACGTTCAACCCAGGAACTCTGTCCTGACACCTTATTCTACAGGGCAGTACCCACAGCTGAATTGTCATGTTTCAGCAAGTGTCAACTCTCTGATGGAGAGGACTTTTTGTATCTAGAATCACTCAATTTAATCTGTCTCTCTGATTTAAAATCAAATCAGTCAGAAAAAGTTGTGCCATGTGATAGTGCCAATTACCTGTGTTTCCTTTTCGTCTAAGTTTTTAAATTACGTGCACAGTGGGGGGGGGTTAATCAAAGCTTTCTTTGATGAAATAGGGAAGGGGCATTTCTTCTTAAGCAGAAGAATTTCCTGTTCTGCTTAGTAATGTTGTGTATTGGACAGTACTGGATGACTGACTAGCCATGCTAATCAGTTTTTTTCCTGGAAAAGCAAACAAGGTGGGAAGGATTCACTGAGCTCTGAAAACATCTGTTTGGAGATTTGCAGCCTCCTTGGAAAGTTTTGGATTTTGCCTCAATGAAACACAACTTAAAAGAAGAAAGATTGCTAGTAGATTAAACCCTTGCATCATTATCTTTTTAAATTAATAATTATTTTGCTATACATGGGCATAGATATTTAGGCTATAAAAATTGTTCCCTTTCCTTTCATGTCTTCCTAATTCCCCATCCTTCGTGGGACAAACATTACATTCTTTTTGATGTTTCTAGTAGAAGTTTGAGGAGGTGAAGGCATCCTGCAGGAATTGAGTTTTTTATAGACACTCTTACATCATATCACAGAAACCTGTTTCCACAGTGTAAAATTGAGTGGAGAGGGCATTTGATGGGGCCAAAATGATTAAACTAATAGCTCTTCACTATTATGAAATAATAGTGCAGACCTGGATATTAACAAGAAAAATACTAATATTTCAATCTGGAATATTTCCAAGTTTCATGGAAATACATGGATGATTTTGCATGCTGTTTGCGAACACCCTCATTAAGGTGTGTGAAAACTTCCTGTTATTGAAGCACTTGGCTTGGAACACCCAATAGCTTGGAACACCCAATAGCAGAACTGAAAGGCCTCTGGATGTTTTTGTTGATTGCAAAAGATACAGAATATGGAAAGAATATGGAGTATACAGATAGGAACATAAGAAGAGCCCTGTTGAATCAGGCCAAATGCCTGTGAAAATCAATTGTGCATTTTGAAAGCAGCACATAAGCTAGTTTATTTAATTATTCTCATCATGCAGGAACTATTAAAATATCTTACAGTTCTCCTGATGATTTCCTACTTAGAAGCCTAAGCTAAGGACACATATTAACTAGGATACACATATTAACTGAAGGAAGGAAAACAAAAAAATGGCCATACCATAGACAGATTTATGGGGTAGTTTTCTACCCAAAGCTTGACATCCCCTGTGGTGCAGTTTGCCTGTCATACTAAGCCAAACCATGACTAAGCATGAACAAGCAAGTATGCAGTACGTGGAATAAAAATCACAACCACTTGGCTTCTCCTCAGTCCTGCTTTTATGCTCTTCAGAGCTAAGACATGGTTTGGCTACCTGGGCTTATGCTTACACACACACACACACACACACACACACACAGACAGAACCAAATAAACCCAGACGTTAGCCAAGCACAAACCCTGGCTACATCTTGTGGCTTGTGTGGAGCAGATACAATTTTTTCAGATAACCCACCATGTTAGACTTAGTGTTGTGTCTGAACCAGACCTATAGAACATCTGTCACAAGCCATGTGTGTTGTGTCAGGAGAGTATCACTTTAATCTGCTTCCCTGGAGTAATTTTTGCTTGAAAAACCACGTGGGACATGTTAGCTAACACATTAATTCTTAAACAGAAACTAAGAATGTAACAGACAGGTTTTTTGGGGGTGGTGGTTGTTGTTGTTTTACCCCAAGTTGAATTTGTGTGTCCTAGGGTGGTGAAATGTTACAAAAATTCAGGTCTGCTTCTCTGGGTCAATCTTTGCTGTGAAATACCATTGGGGGCAATTCCCCCTCCCAGTTACATTAACATTGGTTGAGGGTGGGGCAGTGCCCCATTGGTGGGATTTTTTTGCCTCCAGCACTTTTTACTAATGGAAAGAAAACTGTAAATGATATGGGGCTGAAATTTAGGGACGTTGCATACTACTGTGCAACTGACAAACCAGCACTGTGTTGTAGGTCTATTTCTGTATGAATTCTGCAATGAACCCAGGGTGAACGTCAACCCTGTTTTTCATAACTAACTGACAACTTGGCTATGGGAATCCATGTATTGGTCTCAGAAACTACATCTTCAGAATCTTCTGGTTGGAGCTTGTTCTTTTTATAGGGGACTTGGAACCGACAACTTGTAAAGGATAATGGGCTTGTTCCATTTTGCAGGCACAGAAAAGCACTCTGTATTTAATAGACACTAAGCATTCCCTGTCCTGCTTGAGAGCTTATTGTAATACAGAGACCACTTTATCTGTTCAAGGACAATAATTTATTTGTACATAGCAGTGAGAGTCTTCAGCCACACAGTACAACTGCATAATTTCATAAGTTGTGTTTAATTCTGTTATTTCACCATGACTACCGTATTTTTCGTCCCATAGGACGCTCTGTCCCATAGGACGCACCTAGTTTTTTTGGAGGGAAATAAAGGAAAAAATTTTTTCCTTTATTCCCCCCCCCCCCCCCAAAAAAAACCAGGTTGGGGAAACCGAACCAGGTCGAGGAACAGCGGGATGGCGGCGCTGCGCCTCCTTGCTGTCCCCCAAGCTTGTGGGGCTGGCCGATGTCTGTCCGGCGCGTGGGGCGCGCCGGGCGGGGAACTCCCGCAGGGCTCCCCACGCTGCGGATGTCTGTCCGGCGTGCGGGGCGCTCTGCTTCAGGGTGTCTCTCATGCCGGGCGGCAGGCTGCTATCCGCAGCATAGGGAGTCCTGCAGGAACTCCCGCAGGGCTGCCTAGGCTGCGGATGTGTTCCTGAAGCCTGGAGAGCGAGAGGGGTCGGTGCGCACCGACCACTCTCCAAGCTTCAGCGAAAGCCTGCATTCGCCCCATAGGACGCACCCAGGTTTCCCCTTCATTTTTGGAGGGGAAAAAGTGTGTCCTATAGGGCGAATAATACGGTATATTTGTGTTGCTGGTTTTTCTTCACAGTTAGGAAGTCAACCTGATAAGCATCAGTAACTCATGACCAGCTGTGTTATGCCTTTGTCTTTTTATCGTGCTCTGAAATTTTATGCACAGTCAATGCAGTTGAGGGAAAAAACACTGTTTTCCTTGCTGGCTGGCTGTCCTACACAAACACATGCAGATATTCCTCCTGGCTGATACTGGGCCTTGGGGAGGTCTTTAAATTTAAGTGCCTTCTGGACACTTAACTGTGTTGGAGATCTCTGCAGAAACAATTAAGTGGAGAAAATAACTTCTGTAAGGCCAGACCGCTTGAGATATGATTATTGGCAAAGTATGTTTCCTTTGGGGTTGATAGTTTTCAGAATCAATTTGATTCCCAAGTCCTTACAAATTTGTTTTGTTGCAGTTCTGTATGAGAAGCAAGGAATGAATTAATTACATTTTTAAAAAGCTACCCATTGCCTATTCTCAGGGCTTTTTTCAGCCAGAACTCGCTGGAACTCAGTTCCAGCACCTTTTGGGTGGGCGCCATTGCCATTATAAGAGAACCAGGGAGGTGTTCATGGTGAGTTCTGGCACCTCTTTTTCTGGAAAAATATTCTGATAATTGGCAGTGAATTTAAAATGATAACAAGACAATGTGTTCTCTGTGTACATCCTTGCGTTTTGAGTTCTGTAGTTTGGATTTAGCTGCTTGCAGTATATGGCACCAGTAGCCATTGTTTCTAAAGGGCTAGAATAGGAATAGCTTTTTCTACAGTATATTTATTATCAGGAAACAGTAAACTGTTTTGAGGTTTTTTGTTTTTGTTTTTGCAGTCAAGCAGTATATACACTATATTTAATAAAAAGCAAATAAATAAGATAAAATAGGGCCAGACCCATTGCCTCTCCTGCTTTTTAGGTGCACTACCATTATATGTTTACTGTCTAAAGAACAAGAAAGGCAAGTCTGATCAACCTTTTTGGCCATGTTTTCCTGCCTATTCCATATCCTCCCTAAGGAAGCTCACCAGTGACTCCAAAATTGCTGTCTATAATTAGGTGCATGGCAAACCTGCCTGTGAAGGTGGCCTCCCTAGAAGATTTTAAAGCCCAGCCAGGCTCATGGCCATATACGGCTTTATAGTTCATAACCAGCACTTTGAATTGTGACAAAAAATGAACCAGTAGCCAGTGCAGCTGTTGTCACAATGAGCTTCTCTTCTCCTTGTAACTGGCTTGGGTCAGCTGTTTGGACGCAGCATCTTGGATCCACTGAAGTTTCCAAACACTTTTCAAAAGCACATTGCAGCATGTAACTAAGGATGAATGGATGAATGTAACTAAGGTGTGCATCATTGTAGCCAGATTGGACGGCTCCAGGAATGGGTGCAGCTGGCACACTAGTGTATATAGTAGGCCTCCCCAGTCTAATGTCCTGTAGATGTTTGGGGCACACGTCCCATCTTTCCTGATCTTCAGCCATGCTGTCTGGGGCTGATGACAGTTGGAGTCAGAAACATCTGGAGGGCTCCAGGTTGGACAGCTGTGGTGATTTAGTGAATCTATGTGTTTACGGCATCACTCTGTGGGATCAGTCTGGGCTGAAACAGCCCAGTGTTAGGAGAAACTTCTGTATAACATGGTGGAGTCACTGAGAACCAGATCTGCTTTAGTCTTCAAAACCCCATCCTAGATTCAGTTTCTTAGCGACAGTTGCATGTGACACATATATGTTTCAACCGTATACAGATGTTTGATATTTCTGTCTGACATAAATATGTTGTGAAAATACTATTCATTATTCTTTGCAGGCAAGATGGTTCTGGGAAGCTTACTTTCAGTCAATGAAAGCTATTGCTTTGGCAACCCTCAAGATTATCAATGACAGGATCTACCCATATGCTGCCACATCATATGAAGAATGGAATGATCCACCAGCAATTGTAAGTAGAGCTATATTTCTATTAAATTTAATATGCTGGGCCTCTTCAAAAACAGACTCCCATTGTGATCTGCTGATATTTTATATTTTGCTGGTAAACACAAATTTCACTTTGTCCAAAATATAGCCTAAAGGGAAATATTTGTATATTAGCTTGCTACACTATTTTTCTTTTTCTCTTAAAATGGGAGTCTTAAGCTATTGTCATATGTTAGAAGGTCTAGTTTTGGCCATTGCAAACAGTTCTTAAGATAAGTGCACTGCGTTTCTGCTTTAAGAAATTTGAACTACTTGTTAGCAGAGGTACTTCCAAGAAAGTGGCCGGGAAAGCTTTTTGTCTGAGAATAGTAAATGTTGGACTCAGGATGGCAAATGAGTGATTGCTGTTTGTTCAGTAGGCATGCTCTGTCTGACAATAGAAACTGATTATTATTGCTGAATTTTGGTGATTGTAGTGCTATTCCATGATTACATTGCAAAATGTAGAAGCTGAAATTGTTACTAATCTCCAATAAAGAAGTTAGGACATCTTACAAGCTTCTACTCCAGAGGGACTCTCCAGAGTAGATTTTAGGGGTGCTACAGCAGGGAGGAAATGAAAGCAGAAGTCTTGTTGTGCAAGTTGAAGTCCTCTTGCACTCCATTGGATACAACCCAGTGTGTAGCAAAACAATACCTGTGGCTCCCCTCATCCTTTTAACTGAGAATTTTAATTTATTGGTTTACTACCCCTATGACACTTGCAGAGTCAAGGGAGTGTTCATATTTGTCAGTTTATTGCATGTTTAGGGAGTTCTCCTGTGCCACCTTTTGAGCACCATTGTACAAAATGTATGGCTCTGTTTTGTCATTGCTGTTTCAGTGTTCTCAAAAGGGGTGTCATAAATTGAAGTTTAACCACCACTATTTTAATAATCGCCAGGAGACCTGCTGTATGCAGAGCAATAAATGTACTTTCTCAGCAGACCTCCATTTTCTCTGTGACTGACTGCTAGAGAGCAACTTGGCTGTGAGACAGGAAAAGAGATGCCATACAAAATGAAATAACAGATAAATACCGGTAGTTCAAAGAATGGCTCATGTGTAAGTTAGAGTGAGAGAGCAGCTAGTGCAGAGAATGGTATGAAGGTTCTACTGCTAAAACTAAACAGTTCTTCTACTATAAGCCATCTTGGGGAAAGATTGCTTGGGACCAATATGTCAGTTGCTCTGAGCAACTCAGAGAGAGCAGATTACACAAAGATACTGCTATCTAAATGCTTGTTATACAAAAATTCACTTATCCAAACACAAGGAATTAGTACCAAAACCATGCTATACACGCTACAGATTCAGATACCCGAACAGCTGAACCTGTCATATATTCTCCTACCTCATGTCAAATGTAGCGTCCCTAATATGTTGTCTGTTCTAGTCTAAGCAGTTTGCCTTAGTCGTGTAAAGTTAAGTTATAGTAGGTTTTGAAAAACTCTCCTGCTTTTCTAAAGGACTGATCTTGAGAGGGTTTTTTAAAAAAACAAACAAAAAACACCCATGAGTTTTATTAGTGTCCAGTGGGTTTAGTTGTCATGATGATGGATATCAATACTGTATTATTATATCGAGCCATCGTGTTAGCAGTGGTCTGAGAAAAGCATTTTATATAAAAACTAAAGCTATGCCTGTTGCCATGAGTACTTTAACTTACCAAACCCACTGTTTGGAAAAGATTTTACAGTGCATCAGCTGAATATCTTTCAGAAATGTTTCCAGGTGAAATTTTATGGCATCTATCCTACAAAATGTAGGACAAGGTAACGACAAGCCTCTTAAGACCATACACTTTATAGCTATATGCAGCTTGATTGAAGGTTTTGGCACAGAGGTAGCCCAAAAATGTTCACTTAAAGAAAACTGTATTGAACCATTTTAGTTTCAGATCACTTGACACTTCAACATATCAGTTAAAATATTGGAAATGTTCAAGTGTTTCTGTAGCTGGACACTTACCTGCTTATTTGAGGAGAATATATTTCCTTTCACATGAGTAACTTGTCAGCCCTGAGAGACACCTCAACGAACAGCTATTAAAATAGCACAGGGTTTTTCTTTTGGACTGGCCAACAGATCTTTGTAGATCCTAGTCTGTTTGGACTAAGTAACAGGCATAGTCGTTGTGTGAATTATGACTTACCTTTGGAGAAACTTGCCCCTAAAATTAATGGAGTAAATACAGAAACTGTTAAAAATGCACAGACACCATGGTGCTTAGATGTCAAGGCCATGCCAACATTTAAGTAGAAGCTAATTTTGTCGTTGCTAACAGCTGCTAAGTTTCTGTTAGTGGTAAATGAACAAATGTAGATTTGCTACCTATTACAGGTTGGTTTAACAAAACATGGAAACTCTCAGTCATGGAGAGATCTCAAACCAAATTAAAGGGGCATGAAATCCATACTCTATGGGTGACTTCTTTTTTAAGGCTCCCATTTCTTGTATGTGTAGACTCAGCAATAGCAATGCGCAAAATACCATTGCACCTTAGTTCAATTTTTATTTTGTCATGGATAAGGATAGTAGAAAACTTGTTCTAGAATTTTAGGGTGGTTTTTTTTTTTTTACTGAACTTGGTCTTTCTCACCATTTATAGCCTGAAATGTAAATAAACTGTAGTTTTTGCTTGGTTTATACACCTACTGCTGCCACCACCCAAACTTCCACTGATCAGGTGTCGACAGGGAAGAGGAGTGGAGTGGAGGAGGATGCGATTGAATCCACCCCCCTTTCGCCTTTTAAACTAGCTGATCATCAGGATTTTAGTTTTAAAGAGAAGTTCCAAGTTCCTGCTTGGCTGCTGGGTTATTACAAAATGCTGGCTGAAAAGGGGGAAAACAAACAAGCAATTACTTGGCAAGTTTGAGTGCTAGTTTTAGCCTAGGTAAACTAAAGTGCTTTGCTTACTGAAAAAGTGACTGATGATACTCATTATGAAACTCAAATTCTGGATTAAGAGAAATTATGTTCAAGACATATTATGCAAATTAACACAGCATTAAGGGTTAGATCAAGACTTCCCCAGAACAGAACTTTGCTAACTAGACACAGCCTCAGGTAGAATAAAGGAGGCATTTTTCATTGGCTCCTCCTGCACCTCACTATGTCCCCTCAAAATCTGCTCTGGAAGGTTTGAGGACCCTACAGAATCATGTAAGAGGTTGGAGGGGTTGCAGAGGGAAGGAGAAATAGGTGTCAGTTTTTGCCACTCTCCTTTCCTCCAGTGGGAGCTGCCTCCTGGATCCAAATTCTTTCTGTAAATGGAAGGAGCTCTTCAGGTTTGCCCTTTGACAAGTTGTGGATGGGAAGCATGGGGGGGAATGTTGTCTCTATGCATTCAGTGGAAGTACATTCTGCTTGCAGAACGAAATAAAATAAAGGTATTCCTTGTTAGGTAATTCATAATAGAAACTGCATTGAGGTGACAATAGATACTTAAAACAACCCCCCCCCAACCACCCTTCCTTGGAAAAATGATGTAAGTATAATTTTAGTATTAAAAAAGTGTTGGAAAGAACATTTTGATCAATGTATCATTAAATCCTCCTTACTTCTTTCATAATAGTAGTCTGTTATGGTTCAAGCTGAATATGATTTCACAAAGTAATAAAATATGGCTGCTGAGAAGAAAATTGTGGGAGGGAAGGAAAATAGCACTGCTTTTGTTCATGAGAACAGTAAAAAAACTTTTATTATCACCATGTTAGCTATCCAGCAATGGGGGAGTAATATTCACCCTCATAGTGTGCATACCAGCATGTGGGCGAGACTGAAGGAGTGAGTAACCAGGAAGAGGATCTTCAAATTATGTTGGCTAGCTCAACAAAAATGTCCTATCACCTCAAAAAGGATCCAGAAAAAGTTCAGAAAATTGGCAACCAAAATGATCACGGGGTTAGGGCAAGGCACTATGAGGAAATACTACAACACTTGGGACTTTTTTAGTTTAGAGGAAAAGGCAACTAAGTGTGGACATGATCGAGGTGTATAAAATCATGCATTGCATGAAGAAAATGAGTGCTAGAATTCAGGGGCATTCAGTGAAGCTGGTCATCAGAAGATTCAGGAGAGACATAAGAAAGTCCTCCTTCACACAGCGCGCAGTTAAACTATGGAATTTGCTCCCACAAGGGGTGATGATGGTCACCAACCTGAACAGCTTTAAAAGAGGATTGGACAAATTCATGGAGGATCAGGCTATCAGTAATGGCTGTTAGCTGTGTTGGAAGCAGCATACCCCTGAATACCAGTTCCTGGGAATCACATGTGGGGAATCACAGTTGTGCTCAGATCCTGCTTGCAGGTTGCGCAGGCTGAATAGGCAGGTGGTCTTCATCTTCCTTCTGCACTCCAGTCTGTGCCAGTGAAGTGGCTCAGGAGAATTATTCTATCTTCTTCTTTTTGTTCTCTTTCTGTCTTGGGGATTTATTTCATTTGATTATTTATGCAACATATTTATATGTTGCCTTTGAAAATAAGTTTAACATCACAATAGTGTTCTTTGACTTGGGTATTGCATTGTTGGCACATAACTTCTGTTGTATTTTTAATTATTGTAATTGTGTTGGAGATAGATTACAGATGTTTTCAGAAACAAACACTATAAATGATTATACACTAATCATTGGGAAATCAGTCATTTTCACTTATTACTCTTAAGATTAGCCCCCCCCCATGAAGTTTTTCTCTTTCCATGTGGGGTGAGGTTCAGAGTCCTTCATATCTCAGGAGATGTGAATTCCATCAGGATCTTTTTTGTGGGGGGGATAACTTTCTTCATTCTTTATTGAGTCTTAAAATAGTTTTAATACTGCATGCAGTTAAAGAAGAAGAAAGTTCACTTAGCCAAAGCAAAGGAAATAAATTCTCCAGTAGCAAATGGAAACTTTAAAATGTTTTGGGGTTGTTGTTTTTTGCTAAATGGCAGTCTGACACAAATGAGTCGCTTCTTGTGGAGATGTTGCTTAAAAAAAAAAAATCACCAAAAGTTAGGCCAGTTTCCCAGCCTCCCACTCAGGTTCTGGATCCCAGTGCTTTGGCTTCTTTTGCTGTCTGCGGAAAGGAGACCGCTGTCAAACAGCCAGGAATGCCAGACCGAGCAGTGTGAGAGCCCTGTTGCATTGCAGAGTTGACACTTGCAACTGGATATGGCTTGTACATAAAACTGATTCACGATAAATACCCTATCAGTCTTGGGTTAATTACTGTGGCTCCTGTAATGAATATTAGCTGGTTGAGCGTTGGGAAGGCTGGCGGCTGGGGGTGGGGAGTGAGTTAGAACTGTCTGAGCCATGGCTAAGTGTCAGCACTTTGTCAAAGAAAGTGATGGATGATTACACCATCAGTACCAGTTGTGGGGAGTGTGTGAGAGAGAGTGAGAGAGATCAGTTGGTGATCTCCAATACAAGGCCTGGATGCACCTGAAACAAATGTTGACTGCTGCGTTTTCTATTGTTGGGAAGAACCATCCTTATGTCACCATCAATTTCATGCCCTGCTTCCATAATAGGGATTTAATTAGGCTTCTGTTGAGTTAATTACCTGCATTGTTTGCCTTTCTCCAACAGAAGTTTGTAAGACTCAAGTAAATCATGGAGGTTTGAATTTGCCCAATTTCCTGCCGAAAGTGAGGTCAAGAGGTCCCAGACTGTAGACACACTTTTCAGGCAGGCAGCAGGGGGTTGGCTCTTAATGGTGCTTCAGCAATGCCTAAATGCCCTTTTGAAATGTTACTCTCAACTAAGGAAACTTGATTATTTTTGAGGTGGGGGCGTTCACTGTTGGATGTCAGAGTAGCAGAACATATTCTAGCTCAGCCATTCTTTGCCAGTGTCTCAATTACACAGTGGGCTCCTTTCAACAAAGTGGCACAGCTGCCTAGATGCTACATTTCTTTATCTAGACTTAGAAATGTGCTGGATGTTAAATGTACTATAAGAATTTCCATCATAGTTCTAGTATCAAAAAGTAAAACGTTGCTTTTATGATATTGTTCATTTTGAAGGCAAACCTACTGGGATCAGTAGTAAAGAGGGTCAGGCAATTTGCCTCATTTGCCATAGCCATGAATCAAAGCTGGAGCTCCAGCTATTGATTAGAGATTACTTAAAGGAAGCTTTTGATTGCTTTGTTTCATTTGTCATTTGTCTGCCCTGCCCATCATTTGTTCCTGTGCTGCATTTGCAGTACAGTGGTACCTTGCTTTAAGAACAGCCCTGGTTACCAACAATTCGGTTTATGAACTCCACAAAACCGGAAGTAGTGTCCTGGTTTGCAAACTTTACCTCAGTCTAAGAACGGAATCCGAACGGTGGAAGGGCACTGGTGGCGGGGGCCTCATTAGGGAAAGTGTGCCTCAGTTTAAGAATGGTTCCGGTTTAAGAACGGACTTCCGTAATGGATTAAGTTCGTAAACCGTGGTACCACTGTATATACATGTAATGATTAGCAGATGAACAGTGAAAGACAAGAGCTAAAGAACAACTTACATATGAGTAGGCACCCCGTCTTGTTTTAAGTGGCAAATAAGCTCCCCAACTTGCCATTGCAGGCATGAAGCTTGAAAGAATGCTACTTTTAATGTTTTGTCCAGACATTGTAAAAAATATTGTAGGAAACACCATACCTTTCCAGACAGAGGGAGAGAGACTAGTTTTTCCAGAAAAAATGCATATCTTTTCTAATCATTTCTTGTTGGTATACCACTGCACCATTTTATACCCATTGTCATTCAAGCACCAGTAACTTCCTGACTGAACTACTCTAACATGCTGTACCCAGAGCTGTCCATTGACCTTGCTATGCCATTAAATGATTCAAAATTGTGCTGTCTGACAGTTTTCTGAGATGGCGCTTATTACTCTGGTTTTATTTAATCTACAGTGACTCCCTAGTCATGGTGCTGGTTACTACTATTTAAAAGTCCTAAGTGCAGTGGAGGACGCTGTGATTGCTCCACATTAAAAAAAAAACTATATAAAAAAATTTGGTGCCCAGGCAAAACTAGTGTATGGGAGGATCTAGCAAAACTCTATGGCAGAGAAGATCTAAATGACTTTCCTATGAACATTAGTAGATGACTGCATCACAGTAAGCCTTCCGATCCAGCACTGTTCAAACTATTGCCGTGTTCTGTAGTGTTTTGTATTACAGCTCCCATCATCTGCCATCATGGGCCATGCTTACTGGGGCTGAAGGGAATTGAAATCCAAAACTTCTGGAGGGACAGTAGGTTGGGCAAGGATGGTCTCTTTAGGACACACATCCCTTCCAGCTGACCCTGACAGTTGGGAGATTCCCTAGAGCATTCTTCAATAAAGTGTGAGTGGTTCTTGTTGGAAGTGAAAATTGAGAATATCCATATGTGCAACAGAATTATTTAGCTGCATATCAGACTCTGTTGATCCTAGCCAATATGTTACAATGTCCTATGCAAGGGTGAAGTTAATGCCCTAGTTTTTCATAGGCCTAGATTTATTTAAAAAAAATCTGCTTTCCCCCTGTCTATATTCTTTAATGTTAGTCTTTGATTGTGTCTCTGGGAAAAGAAATGTATACTACAAAATGCATTCTGTTGGGACTCTACATTTTGGCTCTACTGTGCCTTATCTGCATTTCTGCCAGCTAAATTGGCTTCCTTATGATGGTAAAATAAGTCTTTTAAAAGTATTTAGGGAACATTAGGTGGAGTAAATAACTAAAGTTGATCTTTGCCTCTTTTCTTGTTTTTTAAAATGCTTGAAAGGTAGACTGTTTAAAACCATAGAACAAGCCTATTTTTGTTGAAGGTTGCTTTTTTATCCTTCTGTATTGAACCAAGAGTATGTTTTCTTTTTTATTTGTGCCCATTTTGTGTCAGGTTTATTAATTTGCCTCTTTTTACTTCATTCCCCCCCAGAAATTGTGGCACTAGGCTGGTTTTCTGTTTGTTGGCCTAGTCTGAATTCATATAAAGATTAAACTTCCTTTTGGGAAGAGAGATGTGGGGAAGAAGCAAGCCAGGGTAGCCGAATCTTTCTGGTTTTCCAGTAATCTGTCTTTTATTCTCCGGTAGCCCTGAACATACTTGATAGTTTTTATTATGACTTGAACAAATGCACAGAACATGTTTATATTTAACCGAGATTGGTGTTTTATCACAAAAAGAGGCTTTCAAAGACCAGTTTCCCCTCTAAAATGCTTAATGTGTTGGTGTGCTGATCTGGTCCTAATGATGGAAATTGCATTCAGTTGATTTATTCCAATTTTATTACTGAAAAGTGACCTTTGTTTAATCCTACTTCTTTCCTTTCTGCAGAAATGGAGCAGCGTAAGCAATCCACTATTTCTTCCGCTGATTCCACCTCAGTCGCAAGGCTTCACTGCTATTGTCCTGACCTATGATCGGGTTGAGAGCCTCTTTAGAGTCATCACTGAAGTCTCAAAGGTGCCCAGCCTTTCAAAGTTGTTAGTAGTTTGGAACAACCAGAACAAAGTTCCACCAGAAGGTAAGTTGTGGGGAACCAAGCTCCTCCTATGAGGTGACCCATTTTCCCTTTACACCCTGGCTTGAAGTCATGTCATGCTGAAAACAGAAGAGCTTCCTTCATAAGCATGGGGATGATCCAAGCCATGCCTGTGAAGGAACTCACTGGGGCTTGAAGTCACCTCTCAAACGCTGATTGGCAGTGACTTAAAGCCTCTCTTCCAACAGGGATCAATTGCTCTCCAGAGTTCATGAGTGTTGCTGATTCTGGCAGGGCTTGCATCTGGCCTCTAAATTAAAAAGGCACTGAGTGCAAGCTCTGCTAATCGTAGAACAATCAGGAGCACCACTTTTAAGGTTCCTGATTGTTCCTTAACAGCCACATCTTGACCTGCGCCACAGTTGATGTCATATACAATGTTGGCTTGGAGGAAATTGCCTCATGAGCCAAATTAGGACCACTGCTGTGCCTAACTAGGTCTGTGGTACCAAGGCTTCACATACCTGCCTTAACAGCTTAAGCACAATATTCTTTGGAGCCTACTTTTGACCGTACTATTGAGGAAGGAGAAGTATTTTTTGTGATTGTCCATCAGTTGTGGAACTCTGTTAAGAACGCTGTGAAAGTTGAAGCCTTTGAAAAATGTTGTGGATACTGTACTTCACTGTTTAATGGCTTTTAGTGCCCAGATTTTAAGTAGATGCGCAGTAATGTGAATTCCTAAATGTAATTTAATTTCAGTATAACCATCTTGAGAAAAAGCAGAATAGAAATTAAAATACAGTGGTTCAAGGCTCAAGTATACTTGATTCTATAACTCCACAAATTATTTCTCTTCCCTTGTCTCCTTTTAAACAAGTTATGCAACTTCCATGTTCAGATTTTCAAAATCACAAAGTAGATCACTTACTTGGCAAGTCGTGAAATATTACTATAAAAGGAAAATATGCACTTAAAATAAAATATTGGGTGCTGCTCTGTTCAGCTATTAAGTCGAAAGCAACCACAGACTGTTTGCCAATGGAAGTTTTCCTTCCCTGCCAGACCATACTCATGAAAATACTGACCAATTGTTTAAAAGCTAGGCTTCATCTCATGAATGACTCTGGTGTGCCAGTGCTTATTGCTTTTCCAAGCCCTATTTGTTACCTTCAGTTCTCACTTCATTGTACTCTTGTTCTTCTAAATAGAGCAAATCCTACCAAAATTTAACAGTGAACCTTTTCATGAACTTTAATATCAGTATATTTCAAATGTCCCGTGAAATTACTGCTTAGACCCTAGAATGTTGTATGCCATCTCAACCAAACTGCATGTTCATCTACCAGTGATGAGTAAATGTTAATTGACGGTTAGTGAATTTCACTTTTTTGCTTTGAGGTAATAGAATTATCAAGTGTATAATTTGAACATTTCATTTCTGCATGAAGCCTGATTTTGCTGAACTTCCCATTGCTTGAAATTCTCTAGAATCTCAAAGTCAGAATGTTTAACCCAGGGATGCAGGCCTCCAGGACACTGTCAGGCCATGCCCCCTCCCCAGCACTCTCTTTGAGTGCTTTTGCCTGGCCGAATGTGCCTTTGAACTCTGTTAATGCCTCTTGCTTGCCTGGATGGAAGGAAAGGGTGTGGGTGTGGGTGTGGGTGTGTGTATGTAGGTGTGTGTGTGTGTGTGTAAAAACCTCTGGCTTTTGCATGGCTGAAATTTAGTCTACTGTATAAAGGTAAGAGTTTCATCTGTTATTCTTCTCCCATATGCTTCTGGGCCTGATCACTTTTATCTCTGGCCACACATGCCACTGGCATGTGGCCCCTGGAAGGCCACCCATGAGGAACTGTGGCCTTCACGTTACCAGGTTCCCACAGCTAATTTAACCCGTGGTCCTTTCGCAGTATACATTAAATTGTGAGAAGTGGTGTTACAGGGAACCAGGCAGAGGGCCTTCTTGGTAGCCGTGCCCGCCCCGTGGAATGCCTTCCCATCAGATGTCAAGGAAATAAACAGCCATCTGTCTTTTAGAAAACATCTGAAGGCAGCCCTGTATAGGGAAGTTTTAAATGTTTGATGTTTTACTGTGTCTGATGTTTTAATTTGTTGGGAGCTGCCCAGAGTGTTTGGGGCAACCCAATCAGATGGGTGGCATATAAATAATAATAATAATAATAATAATTATTATTATTATTATTATTATTATTATTATTATTAAAATAGAAATGTGTGTTTCTTTCTTAAGATCTGTTTTGAACATATATTTCCATTCCAATAAACTAAACAATAAAACGTACATATACCAATATATATTCCAACGTTTCTTGACGTATTGCCCTTTGGTATAATATGCATGTGCCACATAACTTTGTGTGCAGAAAATGAAGGATGCAGTTTAAGAGGTTGAGGAAGGGTAGGTATTGACCTCTAGTAGTAGTAGATGCCACCAAGCAGTGCTGGGTGGTATATCAAATGAAACTTTCACCTTAGAAATCCTCCCAAACTTGACATGCTTAGTGGTGTACAGGGGGCATACTGTGACCTGTTTGCTGAGTACTTAAAGGATAATTCCTTGTAGTTACTTCAGCCTGAATGCTAAAATTGTGCAGTGCAGTCTGGGAGCCGCTCGGAGCACTGTGCAGTCCTGTTTTGTGGTACGTGTTTTGATTGCTATGGCATGAGGACAAAGACAAGGTGATTAGAAGGGTCCAGCATTATGTACTAGCACATCGTTCCTCTTGGCTTATTACATCTAACAGAAGGGGCTGTCTGCCTGGGTCCACAAATGAAAGTGATGAAATACTCCATGTTTGGAGTGGTCCCAGCTACCTTTAGAATGGGCAGTTACAAGGTCACATCTAAAGAGAGCCTCCCTGAATTCTAAGTATTGCAACAAGTACTGACTGGCTGTGAAAAAGCCCCTCTTCAGTAAAGTGCACAAGTGGCTGCTTGTCAGCTCCAAGCCCTTTTGGAAGATTATTTGAATCCATTTTAACCTGAATCCCTGATTGTGAACTGCTTTTACAGCACTTGAGTGCTGAGAGTACAGGTTATAATGGCCTACAACGAATAAACCCTGTGGCCCATTGTGCTTGCTTATGGATCTCTAGTCAAAGACAGTCAAAGCTAAAGTGATCGCACCAGCCATAACTTGCTGAGTAACCATGGATTGGATATGCTGCCAAGCTAGGAGGAAGACGGAGTAACTTGCTGCCCACTCTTACCTTCCACACTTGAGCATATGCCTTGAACCTGCTACACTCCAGTTTTCTTGGCGAAGAAGTCACTGACTGCCTACTGCTGTTCACCAGAACTTCTCAGAATCATTGGCCAGCTTGGGATAAAGAAAAGGGCATGGCATGTTGCACCCTTCTCCGCAGCCCAGACCAAGCTCCAACAGTTGCTTTAGGAGTGGAGATTTATTTAGGGGTCCATCCTCCTCCAGTGCTCTCTCCTTTTTGTTTGTTTCTTTCTAGCAACTGGACAAAAGAATAGTGAAGGAGTATAATAATAATAATAATAATAATAATAATAAATAAATTTTATTTATATCCCGCCCTCCCTGGCCGAAGCCGGGCTCAGGGCGGCTAACAACACTAAAATAGTGCAACATTATAAAAACATTATAAAAATTAATTAAAATCAAAATTGATGGCAACCATAAACTAAAGTTTTGTAAAGATTGCCAAAGGAGGGAGTCAGGCTGCGCCCTGACCAAAGGCCTGCTGGAACAGCTCTGACTTGCAGGCCCTGCGGAAAGATGTCAAGTCCTGCAGGGCCCTTGTCTCTTGTGACAGAGGTTGGAGCCGCAGCCGAAAAAGCCCTGGCTCTAGTTGAGGCCAGCCTAACCTCTCTGTGGCCTGGGACCTTCAAGATGTATGGGATCCGGATCCCTCTCTTTGTGTTTCTTGAGGAAGAGAAGTTGTGCGAGGGAAGTTAGAAGTAGGTGGGGGTTCATATCTTCATACATACACGTATACACACAGAATTGTGTGTGTTGCCCTGTCCAAGTTCACACACTGATTTCTGGGTGTGTGTTTCTACTTTCTAGTTATATAAATAAAAACATGCACTTTCTTTCTAGTACTTTGAGCTGTTGTGCTTTTAGTGTGTCAAAGAGATAGAATACTAGAAATGATTTGGGGTAGAAAGGGGTTGATTATGTGAACACTGATTGGTCAGTTGATTACTGGTCAGCTTTATCTGATGCATGTAGTTCATAGATACTGAAATATTTTGCATTTGGGTGAAATATTTTTGTACCTTTGAATAAAAGAAGCCTGTCTGAAGCTTTGTGATAAAATGTATGTGTCCTGCCTCTTGAGAGCAGAACAATCATTGGGTTTCTTAAGCTCACATGGCTTCTTACCATCTCTCCCCTGTGTGTGTACATGTTTGTTTATTTAATCCTGAGATTTGGATGAAGCCAAATTATTTGATAGCAAAATTGTCATGGCCAAGTAGTATTTCACTATTTTTAAACTTTAAACTCTGTTCATTGTAGCAGATCATTATATAACCCTTTTTCATTGATATACTGTTGAAAATATATTACGTTGTTGACATGAAAAATAATTGGCCCTGAAGGTCATAGGTTTGTTTCCTTACTGAGACTTAGTTATTTAGCTTTACTTTCTAATAGGTACGTATTTTAATAACTTTCTTATGTGACCGCCAGCTACCCCCTTCATCTATGTATTTTTAACACTTGGATAGGTTGTGGAATGTCCTGGTCCGCTGTCGAGGGGTTTAATTTAATTTGTTTTAATTCAAATGCATACAGTTCGTTCCACCTAGCTCTTTGGTAGGATAGCAGAACTTGGTTTCACTAAGTCTTTCATTCAGTCTGTCTATTACGGCTCCTAATCCTTGGACTTCAAAGCTTCTGCCATTTATAGCCTATTAAAGCCAGGAAGTTTCTGATGGATTAGGACAAGGAATGAGTTTGAAGTTAGTAATGCACACCGCTGTCAACGATAAGGTCTAGTTTATTACCCTACGGTAGTATCTGCACATTTATGGCTATTCTCTTTTAATTGGTTATAGTAAAGCTGGGACCATTAACCTGGTTGAGTATCAAATGTAGGATATCCTGGCCAGTGCTGTATAGGGAACACATTTCTGGCTTTGAGCAAAGTCAGGTACGTTTTCTGTTATTTGAACCAGTTGTATTTTTGATATACATTAATGGGAACTAGAAAGAGAACATCAAAGGTAATTTTTGCTCATGATGGCCCTACAGTAAATTCAGATTTGAAATTGGCTCTTAATATTGGCTACCGCATCGGTGGATATAAAGGCAGTTAGCTTATCCACCTCTCCCCACAATTCCCCATTGATGGCGCCATAGTAACTGTGTAAAGTCATCTCTCTTTATGTATTACCAATTCTCAATTTGTAACTTGGTTGTATAATAAAAAATATTGTAAGCCTTTGCTACAGGCTTACAAAAATTAAAAGGAAATAAACTGAACTCGTGCCAGTGTTCACTGTAAGAGTGTAAAGTTACAGGCAAGTTTGAAGCCCCCACCCTAGTATCTTAATGATTACCTGACATTTCTGAAGTGTGCTTCTTCTGTTTTATTTTAAAATGAAACAATACTAACAAACATGTTGCAAGATTGTAAATCGTGTAAATTGAAGTCAGGCATAATGTGTGTGACATAGCATGAAACTATTAACTGCACAAAATCTAGAACTTGTGCTCTTCCACCTTGGTCCTTAGAAGCTCAGGGAACTATAATTGTAGTAAAATCCAGAAATTAACAAAAACAGGTTGTTTCCATTCACAAAGGTAGCAACGCTAGACTCCCCAGCTCAAGAATTGGTTTCTGAATAAAGAATCAGGAGGACCTTTCTGAGCTGTATTGCGTGCAGCTGCAACATAAGGTCTACTGCATTCTTACAACTGAAAGATCTTTCCAATCTGGGTTCAGGCCTGGCTAAGGAACTGAGTCAGCCTTGGTCGCCCTGATGAATGACCTTTGCAGAGTGCAGGGCAGGGGGAGTGTGACATTGCACCTGCTTCTTGATCTCTTCTTGGCATTTGATCCCTTCAACCATGGTATCGTCTTTGACTGGCTCTAGGGAATGGGAATTGGGGGCACTGTATTACAGTGGCTCCAATCCTACCTTCGGGACCGAGTCCAGAGCGTAGCATTTGTAGAGTGCCTTTCTGGCCCCTGGCAGCTACATTCTGGGGTATCGCAGGGGACTATCTTATCTCTGATGCTATTTAATATCTACATGAAGCCGTTGGGAAGTGGTCCTTGGGAGTTTCAGGGCAAGGTGCTATCAGTATGCTGATGACACTCAGCTCTGTTTCTCCATAACATCTGAATCATCCATGGTGAAATGGATGAGGGTTAGAAAAGCTGAGCTTGAATCATGGCAAGACAATGGCAGTGTGGATGAGTAGCTCCATTGTCTGAGAAATTGGTCAGTTGCCTGCCCTGGATGGGGTTGCACTCCCCTCTGAAGGAGCGGGTTCACAGTCTGGGTTGCTTCTGGATCTATCTGCCACTGGATGCTCAGGTAGCCTCAGTAGCTATAAGTGCCTTTTACCAACTGTGGGTGGTTCCACAGCTACAGCCATTCCTCAACCAGGAAAGCCTTGCCACCGTAGTTCATGCACTAGTTACTTCAGGAATAGATTATTGCAGTGCACTCTTATGTGGGGCTTCCTTCACAAATTAATCTGGAAGCTGCAGTTAGTTCAAGATGCTGCAGCACAACTGCTGACGGGAGTGAGGCCTTGTCAGCATTTACACATGTGCTCAGAGATCTGCATTGGTTGCCAATTTGCTACCGGACCAAGTTCAAGGTGTTAACATTAGCACATAAAGCCCATAACAAGTTGGGACCAGTTTACCTATGAGGTCGCCTTATGCCACATCTGCCCACTCGACCACTTCGATCAGCAGAATTGGCACTACTACAGGTGCCCCGTAACACCTGTTCTACATTTAAAAGAACTTGATCATTTAGTGTGGCAGTGTCCACACTTTGCAACGATTTTAATCTGTTTTAGTATTTTAACTTTTGTATGTTTTAAAGTAGGGTTTTCTTGATTTTACTGTTTTATCTTTTGAGGGGTATTTTGTTTTTGTTTCTTTTGTTTTTTAAATCCCAATCAAGTGTTTTATCAATTTTATGAAATAAGTAAAAAAAATAATGAATGAATCCAGAAGTGTCAGCTTACAGTATCACATCTTTCAGAAAGCCATAAATGCTCTCTCATCGGAGTATTAAAGAGCTTTTGAGGGCTATTGGCTGCATGTATGTAAATAGATAGTTAGACATCATTAGCAGAGTGTTCAGTGTGTAAGGAGGATTGTCAGCTCAGCCAGAGTGCCAACAAATGCATATGACTTGCACATAGGATATTAATTTTAAAAAAGAGACTGCTTGGAAGCTTTGCAGTGTTATAGGAGAAACTGATGTTTTTCACTTAGTCTGCATTTGCTAAAATAAATATTGTGGTCTAAATGTCTGCTGCTAGAAATATTTGTGTAGGCAGAAACATTATTATAATTCTCCCTTCTTATCCAATAACTTTTCATTAACATTTAACTCTAAACTGATGGTTTTTAAGCTCAAGAAAATTATGCAGACTGGGTAAAAGTTACAATATTAAGAGTTGATCTCGTTTCCACTGCTATTGCCACACCATATTCTACAACTTGAAATTGCTGTCACCTCCATAGCATCCTCACTTCACTATTGGTAGTTATACCTATATGACATTTAGATAACACATGAATCTCTAACACAATTTATTCCTGCTCCTTAGCAATGCTGACAGTAGAAGGATATTAATTTAGTGAGCTTATCTCTATTTAGATGCAATGCAAAAAATAAAAAATAAAAAAGTTTCCTTTTTCAATCTGAAATGATGCACAACCTGCTAAAGATGGATATCTATCTGTCTATCCCAGACTTCCCTTAAAGAACGTGGGGGTGACACATCTGGCCTTAGCCTGTTTCTTCTCACTATGACCTTTTGAGGTAAAACTAAACTAAGATAGTGCCTTAGGTCACCCAGTTCAGTAAACAGGATCTGTCTGTTAATTTCTTGCAATTGTTTGGAGTTAAGGAAATATACAAAAACATACAAAAATTAAATTGTCTACTACTGAGAGCGACTAGAATTTTTGTTTGGGTAAGGAACTTATATTTAGGTCATCACAGTGTCACAGAACATGGCTCTAGAAAGCCACCATTTCCTCCTCTCATCTTCTCTTGTGTCTCACTAGATACTCACATGGCTCCGTTCCTCTTCCATCTCATCTGATTCATACCTAGCCTTTTCTGGAGTGTATACCTTATTGCCCCTCTCTGTAGCTTGCGTGTATTTGTGTACACGCAAAGTGTGTATTCTGCCACTGAACCAAGGCCTCACTAAGAGTGCTAGTAAGAATTAATTATATAAAACATTTTTTAGTTTTAACAAGGGCCACCTTGGAGTAGGAAACTGAAATGATTATATTTCCAAAACCTCTCACTCTGTATTTCTTGTTTCTTTTGCTCATCTGGGCCAATTCCGCCTTTCTTAAAACCCCTCCAAGGTAAACTTTCTTTTCATAGTTGTTTAGTGTGGTTTGGAAAGGGGTACAGTTTTCCTAAGGAAGCTGTCTCAGGTATTATGTTTGGATGCCAGCATCTGAAGTGTGCAGAACTTTATATGTTCTTTTGGAGTACTCTGTAAACTATGAAATCAGACTCTCCTAGCAGTGAAAATGGACATCTGACCATAATCTCCATCAACTGTGTTTTCAGGAAACAGAGATGTTTTCATGTACATCTCTTTTATGTGTACCTACTAATACCATATGATGTCAGTCACAGAGCAGTGAAAGGGATCTCTTAGGCCTGATATCAGTGCCACAGTACTAAGATCAGAGAGAATGTCTCCTTGTGAGTAAAAGGCAGGAGAGGGATCTCTTGTCTGGTCTTAGTGCCAAGCACCACAGTGCCATGATTGGCAATGAGCCCTCTGCCTGCCTTTTCTGTAAAGTGCAGGCAGAGGGTTCTTTCCAGTTACCCCCTTCTCCCAGATCTGGAGTGGAGAGGGCTGGGAGTACCGAGTGAGTTACTGACCTGCTTGCCTGATGTGTTGGAGTGCATGTATGAGTGTTAGAGAGTGCTGAGTGCTTGGTGTCTGGTGATGTGTATTTGTAACAAAGGGAAGATAGGGGTACATACTTTTTTCCCCTTTTTGGGGGGGTTGTCCCATCTACTTTTGCCCCATCAGTCATTGGAATGTGTGCATGCAAACGCACGCACGCACCCAGAGAGAGAGAGAGAGAGAGAGAGAAAAGTATGGTTTCCCCACCCCTGTATTAAATAATGATGTATGTTCTTAATGCTAGTAGTATTCAAAGTCGTACCTGTATGTCAAGGTTGTTTGAATTAATTGGAGTGTCGGAATGCATTGGATGAAGTTCAGTGTTGTGCAGTTATAAATGTTGCATCAGTGCAAGCATATCAGCTTGCGAGACAAAATTATTCCCTCTCCCCTCTCACTGCATGCTGTTCTGGGGTTCTCCCACAGCCATTTGTGAGAGGAGGAGAGGGGGGAACAGTCCCATTGTGCAAGCAGACATCCATGCGTAGGGCTTCCACTGATAGGGTTTGTCAAGTGAATCCTTCCCATAGTTTAATTGTCCTGCTGTACTCATGGCCTAGTACATCCATAGAGCACAAGGACTTGATTGGGGGATGGGGGGGAGGTGTAATAAAACTGCAGATGAGATACAGCAAAAATGCAAATAAAATCTTAGATTTTGTTCTTCTTCACAGAAACTGTTTGGCCGAAAGTTCGAGTGCCACTAAAGGTTGTACGGACCACAGAAAACAAGTTGAGTAACCGCTTCTTCCCCTATAATGAGATTGAAACGGAAGCAGTGTTGGCCATTGATGATGACATAATCATGTTGACATCAGATGAGCTGCAGTTTGGTTATGAGGTAAGACGGCTTCTGCTTTTTGCATGACTTGAGTTGATTGAGTTAAATGCTTCTGGGGACAAATCCTCAGCTAAAATGTTCTTAACCTTCAAGTAGTGCCATGATGCATAATCAGCATAAAGTTCTTGCAGCTATCCAAGAAATGTTGTTAATCTTCAGAAAATATTATCTTTGCATTTTGCTGCCCTTGCTCCCCAGCATGGAGGGAGGATTAGTTATAGTTCTTTTCCAACTCATGTGCAAGGTTAGCACATAAAGATGTGTGCCAGAGAGCCTGAAAGATGAAACTCTTGGACAGAAGCAGAGGGGAAACTATATTTGTATTTCTCTCATGATGCTTTTTGGGGATTTCCAAAACCTGTCTTTCTGTGTTGCCCGTTTAGTCTTCTACTATAAGCAAAAGTTTGTCTACAGCACATTGGATGATTAGTATGACATAGGCCTCCCCAAAATGCTCAGGACAGCTTAAATTAAAATAGAAACAAATTAAATATACAATAACCATAGGAATGATACCATAAAATATGAAGCAGCATGAAAATAAGTCAAGAGCAGAAAATAAAACAGCACATTCCACAACCAGGATGCTACCACTGAAAAGGCCCTATAACCACCTGCCACACCCTACCTGGCAGGAGTCCCTGGAGAAGGGATTCGAAGATCCTGGAGTGACTGCTACAGCTATTACTAGCCCTCATCCAACCCACCACCATGTCTAGATACTGGTTTAGGACTTGCATGGCCACACAACAAATTTCCTAAAGATCATCCCCAACAGCTTCATATTGGGGGTGTGAGTGTGCCCAGCAGTACTTCACAACACAGCTGCCTGTGGCAATCACCCAGTACCATTCTCTGAAACTAACCCCATAGATAGGAGCCAGACCACAGAGTCTGTCCAGGATGATGCCATCAAAAGGAACTAAGAGCTAAACCAGAAGCAACAGGGTCACACTCCCCTTATTCTTATCTCGATAATGGTCATCAGTCAAGGTGACCAAGAGCAGTGCAGTCCTGTCACCAGGCCTGAACACAAACTGATAAAAGGTATAGAAAATCTGTATAACTTACAACCCTATTGAGACTCTTCTCCTCCCAAAAGAACATTAGCATCCAGGTGGTAGCCAGGATGAGCGAAGATCGAGAGAGTACATGCTGATTGCATTGTTGCCAGTACCTGTTGGCACTGCTGTTGGCAGTGTCATCAGGCCACGTTAATTTTGTGGTGCCCTCCAAGGGTGAGGTTCACCACTCCTGGAGTTCAGCATTGTGGAAGCTATAGAAATCAAAGAAGTTGACAGTGCTGAACGTTACAGAATAATTTAGGAAAAGTCATTGGTTTTGGCTGGAAGTTGAAGGTGTGAGAGGAGAAGATGAACTCATGTCAGAAAGCTTGTTTTTCCTTTAAGTGTGCAGGTTTGTTTGTTTTTTTAATAAGGGGGATATTGTTTTAAGTGGCAGAGAGGGGAATGAGATGGTCTGGATCCTCAAGTAAGAAACTAAGGAAGAATTAGAAAGGAGTGGGTGAAATAACAGTAGCTTAGTACAAAAGTGCTCTTTAGATTTTCTCCATAATCATGAAGAATAAGCTTAAGACAGTTGACATTATATGGAGTTGGTTTGACAATTGAAATACTGACTTAAACAATAATAAAATATATGTGGAAAAAAGAGATTTAAGTATGCCATATGTGTCTCCAGACAGGGAGGTTCTCCCATGGGGATTAGCAGTTATATGAGCAGCCGAGCTTATATTTTCTTCTTTTGGGGAAACATGGAGGATGGAAGGTTACACTCAAACAGGAATGTGGACAAGTACAGAACTGCTCTGTATTCACAATGGAAGGCTAGACAAATGAACATGCAGCCTGCTCTGGTTCAGAACACACCAGGAAGGACAGAGGATAAGTTTTCCTTTGACACATAAGCTTTCAGAAAGAAGAGAGATCTTGACATGGGACTGCTTTCAAATAAGCAGTTTCCTTGGGCAAGTCTCCAAGAGGACTGTGGCATGTTGGTTTGAATAGACTTGGCTAAATAATCTCATGTGTCTGGACTGCTGGCAAAGGGCATGGTCAGCTGTAATCTGGGGAATTGGCTGGAGTATCTGTATATGCGTTGTTTTTGTGTACTTGAAGAATTTGCATTCTAAGTGTGGCTTAGATTCGGTAAATCAAAACTTACAACAAATTGTAATAATATAGACCATTTAGGAGAGGAGGATATAAAGGTAAAATTTGTTAAGAAAAATCTGGGAGAATGCAAGAACCATCAGTGACTTGGCAGGCCAAATGCCTATTATTGAAATAGAAAGGTGGCAAAAAGCCATAAAGAAGGGTGCAAAATAAGCCCCCTAAGGATGCCCACTAGGAACGTGCTCTGATGTGTCCCAACCAGCCATATCTCTGATGTTGGGACTCGGAGGACCTTGGACAAGGGCAGGAGGAAGCTGCAGCTCATATTTCTCTTTAAACGTAAGAACATCAGAAATTATACCAAACACGCACTGACCACTCTTTCCATATATAGATCACTTCACAGTGGCTCATGTTAAAGAGGCTAAGTTAGTTTCTCAAGGCAATATAGTGATTCAGTGACTGAACTGGGGATCTGTAACTCCCAGTCCCACATTTGAACTTCAGGGTCCATTTTACCTAGTTTGCCTGACTTATGTTGGCCAGATGCTTGGATTGTGGAACTGCCTGAATAACAGCCTGGATAGTCTTTGTGTGAATTTGCTGCCATTTGGACAGAGCTTCCTCTGATTTGGCAGACACATCTGAGTCTTGCAAAAGCTGTTTTCCTCTTAGTGTGTTTAAAATAGTAATAATCACAACAGCCACCAATTTATAGAATAATTGTAGAATCCAGGGCAATGCCATACATGTGGGATAGAAAAGAGCCCTAAAACATATCTGTTTTAGCACAACCATGCTAATTTTTAATATTAACCGGGGAGGCAGGAGGGAACTGAATCAAACATCCAGAGTGTGGCAGTTCCTTTTTTATGCTGTTTCCTCTATAAGAGCATGAGGGGAAGTGTGTATAAATGCAGTTCCTACCTTTAACCCGCAAATCAGTGACTGCAGATCAATCTTCCCTGGGCCAGAGTGTCTTTGACTTGCTTGACAGGCCTGAGCTGGCTACCAGATGTTTAACTTGTCCTCGGCCTGTGGTAATTTATTTATCTGTTTATGTATTTCACCAAGAAAGTATCTGTTGCATTTCTGAGCAGTTTGCAAGGGAATTCTGAGGGAACAGTAGCAACATATAATGTTACCAGGAGGGTTTCTTTTTTAAGTGTCTTGCTTCAGTCAGGAGAAACATTTGGAAACGTGATGTTGGTAACGTTCTTCCTCTGCTTATTCTCCAGACCTTGTTTAAACATGTGGCTGAACTTTCTAGCAGCACAGACTTGTCTGGCTGTATCGATTAGGCTCTTTTTATAAAAAGAAGAAGAGAAGGGGGGTTACTTTGATCTCTGTACACTTTCAGCCATAAAAATTAAAGTAACACTCAAAAGTGTCAGACATTTTTTTTACTTGTTAAAAGTGAACTATTAGGGTCCCTAATGATTTATTGCATGGTGCAAAACTACTGAAGCAAGAGCAATATAGCCCCTATGTGCTGTTTAATTTAAGGAGGCATGCGAATATCTACAGCTCTGTGACTTGAAGTGGAAGCTTTGTGAGAAGTAAGAGGACAGCTTTTCAGCATTGTGTTGACAGAAGTACTGACAGATAGTGTTCTGTGCTCTTAAACAGTTAGGACTATACAACATTTCTACCCATTCATCAGCTGTTTCTGTTCCCCTTACAAGAAAGATAAAAGCAAAAGAGCAAAGAAATGTAACATGGATTCAGCTGAACATAATTTTTGAAAATGAAGGCGAAGCAGACCGGTCTTGCTCTAAACCACATTTTTCATTTTCAGCCTTTATGCAGCTGGAAGCTACCTTTCTTTAACCATGACGTGGTTGTGTTTAAAATTTGTTTCTTTGTGTCCCAAAATATACATTTAATATCAATTGTAGTGCTTATGAATCTCTCTGTTTATCTCTCTGTGTTGGGAATTGTCGGTCTTATGTTCTTTGTGAGAAGCCAGTGGTTTCAGCTCTGCCTGCTTCTGTACACTGCTGAAAAAGAGGGATAACTCTTGCTTGTTCTTGTAGCCCAGCTTGCTTGTAAAACCAACACACAGGGGGCGACAGGCATGCTAAGCTCTACCCCCATCACTGTGACTATATTCCTTGTCCAAGACTTGGAAGGCAACCTCCCAAAGTGGAGATCCTCATGCGCTCATGGCGTCTCCCCACAGAGTTTAGAACCCTGAAAGAGCCATGGTGGCGATAAGGGGGAACTTACTGTGCTCATCCCTGCTTCCTTATGAGCTCTACATGTGAATAGAATGCCTGAGGCAGGCTTATGTTTCGCATTGATGATAAATGCTAAGTGCCTGTTGAGGCTGAGCAAAGATTTCTGCTCTTCTTGCCGTTTAAGGTTTAACTTGGCACACTTCCTGTATATTAATAGAAAAACAAGTCAGGCGTGGGGCAAAGCCAAAGTGTCAGCTAGGTATGGAAAAATGTTTGGCTGCTGCTGTTGTCGTTTTTACCTAGTTCTAATGCTCTTCGACATGTAGTTGCTGGACTTACACTTTGCCATTCTTCTGCTACGGTAATAAAGCGAGCACTATGTCCTATATGAGCAACAGCTGTTTTCCCTATTAATCTAAAGTTTAGGCTCAAAACTTTCCTATGAGTATATTTTCTTAACTGTTCATAGAAGAATGTATGCTGTCTTCAACATATGAGCATGTGATTACCTTTATATGTGGTCACCAGTTAGCAATAAAACAGAGACTAAGACTGCCTTTATCACCCATTCTAGCTCAATCTTTATGCATTTCTGGTCATGAAACTGTGGTTTGGAGGCAAGGAATGTGATGTCTGAATGGAACCTGGGTTTTGCCTCTGTTCCTAACTTAGAAGTAGTAAATAGCCCATCCTTTCGGGAGCCTCTCATTTCTTCTCCATCATTGTATTATACATAAGTATGTTTTGGGTGCTTCAGAGCAGAAGAAAGGTGGAACAACTCCAGCATCTCAGGGTAATTTTAAGATAATTTATGAATAAATCAATTTATAAGCTATACTACAGGCCTCCTTATATTTCAAAGCTAAATTAGATTAGCTTTATCATACTTATACAAGCAACTTGTATAATTTTTCTGAAATAATATAATTTAGCACGATAAGCCTTAAAATGTTTTTATTTCAATTTCACTGCCTGGTTCCTTCCTCTGCTTCTGTTTATTAGACATACTTCAGTTTACATCAGAGTGTTGTGATGTTCGTAGTCTCTAATACATGCACTATGCCAGTCAGCTGAAACTGTCTTCACAGCTGAACCTGCCTATTTTCAGCTTTCTTCCCCAGTCTCTCTTTAACCATTATCTCTTCTCTTCCCCTATAGCTGTCCTTTTCAACCCTCCCCCACCTCCAAGTTTTTCCCTTAAGTTTCCTGTCTGGCCTCTCATTATCTGATCTGCCTTTATGGCACAACACTTCTGCACTGGTAGGTGCAAAGAGTTGCAAACTCAGTGACACTGTAGCAACACTTCTGCAGGGCAAAGAAAAAGATGGGACATCATAGAGACTGCAAGGAGAGCTGCTCGCCATTTTGCATTATAGGTCTTTCCATAGGGTCAGAAATAAGGGACTGATGCTAGAACCTTGGACAATGCCAACAAAATAAAAAATAAGGGTAGAGAAGAGGGGAAAGCCACCAAAAGAATGTTTGGAAAATGTTTGAGAAATGAAACCAGGCCAGGTTTGAGCTGTGAAACCCCAGATTCTGTGGCACTAATGTATGACTGACAGCATTAAAAGCAGGGAGAAAGAAGGAACCGAAAAGCAGAAAGACAGGGTGAGAATCTTTGGGTTTGACAAGTAAGATTCTTGTGTAAGATTCTTGTGCATTTTCATCAGAACTGTCTTGGTTGAATTATCGGGATGTAAACCATATGAAATAAGTCAAGAAGCATTTATCAGAGTGAAAATGGAGACACCAAATGTAGACTGACCACATGAGAAGTTAGCTAGCTCTTCCATTGTTTCTGATGTTTTGACTGTGATCTGTCAAAACCGATCCACACATTATGTGGCAGTCATGTTTAATGTGAATACACTGGTGATCACAATGTTTAATGTGGTGAGCACTCAGAAGTGTCAAGGCGGAGATGCACATCTCCTGTCACTTGTGGGTAATAGTGGAGATGAATTACCATTGGTACATATATAAGAACATAAGAAGATCCCTGCTGGATCAGACCAAAAGCTCCATCAAGTCCAGCATTTGGCAGTGGCCAGGCAGATGTTTCTAGGAAGCTTACAAGCAGGTTATGCCAGAAACATCCCTCTCTTGCTATTACAGATCAAACTACTTGCCCAGCATTGCCTAGTCTGACTTGTTTGACTTCCTGTGGTCCTTCAGGGACTCTAGACGAGGTCTTTGCCATCACCTGCTATCTGACATCCTTAAATGGAGATGCTACGGCTTGACCCTGGGACTTGCCTGATGTTGAGCGTGTGCTCTTCCACTGAGTATGCTCCCTCTGCAGAAACTGCTATTCAGTGGCGTACTGCCTCTCAGTATTTACTTATAGGCATACACAACTTCTTCCGTGCTTTACAGTGCTCACTGTAGTGAACAGTGGTACGTAGGTGAAGCACACCTGTCACATTATCCCTAAAATGTCTGATTAGTGCCAGTAGCATTGCTTGTGCCAAGCAAGAGAAGCACCCATGTTATTTTCAAATGTTCACACATACACATACGTTTTGTGTATGTGTGAATTGTAACCACAGATAACTAAACAATGCACTTCACAGATAGAACTTCCTCTGTCTTTAAATGGCCTACCTGCAATTTGTACCACCGTATTATTGGGCACGCGCATCTTTCCTTTCCTGCTCACTCCGGGAAATGTGTCTTTGAGTAATGTAGCCAGCACTGTATGTAAGGGGTGTATTAATGATGACTTGTCCCTATTCTTGTCAGCTTGTGTTTTGATCTGGTAGTCGCTAGCAGAGTAATGAAGTGATAGGAATAAGCATCTTGATTGTATCCAGGTGCCAGGAACAAGGCAAGTGGAAAGAAACTGTAGCAGTACTGCTACCAAAGCACCTAGAAAGTTGTTGAAAAACATAAAAAAGTTCTCATGTATGTCCAAAAGTGACTTGAGCCACACTAGGAAATGATTCATACAAAACTACTAGATTTTACTAGATTCGTCCATATAAAAACTGTTCACCTCATGATCAAAGCATTTGTCTTAACCCGCCTGCCCAAAGTCTAAACATGAAAGCTGAAATTGTTTTTTGTTTATTTTTGTAATAATAAGCCATATTTGCACAAACATTTTTTTTGCATTTTCGAAAGTGCATATTGTATGAAGTACTCTTTGTGAAGATTTATTGTTTCAGATTACTGTGTCACTAGGATATTATTTTTTTACTCACTCCAAATGCAGTATCACAAACTGTCACTGTGGTCACTGACTGAAATGAAAAACAGTCATATCTGAAGCTGTTTGGGGGAGCATATGGTAGGTGAAAGGAATTGAAGAAAGTGAAATAGGCTGTCAGGAAAGACTTTTGTATGAATCAACCATTTAATCTCCAATAATCCTTTTGCAAGGGAAATGAAAGCAGATGACTGCTTAACACAGCTCAAGAAAACAACCTAAATGTTTCGAAGACACTTGGTTATAACATCCCATAAGGATGACAGGCTGCCTGAAGAGTCTTGATCCCTGTACTATATTGATGTACAGTAGAGTGATATTTAGCAGCCAATGCCAGGTTGACAGAGGGACAACTGAAAGTTGGCTATAGACCAGAATTGGGCAAGGAGGAGCAGCAGTGCTGATGCCACAGTAGGAGGTGGGGGCACACCCACCATTCCCACAAGAACAGATATAATAGTAGTAGTAGTAGTAGTAACAACTGCTTTCAGAAAGGCCCAAGGAGAGAGCAGCTGCTGAAGCAAACATCACAAAATGGGAAGGGGAAGGTTGGTCAGGGGAGTTCTGATTTACACCATTGTAACCTGTGGCAGACACTCTGTATTTATCTATAACTGTTATTTTCTGGGTCCAGCTTTTTGGCGAATACCGTTAGCATAACACCTCAGTTATACTCTGCAGGTATGGAGAGAGTTCCCTGACCGGCTTGTCGGATATCCTGGTCGCCTACATTTGTGGGACCATGAAACAAGCAAGTGGAAATATGAGTCGGAGTGGACCAATGAAGTTTCAATGGTGCTCACAGGAGCAGCGTTTTACCACAAGGTAAGAAGTGACATAATTCTGAAGTAGTGGGTTTGCATGTGGCATAGGGACAGAGCCTTGTATGTCAGTAGTGGATGGTAGACACGTTATAGCATAATGCAGGCGTCGGTGATCTTCCTCTGATGTGCTGGTAAAGGCAGATATGAAGGCGAAAGAAGCCACATTCTGTTGGTGGATCCCTTGGAATAAATTGTCTATCTGTTTGGAATATTTGGATACAGACTCAGAGGTATAATGTTACGGGTTTTTCAGCAGAGGGGAAGGGCTAATATGTTTGCATACAAGTGGCTATTTTTATTCATCTCTGCCCTTGAATGGCACATTCCATATTTTAAAAATGTTTTTGAAAGATTCATTGATTTGAAAGAAGTTCACCGTGTGACATTAGGAAGGCTGTGTTTGAGTAGCTCAAGCCCAGACATTTCATGGCCATGTGGTACTTGTTCTTTGGATCTAGGCTACTGGCACAAATAAGATTATCAGAAAAGGTTTTGAGCGACATTTACAGTGGAATGATGAGGTAATGCTTGTGTTTCCGGAAGCCACGCCTTGGTTTCTGAATGTTTCGGAAGTCGAATAGACTTCCGGAACGCATTCTGTTCGAAAACCAAGGCACGACTGTAGTTGGTCCAGCGAGTTCAAATTGCGGCTTTCCGTTTTAAAATGCCATGTTGGATCAAGTATCTAAGCTACTGAAGAGATTAGGGAATAGCACAGTGGGGTGGGAATACATGTTGGGCATGATACACCTCTAGTGGAGTTGTATCTTCGGGGCTGCCTGCTCCCATGTACCTGCTTGTGTACTGCACTAATCCTCACAAGTCCTTCTCCAGTTGCCCCCATAGTGGTGACCAATGACAGCCTTTCCAGTAGTGGCATGCCCATCTTTGGAATACATTCCTTTAGCGCCCACTCTCTCTGTGGCACCAGGCAAGGATCTTTTACATTTTTAAAATAAAAGGTATTTTAAAATGCCACCTGTGTTTTGGAGCGTGCGCACCCCTCCAATTTTATTTTTCTGCTGTTTTATTTTTATTATGCATTTGTTTATTTTTAATTCTAATTCTGATTCTAATTTTATTATTAATTCCATTGTGTTTGTACTCGGAGCATGTATAAAATAAAAGTAATCATAAAATACAGTTGGTTCCATCCAATGGTGCAAAGGCCAACCTGAAAGGGACTGCTGCAAGGATGTGGCATAATTTTTTGTGCAAACCTCTGTTAATTCCCAGTGGAACCTGCTCACTTAACTCCCATTCCAGTTTAAACCTGTCTTGGTTTTTTATGGTTTAGGAAACCTGCAACTGCAGCAGATATTCACAAATATTACTTTTTTTATCTCAAATCGCTTTTCCTTTCTGCAGTATTTTAACTACTTGTACACATACAAAATGCCTGGGGACATCAAGAACTGGGTGGATGCTCACATGAATTGTGAGGACATTGCCATGAATTTTCTAGTGGCCAATGTTACTGGAAAAGCGGTTATTAAGGTAAGCTTTGCTTCAGCTGTTTCTCTCAGACATGGTAATGTTTTGTTTTATTCATGCCATTTTTTTTAATCCCACCCTTCCTTCAAGGAACTCGATGTACAGGTTACCCCTCACAACAGCCCTGTATAGTAGATTAGGTTTAGGCTGAGAGACAGAGTGACTGGCTCAGGGTTACCCAGTGATCTTCATGACAGAGTAGAGATTTGAATCTAGATCTCCCATATGTTCCCAGCTATTACTTTTGGACAAATGTCACATGGATTTGAGGAGTTTGAGCCATTTTGGTTGCGTAAGGAGGTGTTGATCCCATTAGCTGTGATCATTCTGACCAGACAAATGTTGTGTTGGGTGGGGGTGGGGGTGTGGAGGGGAGAGCAAGTTAAACATTTTTTGTTCAAATCACTGAGCAAAATTAAAAGGAGGAAAACATGCCCAACCCGATCCATCCCTGTCTATCTTAACTGGCAACAGCTGATTTATAGGAATGCTAATTGCAGGAATGTTAATTGCAAGATCAGTTTTTAAATGAACTTTTATCCCTGAATTAATTTCCTGACATGTTTCAACACATTTCCTTGGCCTGGATGTTCACTTTGTCTGCTCATTTCAAAGTGTGTCAACTCGGAATGAGATTTAGAGGCCTCCAGGCATTACTTCAATTAGCAAGGTCTGCTTTCCTGCCTGTCCATCATCATTTATCCAGACCGGTGGCTGTGTTTCCTAGAAAAGCCTTAGAAGATAAAGTGTGTGTGTGTTTGCTGTGAGAGTTTCTGAACTGTGCAAGGGCACTGCAGAGTCATTTGGCACCTCGGTGCAGTTGGGAGAGCCTCGCAGAGTTTGCCAGTCAGCTATTAAGTGAGCAAAGTGTGTCTGTTGGATTAAGGTTACGGTGAAGTATGGGAAGCTATATTTCATCGCTCTTATGGCTGCAAGAACAAATGGTGTTTATACAGGGACCTTGGCAGTGAGAAAACAGTCATTAAACAGGAATTAAGGAGCTTGTCATCGCCACTACTTTCCACTTACAGAAGGCAAAACCCCTCCAAGCATTTTTTATTGGGTCACTGTGAGTTTTGCAGTCAGCTGGGCCAGATGGAACTAAGTGGCATAGGTTCTCCCCCCCCCCCCCTTCGAGGGTTTGACTTACAGTACAAATATGTTCAAGGGCACTGTGCTGCATTTCTGAACGCGGGGGTTAATGTTTGTGCTGTGACAATGTTGTGTTGACTTTGCACAGGTGACCCCAAGAAAGAAATTTAAATGTCCAGAATGCACAGCTATTGATGGGTTATCACTAGACCAAACACACATGGTGGAAAGGTGAGTGTCCCATCCTGTTCCCTTTGCCATTCCCAGTGCTTAATCCATAAGAGTCTTTGAAGTTAGGACCAAATCATTCACTGCTTTTATTTACAAAAACATGGTTACACAGATCTAATTTGCAAAGGCAGTTTTAGCATGAGACAACTTGCCCGTTACTTATGCTGAGAAGCTAGCCGATTGCATCCTGAGCCCAGCAGGTCTATTGGGTTTGAATATGTACTATACACACATAGGAGCACAGGCATCCTTGTGCTTAATAAGACGGCATGTCAAGCAATAATAGAATTGTTTCAAGTAAATTAAAACGATAAACTTATTAGAATGATAGAAAACCAAAAATAAAATTATACAAAAAGAGAATGATCTGAGCTCAAGGCTTTGGAGGTGAAGCCTGCATTCATATTTTAGCATGAAAGCAGATAGAAATAAAACACGGTCCCCTTTTGCCTATCTCCTTTCATACTTCCTTAATGACTCCATTAAAAAGCATATTTTGCTACCTTTTGAAATAGGGTTTAGTGGTACTGAACTGATTTCAACAGGCCTTAACTGTCAAGTCTATGTTGCCATGAGAGAGGGAAAGTATGGCATATTAAGAATAATCTGAAATGCATACCTCTAAATGAGAGTAACTGAGAGAAACAGTATTATAGTACAAACAAATTACCTATTGTGTTATATTTCAGAATCTTGAGCTCTGTAATTCTGGATAGAAGGGCACCAAATCAGAAGAGAAATAGCTATTTGAAGCACACTTACCAGACATCTACACACTCCTTCCTTTATAATGCTTTGCAACTATAACAATAGGGATATTTTGTATTCACTTTGTGCTCTTTCCATCACAATGTTTCACTGAGAAGTTAAGAGATCACTGGTGAAATGGACACTGTCACAGGCTTTGTGAAGGACTGATTTATGAGAAGAGATTAAGACAAATATATATAGCCTCGATAAGAAATTACTAAATAGGTATAAGTCTTCAAGTATTTAAGAATGTAAACACCAAGCATGGTGATAAGTTATTTTGGGTGGCACAAGGATATATAATATGAAAAAAGGGGATTAAATTCAGGAAAAGCCATCAGGAAGTACTACTTAATCATGACATCTTATGCTATAGATTAGAATAGTTTCCAATTGGAGGGGGTGGATTCCTTAGGAACTTAAAATGTGAAATGAACCTTATCCTTTTCCTCCTGTGTGGGCCCTCTGACACTCTCATCATGAGTCTTGTCAATGAACAAACTAGGCTGTCACCTATGTAGCACTATGTTCCACATTTTAATCAGCCCCTAAACTGTGTTAATTTTGAGAGGAACCTTTCCTTCCAAGCAGTCTTAAGACAGGACTGCACTAACTTTAGAGGATTCAGAGGCAAGATCTAGTTGCACAGTATTCTTCATTTTCAATTTAATATCATAGCGTTGAATCCTCTTGTCCATGGCTTAGATCTTATTTTGTGTTCTACCTCCCGTGTTGGAGGCAACATTGCCTCTACATACTGGTTGCTGAGAATCGCAGGTTGGTTGGTTGGTTGGGTGAGTGCTGTTGTGCTCAGCTTCTGCACATAGGCTTCCCATGGGCATCTGCTTTTCTACTGTGAGAACAGACTGCTGGATTGGGTAGGTTTGGCCTGACCCAGCAAGCTCTTCTTACATTATCATATCTGGCTTCTCAGATTTTCAGGCTTAGGTATGGTTCTACTGCTGTAGACTTAAATTCCTCATCTGCACCACTTCCACAGCATATCTGAATGAGATAATAGTTATGAGAATCATCCAATGTGGGTGTTGGGTGCGTGAATGGGCCTGTGGTACTAGTCATGTTTCTCCCATCATTTTGGGCTGATGCATTTGATCCGGATGTGCTGTTCACGCCTTTAAAGGTAGAAATCACATTTGGCTTTAATGTCCATTGTGTTTACGGGATATCATTTAATTTTCATTTCTGTCAATAGCTTTTATCATGCAGATCCCCTCCCTCAAATATCAAGTTGACATTAATTTCATACAGGATATTGAAAGAGCTGCTGTACTGACATTATTCTTATTTATTCTTATAAATAAATCTCAAAGGAGTACAGGGTGGTGCACTTCATACATATTTGTGTGTTCATTTTGCAGGTATCGAACTGAATGTACTGCACACAAAATTAGTATCCTAGCACCTATGTTTTTGTCTGTTTTGGAAATCCAAGTTTCCAATCCTAATGCTTACTGAGAAAAACTTTCAGATTTATAGGCATTGTTGATTTCAAGCTAGTGAAAAGTTTTAAAAGTTTCTAGTGGCCTTATGGAAGGGACACTAATACCCCACAATGGACATCATCCTCCATGGCAATTTTTTCTTGCTTCCCTCAGCTTACTGACCACTTAATCATAATTGCCATGCCCTTACTTCCCTTGTTACTTTACCATCCTATTCCTTACTTAAGACTTTCCCCATCATAAAACTGTTTCCCACTATTTGGCATTGAATGAGTTTTTGCACCCTTTGTATTAGCATGCTCACTGGAACTTAGTATGTTAAACATCCAGCACAGTTTACCAGGGTACCTTGTAGACATCAGAGTTCTAACAGTTATATTCTTTCAGATAAATTTGTTCTGTTACTTACTGCTAACCCCATGGGGAGATGGGGTAAAATCCAATATTATTAAATATGGATACTTTATTTCACTCAGTTGGACAATGAAAATAAACCAGTCAGTTTCAGGTTTGGGTTTTAAAGTAATGTTGTATTTCAAGCTCTCAAGTACAATCAGTGCTGTACAGACCCTAAAGAGAATGCTTGTTTGTTTTTAGGGGAAACCCTGTTTCCAGGGAATTTTTAAAATAAAATAAAAAAATCCAAGAACTATTTCAGAATGCCTTTTGGTTTCTTAACTGCTTATTTTTGCAAGGCCTGTTCTGAGCCAAATTCAACCTGACAGTGGCTCTTTAAGAGCTATGTTGGCAGCTAATCCACCCTAGTTTACAACATGTACATTGCTTTAAGAATGCCTGGAATTCTGGTGGGGAGGGAATAGGGAATCTTTGACCTCTGTGGAAATGTGCAGCTGACAGCATCTCCTTTCTCTTCGCTACGATTAAATGCTTCAGTCAAAGAGCTTCACATCTTTGCCAAATCCTATATGGTATGAGGCTCCGCCTCCTGTTTTGTGCATCTGACCAAGTAGGAAAATGCATGCAATAGTTTGCTAGGTTTAAGGTGCCAATGGCCCCTTTACTGTACTTCCTGTCAGGAGCTCGTCCTACACCCAAGTAGGACCCTGGCAGAGACACATGCCCAACTGGCATGTTCTCTCCCTCCTGGTCGATCGTTCGGGAGCTTCAAAAGCTTTTTTCAGCCCGAACATCACAGCGACCGATGCCAACAGATATCGGCACACTTAGGGATCCACAGAGTGTTCGCAGTTTATGTAACAGACCTCAGCAACTCAGCATTTTGGCTAGTCTACTTTATTTACATATAAGCACACACAGAGCACTGCAGCATGGCTCCCTCTCTCTCTAACATCAGACAGCAAAGAGAAAAGGGACAAAGGACAATAGTCCCACTTCACAGAACACAGTAACACAAACATCCTGTCTCTGTCACTTCCCACTCTGTGGAGTCAAAACATACACCGCCATGTGATAGGCAAAATCCCATGACTGCAATCATGGAGCAGGAATTCTAACACTTCCTACAACTTACACAGTGACTCCTCCGAACCCACTTGTGTGCTCACCACCCCACATGTATTTGATGTACAGCTCTGGGAAGACTAGGATCTTCAGACAGCAAGATTACAGATGCACACCTTAATTATGAGAGTAAAGGAGAGTCCCTAACTACCCAAGCCTGAAGACTGAGTGTAATAATTTGCTACAGGAGAAAAAAGAAGGGAGGGAGTATACCTGATCTAGGAGCAAGTGGTGTGCAAAGTCAGGAATAGCGGGCTGTGTCTTCTGTGTTAAGCTGTCTCCTTAGAATCCTGTGCCAGCAAAGTTACAATATTTCTTGCCCATTCTTTGGTTTGTGGTCTAGGGAAGCAGAAAGCTTTATCCATAAGATCGCAGAGCCAATAGGGGGTTCTGTTGGAGGTGTGAGCTACCAAAGCACTTAAAATCTGAGGTGTAAATACAGTGTTGAGCTAATTCACCTCAGTGGATAGGAGAGGGGGCTTTCTGGATGAGGGAATACTATAAGACCTGTATTCCTTTGAATCATTTGAGGGTTGTTGGGTTTTTCTTTGCAAATTCCTGTACTTTAAAAGCATCCTGCCTACTTCTAAAAGGCTAAATATAGTTAAAGGGCAAAGGCCAAGTTATAGAGGAAAGTTTTTGCCTGGTGCCTGAAGATAATACAATGATGGTGTTAGGTGACGCTCCTTGGGGAGAGCATTCCACAAATGAGGAGCCACCACAGAAAAGGCCTGTTCTCGTGTTGCTACTTTCCTGACCTAAGATGATGAGCTCGGGGGTTCAGGCTGGTTCAAATGAGGAGAGGCGGTCTGCAATATATTGTTGTCCTGGATTGTTTAGGGCTTTATTGCTCACGAGCAGCATTTTGAAATGGACCTAGATTGGCAGCCAGTCCTGTCGGGGCCAGGATTGGTTTTATATGCTTAAACTGTCTTGCCGAAATTCTGCACTAACTGAAGTTTCCTAATCGTCTTCAGAGGCAGCTCCACATATAACGCTTTGCAGTAATCCAACCTAGAGGCTACTAGAGAATCAGCAACAGTGGTTAGGCTATCCCTGCCCAGATAGAGGCACAGCTGAGCATCCAGATGAAACTGATGGAAGGCACTCTGTGTCACCAAGGCCATCTGAGCCTCAATCAACAGCAAAGGATGAAGAAGTACCCCCAAGCTACGTATCCACTCTCAAAAAAGAGCAAATGATGTAAAAAATCCACATTGGCACCCAGTGTTAACAGTATATAGTGTTTTAAGAGAAGATTAAGTTATAGTAAGCTAGATAGTAAGTGCATAGCTAAACTTAGCATATTATAGTGAAACGGATCTGTTGCTAAGCAATGCAATTGTTTCTTTCCCTAGGTCTGAATGCATTAACAAGTTTGCCTCCGTCTTTGGGACCATGCCTCTGAAAGTGGTGGAACACAGGGCGGATCCTGTCTTGTACAAAGATGACTTCCCTGAAAAACTGAAAAGTTTTCCTAACATTGGAAGCTTGTAAAGAATAGACGCAAGGCCAATTGGATATTGGGATCCAATACACAAACAGTGACTGGTGCTGAGCATCAGGCCTTGGAGAAGAGTTCCTGGGCGCATTACAAAGAGGATGCAGAGGTGCCTCACTCCTGGTGTAATCCAAGCTTTTTCCATGGACAACACAGGGCAAAGAATCAAACCACATGCTGCTGCCGCCTTGCTATGTGGGTCTACAGAAATGCCATACAAATATTTATTTGTTCTACAGACCTTACATTCTGGCAAAGAGTTAAGCACAAACAATACAGAATCCTACACACACACACACACACACACACACAGTATTTTTTCCTCTATCTCTCCTAAGAGCTGCTTTCTGCTTTTGCTTCTCTTCTATGCAAGCCTGGTTTACATGCAGCCTTTGAGATTTGTGATTAGGATTAACTCTTGTGCAGATATGCTAGGGTTTTTTTTGCTGAGTAAGATTAGAAAAGATGATTGGCATGACACCAGACTTATACAGGGGGCGGGGAGATAGCAATTAGAGTAGAATAAATCATTTCCTTTACTCAAATTACTTCTTCATGAATGTGAACACATTTCATGTTTATTTTCACAGAAGAGAAGACTGCATGCTTGACCAGCCTCAGTCCCCTTTTCTTACTATGCTGAAACATTTTTTTCAGTTCAGATGCACGTGGTCAAGACATAAACCTATGCAGCATCTAAACAAAGTTGATAGTTTGAAACTCTGCTTAGGAAACAACATGCCATGTTCTGATTCTTAAACGTGTTTCTGGAGAGAAATGCACTTTCTCTATTGGATTGTGCAGGTATGAAGTATATTCACAGCTAATAAAAAGCAAACTTTTCTGACCAGCCACTATCTCAAAGCTACACACAAAGTGTTGGTACATAGAATTCACTGCCCACAAGATAATTAAAATCCATTCACTGCCCCATAAAGAACCACAGTTCAGTAGAATGTGCTTCCCCTTGAAAGCAGTCAGTCAGTCAGCCACCAACCATCTGTACTTCTTGTACACGAAAACCTCGTTTATTTCTGTAGGCCTTCCCAGAAGAAGGACACACCTATTCACAGATAGGAATTTGTTGGCACTTTTTAATGAAAACACATTGTATGTTTTACTGTATTTTGTTTTGTTTTTTTAATACAGTGCAGGGTTAGCACTTCTGTAACAATTTCTAATAAACAAATAATACAACACATGCTTTACATGCAAACGGGTTCAGTCCCTGACATCTCAACATAGAACAGGGAAAGACTCCTATTTGAAATCCTGGGGACCTGATGTCAGTCAGTGGAGGAAGTGATGGGAATGCACATACAAAATAGTACATCAGAATGAGCTGGACTGAGGAATGAACAGACATGCTTTTGAATTGCACAGACCTCTTTAAAAGGTAAAGGTACCCCTGCCCATCAGGGCCAGTCGTGTCCGACTCTAGGGTTGCTTGCTCATCTCGCTCAAGAGGCCAGGAGCCAGCGCTGTCCAAAGACGCTTCCGGGTCACGTGGCCAGCATGACGAAGCTGCTCTGGTGAGCCAGCACCAGAGCAGCACACGGAAACGCCGTTTACCTTCCCGCTATAAAGCGGTACCTATTTATCTACTTGCACTTAAGGGTGCTTTCGAACTGCTAGGTGGGCAGGAGCTGGGACCGAACGACGGGAGCTCACCCCACCGCGGGGATTCGAACCGCCGACCTTTCGATCGGCAGGTCCTAGGCTTTAATTGGAATAACATGTATAGATTGATTTATGTTGAGTTTCTTTTTTTCTTGAGCCAGCACAGCAGCAGCTACTACCCAAACTAAAGATAATAGGCATAAGTTTATGTTCATCTAGGTGAGGAAAGAGTTTTCCTCTTTGCACCAACGGTATGGCGTTCCAGTATGTTGCATTATGAGAGATTAGCACATCTCTCTGAAGCCCGCTCCACTGTTGTTTTCAGAGGTTACTCTTATTTACGGTGTCTGCTCATGCGATTTACCTAACTGCAAGCTGCATGACAAATGCTAGGAACCTTTTTCATCCTTCTCACGTGAGTCTGAATGAAAGAAATTGAGAATTGCAGAGATTCTCCCCCACCCCCAGTATCCTGGTGAAAAACGGGCTTGCTCCTTGTCAGGGTGATACTGATAGAACACTGGCTGGAAGGGGGTGTTTCAACTTCAAACTCTCAGGGAGTTATAAATTAGACTATTCCGTCCATCAGGGAAGACGTGTTTTTCCTACGTATTTTTTTATAAAGTTTTCCAGATTACATCCTCTGCTATAACTTTGACTAGAAAATAATGTTAGATGATGGAGGATTTGCTTATATCAAAACACCAGGAGCTTAATTTTGAGCCACAAAGAACTCTTCAGTAGAATCTGATTTGCAAAAGGCTTATCACTGTAACTAATTTTGCATCTGTTCTGAGTGAGATAGTGGGCAAAGGACTCTCCTTCCTTCTGGTTTAAGTGTGCTTCATCTAAGCTGGTTCTCTTTTCCTTGGTGCAGCATTTATTAGCGGTCACTGCAAGAAAAGTGAGAGTGGGCCATTCTCTTTTTTTACCAATGAGAACTTAAGCTCAACAATCTAACTACTTTTTATGTATGTTTCATTATAAACTATCATCCCTGCCCCTATAGTTTTAAAAAACCTTCCTGTTCCTTTCTTAGGAATACAGTGTGCAAGTTCTTTAAAAAGTTATCTTACATATATTGGTGTTCCATAATTTGATTTTCTTTATCTGGGATAAGCTCTACTTTTAAGCTGAACTGCTGCAGAATCTATGCCCATCTTTGCAATGTTTTATGCCCTTTTAATTCCTGCCCCCATTCACAAGGCCTTAGTTTGTGTATAGCAGTTAGTTGCTCCTAATTGTAAAAATTATTTCACAATACTTCTACCATTAGAAGGTATTTGTGTCCACCAGTGTGCAGTAGGTGTAAAGTTAGGGTAAACGATTACCCTGACTTCCTTTCCATTTTTTGCAAAATTGCAAACAAGACCAGATACATATTTTTAAAATAAGGAAGAATATTTGTTCCCTAAGTGCCAGAGATTTTAAGACACTTAACAATTCATAAACCTTTGTTTCATTATAGGATTCATTTCATAACCAATCCATTTATCTGTTTCATCAGTTAACCACCAGCTATCTTTGACAGCTTCTGCTTCTTTATCTCACCTCTTCCACAATCCACATTTCCTAAGCTATGATAAGGATGTTGATATCTCAAACATGGTTTACTAGTTACCTTCTCAGGTGTTACTAGATCAGTATATTCTTTAGGTGTTTCTGATACACTACCAGTATCTCCAACCTGAAACATCATCCTGTACCAACCGTATGGAATTGGTTTTTTCTGGAAAATGTGACGTTTCAATGTTACCCTTCAAGATGTCACCTTTGGTGATTCCTCTTTGTGCCACTGATAGTTCTTGACTTCTAGTCTTAGGGTTCATCCACACTTTCATTTGACCCATGTTTTTTGTTATATTACATATTGATCTCTTATCCTGGGTCCAAGAGCTGCTCTTTTTCCTCCACTGCTTGCTCCAATTAGAACCCGATGCTAACTGCTGAATCAGGTTTTACAAGATCCATCTCCCATTTGGACAAACAGGATTCAGCATAGCTACTGGTACAGTCCCATACAGCTTGGAGATGTTCTGTATATTGAATTAAGTATGCTGAAGAAGTCTCTTACGTGAGCTTCCCTTTGTTCCCGAAAGAGTTACTGTGTCATCATGTTATCACCCTAAATGTGTGTATTTCGGCTGTAGTACATTAATGCATATTTTCATAAAGGCTAATCGTACATAACTGGGAAGGCAATTGTACCCACTGCCACAGGTTTATCAACTGGAAGATAAACTACGGTAAGTGGAATTCTGATTGGCAAATGGTATCTCATTTCACACATGGCATTTTTAAAGGTGCACACTAAATGTTAACTGCACATCTGAAAGTGAAAATGTGAATGCAGTAAATGGGTTTGTACTTTTGTCAGGGGGCTGTGATAAGCTGCAGCTCCTTGTTGAGTGTACACTCAGTAGCAAAATGAGTGTACACTCACATTTCCTGCTGCCCAATGTGAAAACATTCAGAAGCAGGCTGAAATATCCCTTTCTTACCCACCTAGATTTCAGAAGCATTAAGTGAACAAACTCTTTGAAGGAGTTCCAGTGAAGGTTGCTTTTTTAAAATAAGTCTTCAACCAGTAAAATGTGTCACAGGTATGGTCCTAAAACATTTCACAGCTGCATTTATATTGGAAACCTTTTTTTCCTCTACTGTCTGTTAACATTCTTTAATGACATTGTCCAGGGACCACTTTTCCCCTGTGTGTGTGTAAATGCGTTTTCTTTTTAAAAATTAAAACATTTGTAAATACAATGTGCCTGAGTCAATATATTCTCTTGATTGTACAACCTGAGGGGATAGTAATCTTAACAATGTATCAAAGAGCACTTGTGATTTGGGGGCTGGGGATATTTTAAAAGAAAATATGCCAGAGTGTGTACGTTCTGTTTTACTCACGGAAAATTTTACTGTGGGTTCTAGCAGCTCTACTCTGATTCTTAAAACAAAAAACAACACATAAGCAAACACAAAATCTACACTGAATCTTCTAAAAATATCAGCTCTTCAAGCCTCTGGTGGGTTTCAGCAAATAATTTTATTATGTATAGATGCTGCATCTTTTCTTTTTTTTTAGAAGCAGATGTTTTTATTCTACAGGTGAGAAAACGGAGGGTCTTGAACATGGTGTGCCATATAAGGCTCAGGTGGCAGCTCATCTGGCATTATATCCCAGGGTTGGAGGTTAGAAATTATCATCATCATCATTTCTTTTCTAATCAACTTTTAAACAACTGTCTCAATGTGATGTGCACTGCAGATAATATTAAACAGTTAAACACAAAAACAGCAAATACATTTAAATCTAAACTAAAACCATACAAAGTAGATATAAGGTAGATGGACCTTTCTTGCTGCTAGCTGATGTTTGGTATAGCAAGGTACTGCTGTAATCCTTTCACAAACCCTGTAAAATAGGCCAGTATCCCATTACAGCAGGGGTGGTGACCCTGTGGCCTTAGCCATGGGATATGATGGGAATTGGTGGCAAACATTAAATGGAGAGCCATCACATCCCTGCTCCTACATTACAGGTATGGAGCTGTGGCTTGAGAGGCAGTAGCTTGTCAAAGGGCCACCTCATCTGACTACAGGCTAAACTAATATTTGAACCTGGGATTTAGGGCACATACCTCTTTTTTTTAACCAGTGTACGATACAGTCACTGCAGCTTTGCACTTCCAAACATGGGTATGTAATCTATAGTGTTAATGTGATTCTAACTTCCCTTCCCCACCCATTCACAATCAACGCTAGAAATGAATTAACCTCAAAAGGAAACACACAAACTAATGCCCATTTAGTTTATTTTTAAATCAACATTCTCTGATACTTAACAGCTATTGAAGTTGGTGGGACATAATTTAAATTCAAGGGGTTG